CTCAGAATTCAGAGGGTCCTGGAGGAAAGAATCAGAGGAAAGACAAGGGTGAGTTCACATGCCAGGTGTGCTCAGGGGGCACACCCATGGGTGTCCTTTTTCCCAGAAATGTAGACCAAAAGCAGGGCGCTGTCCTCTGAGCAGCGAGGGAAGTCTCCAGCTGATAGGACATGTAGATGATGCAGTGTGACCTCTATGTGGAGGCTGGGATTCAACGGCCAGGAAAACCAAAACGCTGGCCAGGGGACCAGATGGGCTCAGGTGGTGGAAAGAGCAGATGCTTTGGAATCCTTAGACCTAACACTGTTTCCTGGGTGTTAACTGATGCACGTGTGTTGACCTCTCTGAGTCTCAGTTTCCTCATCCTGAAAATGGGGAGAATGATACGCATTTCATTGAGCTGATTTGAGCCATAAATAAAGTAAAGAATGGAAGGTGCTTTCCACACAGCAGGGTCTCTCTAGACATTATTAGTCCCCTCCAAACTCTTCCCTTTCTCCACCACCCTGATGCCAACCACGGAGGCTCCCTATTTTTTGTAAAGGACAGGGGGCAGTTTTAGTGATAGGGTCGGAACAATTGCTGAAGAGAGAAGTAAGAGCTAAAATCAGCACCATAGGCTAAGCCTTAGCTTTGGCCGGAAGCGAAACAGCAGGGCAATCACACATTAAATAAACGCGCAGGTCTGTCCCACGCGTGAACCCGGCCGACCAAGTGCAGGCTTTGGGTGCGAGGCAGGCGCAGGAGAGGCTGCCCTCAGGGACACCCAGTCAGCAACTGTGCCAACACAAACCATACATATGTGTTGTGTCTACACCTCACATGAACTGTGCAGTAGGTCTGGAACAGAAAGATTTCATTGCATATTCTGGATAAAGAGAGAGATGAGCCCTGGCCGGTTTGGCTCAGAGGTTAGAGAGTCGGCCCGCAGACCAATGAGTCGCGGGTCTGATTCCAATCAATGGCACGTACCTCCGTTGTGGTTCATCCGGGCCCTGGTTGGGGTCGTTCGGGAGAGAACCACTCGATGTGTCCCTTTCACATCAATGTTTCTCTCTCTCTCTGTTCCTCTCTCTCCCTCCTACTCTATCTGAACAAAAAATGGAGAATGTCCTCGAGTGAGGATAAAATAAATAAACAAACAATAAAGAGCAAGATGAGGGTGCAGAGATCAAGACTAAGGCAGAGGGAAGGATGTTGGTACAGTGGAGGTCGATGGTGGGGAAGCAGGACAGTGTCAGTGTTTTACATAATGAAAAATATGTGTTATGGAGACAGACATCATTATTGCATTGTGCTAATCATGAACTCCACTTCTGTGTGAATATAAACCACTGAGATCAAACAACATCTATAAAAATGTGTTGTGCTCAGATGGCTTTGGGGGTACCTCTGTTTGGTGAAGGAAGGCTTTCTGCAGCTCCAAGAGTATACACATTTGCTCCTCATGCAACAGTACTAATGAGTTCAGCTGGACTTCATGCCACAAGAAATTTCACCTAGACCTGTTTCCTAAACAACGTTTCAGTTCTGATCGCCTCTGGGAAATGCAGCCAAATGATGTCTCCGATGGAAGATTTCTTGGCCTCATGTATGTCTTGGCTGCTTTAGCGACAGTGCTGATGGGCTTTGCTTCTCCATTACTTCTCATTTTCCTTATAAATGGGGAAGGGGACTGTGCCACTCACGGCCACATTAACAAATAAACAAAAGACATGACTCTTTAGGAGATTTTTACTTTATATGTTCTGAAAATCCACAAGTTGCTAATCGTGGTTGACAGCATCTCTCTGAGAACTAAACCTGGAAATTCTTCAGTTCCAAATCTTCATACTTTTTAGATATTTTAAATTGATTTTTAGAGAGAGAGAGAAACATTGATGTGAGAACGATACACCCATCTGCTGCCTCCTGCACACCCCCTAACCAGGGATCAAGCCCTAAATCCTTGGCATATCCCTCTGATCGAACCTGCAACCTTTTGGTGCAAGGATGCCCAACCAACTGAGCCACACTGGCCAGTACCCAAATCTATACTTTTTAAAAATTTCTCACCTGAGGATACTTTTCCACTTATCATCAGATAGAGTGGGAGAGAGGGGGAGAGAGAGAGAGAGAAAGAGAGAGAAACATTGATGTGATAGAGCCACATGGACTGGCTGCCTCTTGCACAACCTGACCAGGGCCGGGGATGTGCCCTTGACCGGAATCAAAGCCGAGACTCACTGGTCCTCGGCTGACGCTCTAACCGCTGAGCCAAACTGGCCAGGGCCCAAATCTACACATTTTTTAGTAGGTCTTAAAAAAGAAACAGAAGAGGAAAACACCAACAGTTTCTTTGTTGAGAGAGTGGCTTAGATATTCATCTGATTTTTCATAATATGCTTCCCTCCAGAAATAAACAATAATTATCATTTAGCTTCTCTGCTGTCAAAATCAGTTGTTTAAAAAATGTCTTTGGTAGATCATTTATAAGGTAGAATGTGAAGTAAGCTGATTCTAATAATTTACAATGCTTTAACATTTTTTTCATTTATCTTTATTGTTGAGGGTATTACAGATGTTCCCCATTTCTCCCCCAATGCCACCCGGTTCTTGCCCCACCCCAGGCCTTCACCCCACTATTGTCTGTGTTTATGGATTATGCATATATGCATATGAGTTGTTTGGTTAATCTCTGCCTGCCCACCCCCCTTTCCTCTGAGATCCACCTGTCTGTGCCCTGGTTCCAGGCCTCTGGGTCTATTTTGTTCATCGGTTTATTTTGTTCACTAGATTCCATGTATAAGTGAGATCATATGATACTTGTCCTTCTCTAACTGGTTTATTTCGCTTAGCATAATGCTCTTCAGGTCCCTCCATGCTGTCTCAAAGGGTAAGAGATCCTTCTTTTTTTTTTGAGCTGCATAGTATTCCACTGTGGAATTTACAATCTTTTAACTTCATTTTGTTATGATGAGACTTCATAAACCTGATCTTTAAAATGAAATTTTATTTATGTATTTTACAAAAAAAAATGCATCTTCTTTTATTTCATAAATGGAAAGATGCAGGATATGTGTACCTCAAGGGGAGTCCAGTGAAATCTTGTTTCTGGGTGGAATATATGAAAATACAACAATGTAGCACTACTTGGCTTTTAGGGATAATAACTATTTTAGGTCTCCATGGACCTGGCATAGTGTTTTCATTTCTATGTCATCTGCTCCCCCAAAATGAAGTAGGGCTAATATTATCATACCGTAAGGGTTAAGGAGACCCAGGCTCAGGGCTTTGCCAGAAAGCACATGGGTTTTCTGACTTTGAAGTGCAGTGTGCATTTCTGTAGCTCACATTTCCATCCAGAATGAATTCGATGACAATTCAATGTTAGAACTTACTCTCCAGAGAGGCTCTGATGAGCTCATTCACAGTGGATGTGAATGGCCAAGAAAACTCAAGGTACTAGATTATTTTAAAATTATTTTTATTAATTTATTTTTGTTACAGATGTTTCTCCTTTTTCCCCCATTGATACCTCTCTCCCAAATCCCCTCCCTTCCCAGCTTTGTTGTCTATGTCCATTGGTTACACATACATGTATATAAGTTCTGTAGTTTACCCCTCCCCTTCTGAGGTTTGTCAGTCTGTACCTTACTTCAATGTCTCTGGGTCTATTTTGTTCATCAGTTTGTTTTGTTCATTATATCCCACAAATAAGTGAGATTATGTGATATTTGTCTTTCTCTGCTTGGCTTGTTTCGCCCAGGATAATACTCTCCAGGTCGTCTCAAAAAATAAGAGATCTTTCTTTCTTATAGCTGCATGGTGTTCCATTGTACTAGATTATTTTTAAAAAAGTAAATCCGGTTGTTTTGTAGTTGTAACTGGGAAAATGAGAGCTCTTGCACCTGAAACTGGACTGTTTCCAGTTTGAAAAATGAAAAATCCTACTTCTTATTCTAATTTAACGGATAAGTACTTCCAAATAGAAATTCTCTTACATTTACCTAGCTAGGTTAATCTAGTAGTCGGTTTAAGAAATAACTTTAATTAAAACCACACTGCCAAATGGGGAACTTCAATTGGGCTGCTTTAAACTCTCAACCTCTACGGAAGGAAACCAACTAACCAATAAGAACTGGTAGAAGAAAACAGGTGTAAGATCCACCACAGATTCGGAGCTCACAACGCAATGATTCAGCGTTTTGGAGGCCAGTGTTGAAACCAGGCTTGTGGGAAGCAGGTTAAATGGTGTCTCGATGTGTCAAGGAGGCGCAGAATTTCTGTGCCATGCTGCGTTATCGAGCATTTCCCACCATATCTCGGTGGAGCCTGTACTTAGACTAACCCCTGTCCTCACAGTAGTCGTCGAACAAACTCTGCGAGCTGTAGGGGACCCTCAGACTTTGCTTACCAGGTGCCTCCCTCCCACTGGCCCCCAGGTCGGTTTCTACCCGGGCTCAGCCCCAGCCAAGTCAAAGCAGCCCCAGATCGCCCCCGGAGCCAGGGCTTGGCCCCCCGCTCCTGGACGATGTTGACAACGTAAGCACAGCACTGAAAGCCTTTGAGCAAGACGCACCCTCGCTCACGGACCTTTAATTATCGCTCTAAGAATTTATTTTCTTTCTAGCTTTTTATTATCTCTTTCGCCAAGCCATCCCGCACCCCAAAGTCTCTGCTGCGCTTCGCGGCGCAACTGTGGCAGGAGGGAAAGGGCGGGGAGCGCGAGGGCCCCTGCGCGGCGGAGATAAGGCGCCGGCGGACTGTCGCCCCGGGACAGCACCTGGGGCGGACCCACCCGCTCGCTTCCCCGAGCTCTCGGGCCCCGCCGCGGGGCGGGACGGACGCGCCACGGCGCGCGACCAATCGACAGCGCCGGAGACGATTCAAAAGGACGAGGAGCCAATGGAAGCCTCGGAGGCCGCCCGGGAGGCGGGGCGAGGAGGCAGCGGGCCGGGGAAGCGCGCGCCCGGGCCGCGGGATCGCGGGCTGCGAGAGCGCGAGAGCGCGAGAGCGCGGCGGGGCAGCGTCGCGCGCGCGGAACAGCCGCAGGTTAGCAGGTCGGCGACTCTCGCGGAGTCGTCTGTGTCTCCGCGGGAACCCGGTGCAGGTGAGCGCTCCCCTCCCCGCCCGGCTCCCTGCGGGGCGGCCTCCGGGGGGCCGGAGGGGGAGGCCCGCGGGGGGGGGGGCGCGGCGTGTGGCTGGGGTCCCGGGCGCCTCGCCTGGTGCCCACGCCTCGCCCTCCCCTCCTCCGGGCCGGGCCGGGCCGCGGCTGACGGGACTTGAACCGCGCGCGGCCCAGCCGGCCAGCTGCGGAAGTGGAGCTGCCGCTTTTAAATCGGGGGCCTTTCCCTCCATTTTGGACGCGCCGCGTCGTAGAAAAGTGATGTTGGTGGGGGACCTCCCCGGCCCCTTTGTCCCCGCCCTGCAGCCCCAGCTTTCCCAGGCCGCTCCGAGCGCCCCTGACAGATCACTGGGGGGTTGGCGGGTCCCGCCGGCGGGAGGCAGGAAAGGCGCGGCAGCCTGGCGGACGGGGAAGCGGGCTGCAGAGCTGACTGATTCGCGCTGGTTGTCACTGGCCTGAGGATCGTGGCCGTCTCGCTTCGGCAGCTCTCGGCTGCGGACTGCAGGCTCGCGGCTCGGCCGGCGGGTCCTCTCGCCCGGCGGGTCTGCACACCCCAACGGGTCGTTAGCGAAGTTGGCGTGCTCCTGCTGAAGTTCAGTCCTGTTGTTTTCGCCCTTTTACAAATGCTCCGTAACGACACCTTCCCGCAGCCTTAAGGGGCACTGAGTAAGCCCTTGATCGCCGAGGGCCGGTTTCCAGGCACCTCGCCTATTTTATTGCACGAGCTGGTGGGGAGTCAGGTTGGGTTACTCTGAACGACCCAGTAGATACACTGGACAGCGCTTGGACAGTCGCAGGGCTCAGTAGGGTGCAGTGTGCTTGCTCACCTGCCGCGCGAGGCATGGCCAGAGCCCGGCTAGTCCGAGCCCGCAGGGACCTGGAAAATAAACTCGAGCAAATCTGTAACTACACTTGGTAGCAACTGCTGCGAAGGACAGGATGGGGGCAACGGCTGGACCATAATTTAGATTGAGCCCCAAGCCCGGTTGTTTTTCCTTCTGAACAGAGTCTAGAGAGGAGGGGAAAAGAATGAGTAGGAGGGGAAGGATTCTTACTTTCAATTTCTGTTTTTTAGGGGGAAAGTCAGGCCTTTCTGCCTCTGCAGCCAGTAAGGTGGCTTTTTTTTTTTTTGTATCCTGACCCAGGAGCACAGAGCAGGGACAGGGGTTCCTGATGGGGGTTTACCTGGTAGGCCAGCCTTGGGCTCAGGTGTTGAGGGGAAGCTGTCAAACTTCATTACAGCTTCCCTGTTTCTGCTGCCTTTAGACTTATTTGGAAAAGTGAAGGAACGCTTAGAGAGACCCTTAGTATTACACGGCTTAGCACAGAATAGCAGCGGGCTGTGGTGTTGCTAACTAGTAACATATTGGAGCCAAATTAACACTGAAGTTAGCAAGCATGTGGCGTAATAGAGAAAAGCCCGAGGGTTCCCATGCTTATGGGGAATAAGGATAGTGTGTTTAGTAAGAAATTTTTTTCTTTACACCCTTGGCTAAAACATCCCCAAGGGAAGCCTCTTCATGTGTCTCTTGCCCTCATTAGGTGATGATACAAGCATTTCTTGACCAATTCACTCCTGCACAAGATTGTTAAGATGTGATTGCACAGTATCATCACCTGTGACAGTGGTACTTGGCTCTTGTACAAAGTGGGGGTGGATACATTGTTGCCGGCTTCATCTTTTGGAACATTTGTATGTAAGACAGTGGTTTCCTCAGGAGAGCTGGTTTGTTTTTTCTTTCAACCACCATGTGGAACATTGCTCTCAAGTCCCAAGTCTTTAAAAATAACATAGAAAATGGAGCTTAGAGACCTAACATGTGTCCACTAGATATTTTAATTTAACCACAGAAAGATGCCAATAAATAAATTTTCGAAAGGGCACCAAATCTGCCCAAGGGCCTTTCTAAAAATCTAGGAGGCCCCTAACACTGTTTCAAAAGTTTATAAAGAGTTGTTTGAAACTTGAATGGCATCTTTTTGTAGAAAGATGTAACTACCTTCTTTCAACCCTGGTTGGCCAGTGTCAGAGAACTGGTATCAGTAACAAGGGTTTGATTTTAGGGGGTCCAGGGAGAAAGAGGGGGCACAGAGAAGAGAGAAGGAGGGCACATTTCCTTCCTCTTTCTTAGAATTTGGAGGCTCAAGCTAAATGTTGAAATAGACTGGCTGTTGTCACCTTCCTTTTTTGTGCCCCTCCTCCATGTCCCAAGGTGTTCACTGCCCCCTGCCTCACCAGTGCCCCTCTGGTGACTCTTCAGCCTGGTGTGACTTCATCCTCAGAGCTTCTGAGCTCCTACTCTATGTCCAAGCCCATTCATTACACCCCACCCCTCCGTGATGCTATCTCAGTAGGTGCTGGGAAGAAAGAAAGCTGTCTCTTTTACTAATGTGTGAATGAACTGACATCCTCTAATCATCAGATAAGTAGTTGTGTTTCCTTTCATCTACCAACCTGGCTACTATCTTTCTAAACAAGTGAAGCTTATTAAGTTTTTTCTCAGGCGATTAACTGAAGAAATGTGGAGCTTATGAAGGTGTTTTTTCTTGGGAGTGGTGGGGTAGTGTAACTTTCCCCTTTCCTAACTCCACAGTGTCTTCAAAAGTTCTTGCATGTTGTCATTGTGAATCAGCTCTTGAAGGAGCTGGGTAAGGGTGTATATTTTTATGCCCAGATGATACATTGGGAATTGCTTAGTTGCCACGTGGAAGTGTGAACCTGCTGGTCAGTGGAGGGAGAAGCATTACTAAGAGTCAGAGCACCTAGCAATCAGTTGATGTTTGAAAAAAGGTGGCAAATAGGCCTCATGTAAGTAGCAATTTCTGTAGTTGCTTGTGGCTTTTTATTTTTTATTTATTTATTTATCCTCACCCGAGGATATTTTTCCATTTTTTGTACAGATAGAGTGGGAGGGAGAGAGAGTGAGAGAGAGAGAGAGAGAGAAACATCGATGTGAAGGGACACATTGAGTGGCTGCCACCCGCACGACCAACCAGGGCCGGGGACAAACTGCAACCGAAGTACGTGCCCTTAACGGGAACTGAACCCGGGTCTCTCGGGACCGCAGGCTGATGCTCTAACCGCTGAGCCAAACCGGCCAGGTCGCTTGTGGCTTTTTAGAGTTGTTTATATGAGGCTTTGTGGTCATGTTTCAATGGCAAAGAACATTATAATTGGAGGATAAAGGCTAGGTACATATTAGCCCAGGTATTTGGGACTTTAGTTGTAAGACTTGAAAGCTTTAAGAAAGAACCCCAAATTTGCTGCTCATTATAGATTTGTAATTCTCCCTGTTGGTGGGTTATAATAATGTAAATTATATATCCTTGATTTTTCCAGATAGTTTATTTTTAATAAAGTTAATTTGTTAAAAATTGAAAAAAATGTGTGTGTGTATATATATGTGTGTGTGTGTGTATATATATATCACCCGAGGATATTTTTTCATTTATTTCAGACAGACTGGGAGGGAGGGAGGGAGGGAGGGAGGGAGGGAGAGAAACATCGATTGGTTGCCTCCCTCACGACCCTGACCAGGGCTGGGGACTGAACTGCAACCAAGGTACATGTACTTGACTGGAATTGAACCCATAACTCGTTGGTTCGTGGGCCAGTGCTCTAACCACTGAACCAAACTGGCCAGGGCAAAAATCAAATATATTTTTAAAGCCTTTGTAAGACTAGATGCAAATTTATAAATCAGAAAACAAATCCTTTGTGAGATTGTGCCTTGTTGATTAGCAAGAAATATGGTCACTGTAGGTGATAAGTTTTGCATAGGCACCCGTTTGGTTTGTTGCCATAATTACTCCTCAGTATCATATGATACCACAGTGACTAAATTGTCCTGTGTGAAGTGATTCCTAATGAGACATGATGTGGCAGAAAACAACCTCTGTATTGTCCTAACTCTGTCATTTCATGCCGTCTATTTTTATGCCTTTGGTCAAAACAGTTAACATTACTTTAAGCTTTAGTTTCTCAACTTTAAAATAAGGGGTTGTATGTCCTCTCCTCCAATGGGTTTTTTTTTTTTGGCCCTAAAATCTTGACCAGTTAAAATTTTGGAAAGTTGTATTTTAGTGTTCAGTCTATGAAAAAAGACAAAGTGTGCATTGCACTGACTCCATTTTTTTTCTTTAAAACTGTTCAGACAGTTTCGAAAATGCCAAGTAGGAAATTTGCCGATGGCGAAGTGGTGAGAGGTCGGTGGCCTGGGAGTTCACTTTATTTTGAAGTAGAAGTTCTGAGCCATGACAGCAAATCCCAGCTTTACACCGTGAAATACAAAGATGGGACTGAACTTGAATTGAAAGAGAGCGATATCAAGGTAAGTGCTCCTTCGGTTTACCAGAGATGTTTACAGTGAGCGGGGTATAACTGGTGTGGTTTTTGAGGCGAGAGTAGTCAGTCCTGACTCTGTTGGGAGGCACAGGGCCACGCTGCTGCTTTGGGTCAGGTGCAGTGTTTGGCTCCGGGAATGTGCGAATGTGACAGCGCTCTGTTCCTAAGAAGTTCCCAGTGTGCTGGAGAAGACATATGCTTATGGGTCATGTCCCTGGTTGATACACTGCAAGACGGACATTTGTCGTGGGTTAGGGAAGGCACTGGATTTCAGGGAAGGCTTTTAGAGGTGGTGACACCTGAGCTGAGTGCTGAGATCCAATAGGAAAAGCTCAGGTGATGGAGAGGGCAGCATGCCAGAGGCTTGGGTTCGGGGGACACCGACAACCAAGTGCTAGAAAGGTGTAGTGGGTGAGGGCCAGCGGAGGGGGGAGTCAGAACTGGAGGGATTTGGGCTTCAACCCAAACACTGAGGATTCAGTCAGGAGAGTGACATTAGTTAGGTTGAAGAGCCCTAGGCCAGACTCAAATCTATCTGGTGAGGGACTGTGCTTTAAAATATCTGATCCTCCATGGTTACAAGTACTTATGTAAAGTACCATAAAAATGGCAAATGAAAAAGATGTACAAAGGGAGTCTTTTTTTTTTTTTTTTGGTTAATCCTCACCTGAGGATATTTTTTCCATTGACTTTTTTTTTTTTTAATTAGAGTGGAATGGAGGTTGGGGGGGAAGAGAGAGAGGGAGGGAGAGAGGGAAACATTGATGTGAGAGAGGTACATCAATTGGTTGCCTCCCACATGACTCCGACTGGGGATCAAACCTACAAACCAGGTACTTGCCCTTTATTGGGAATCCAGCCCAACACTCTAACCACTGAGCCACGCTGGGCAGGGCAATAACATTTTTGAACCCATAGCCCTACGGACCACAGTTTGAGTTCTCTAGACCAGGGCTGGCAAAATTTTTGAATAAAGGGAATGATAGTAAATATTTGAGGCTTCCCCCCACCTTTTATTGATTTTAGAGAGAGAGGAAGGGAGATGAAGAGAGAGAGAAACACCGATGAGAGAACATCGATTGGCTACCTCCTGCATGCCCCCACTGGGGATCGGGCTCATCACCTGGGCACGTGCCCTGACCGGGAATCGAACTGGCGACCTCTTGGTGTATGGGTTGACACTCAGTCACGGAGCCACACTAGCTGGGGCAACATTTGAGGCTTTTTGGGCCATATCGTTTTTGCAGTGTGAGGTAGCTATAGACAGTCTGGAAGGGAATGGACATGGCTGTGTTCCAATAAAACCTTATTTATGGACACTGAAGTTTAAATTTCAGATCATTCTCATGTGTCACAAAGTCTTATTCTTTTGATTTTGTTTGCAATCAGTTAAAAAATGTAAAGCCATTCTTAACTCCTGGGCCACCCAAGAACAGGGGTGGGAGGGATTTGGCTGGGGGAATTTGCCTTCCACAGGTCTAGGCCCCGGGAAACACTGGGCTAGGGCAGGGTAAAACGTCACTAAGTAATCCCAGTTGTAGTGTTCCTAAGATCTGCCTGTGTGTTTTGTTCAGACTGGAACTGGGGGGCTAATTTTCTTGTTATTATGTGCAGATTTCTTTTGTCCCATCATCTCAGCTTTAATCAATGTTCATTGTTACTCTTCTTATACATGTTCTTGGGAAAATGTACAGCTAGTTGGTTTAGACACATTCATTTCATGGCAATACCTTCAAAGGAGAATCAGGAGTGGAAAGACTGTGTTCATTTCATGAGAGATGGGTCATTATTGCAGCATTCCTCATTGGCCTCATCTGAACGATTCTAAGATCCCAGGATTTCCCGGCGTTTATTAGAGTGGATGGGACCAATGACCGCCTTTGGGTAGCTGCCCTTTTGTAATGTGGTCTGTCTCGTGTACTATGACTTGTATTAAAGCTCTGCCTTCCACTCCCTCTCTAGCCTTTAACTTCCTTTAAGCAAAGGAAAAGTGGCTCAACTTCCAGTTCTCCCTCCCGACGCCGAGGGAGCCGAGGGAGCCGAGGGAGCCGAGGGAGCCGGTCAAGATCACGCTCCCGATCCCCTGGCCGACCACGTAAAAGTTCCAGCCAGAGTTCCCGGCGATCTGCCTCTGCTTCGCACAACGTTGACATTAAGGAGATGAGGAAGGAAGTGTTGGAAGTGAAATTGACTCCATTGGTATTGGTACGTGTACATGTGTTTGGGAGATCTTCATCCTTACACAGATTTAGTCTATCCAAACACAGATTTCCCCTTTTTGTATCTATTTACTCATATTATTTGCAATTAACTATTAAAATGTCACTGAAACATCACATCTAAGGTAATGACTTTGGAAGAGTTCATATAAAATGAATGTTTGGGCCCGGCCGGTGTGGCTCAGTGGTTGAGCATCGACCCATGCATTAGAGGTTGCTAGTTTGATTCCCAGTCAGGGCACATGTCCAGGTTGTGGGCCCGATCCACAATGGGGGGCATGCAGGAGGCAGCCAATCAATGTTCTCTCTCATCGATGTTTCTATCTCTCTCCCTCTCCCTTCCGCTCTCTGTCTAATATCAATAAAGAAAAAAAAATGAATGGAAGAATAGAAGATATAATGCTTTTAAGTGCCAATGAAAAATAATGTTTTTAAGTTACAAGAATGTTCTTTAATATTGTGTTTTTTTAAGAAGCACTTTTAAAATATGAAATAGATGTAGATTGTGGTTTGAACTGAGTAGGTTTTTGTAGCTTATAAAAGTTAATGTTTATTTTTTAAACTTTTTTTTTTCTTTATTGATTTTAGAGAGGAAAGGAGAGGGAGAGAGAGAGAGAAATATCGATAAGAGAGAACATTGATTGGCCGCCTCCTGCATGACCCCCATTGGGGATCAGACCCACAACCTGGGAATATGCCTTGATTGGGAATCAAACCGGTGACCTCTTGGTGCATGGGTCAGTGCTCAACCACTGAGCCACACTGGCCAGGCTAAAAGTTAATGTTTAAAAGAAACATATTCTGGCCCTCTTAGCATCAAGTACTTACTTGATTGCTTTTTCTATTCAAAGAGGATACTTTTAATGGAATTACTTTCAAAGTTCAAGCTTGGAACCATAAGGGTATGTGGGGCCTGTAGGACCTTGCACAATGAATATATATATATTTTTCCTTTATTGATTTTAGAGGGAGAGAAAGTGAGAGGGAGAAACATTGATGAGAGAGAACATTGATCCGCTGCCTCCTGCATGCCCCCCACTGGGGATCGGGCCCACAACCCGAGCTTGTGTCCTGACTGGGAATCGAACCAGTGACCTCTTGGTGCATGGATTGATGCTCAACCACTGAGCCACACCGGCTGGAGCACAATGAATATTTTATTTATTTTTTATCCTCACCTGAGGACATTTTTCCATTTTTTGTTCAGATAGTGGGAGGGAGGGAGGGAGGGAGGAAGGGAGAGAGAGAGAGAGAGAGAAAGAAAAACATCGACGAGAAAGGGGCACATCGAGTGGTTGCCACCTGCATGACCCATCTAAGGCCAGGGACAAACTGCAACCGAGGTGCATGCCCTTAGTGGGAACCGAACCCAAGTCCCTCCGGACCGTAGGCTAACGCTCTAACTGCTGAGCCAAACTGGCCAGGGCACAATGACTATTTTAGATAGTAGACCAAACAGATATTTTTAAGTAAAAAGAATTGAATAAAAGTCATTTTTATTTATTCACTTATTGTTACCTTTTTCCAGATAAAATGCTTACAGATTTTTAGTAGCCTTAATAAACTGGATTATATGCATACTGTTTTATAGTCAGATTTAAACATTTTTTAATATTGGGAATAACCTTTTGCATTACATTTTTCTACATCATTTTTTTTGGATATACAATAAGTTATATAGATGTAACAGAATTATTACATTCAGCTCCCTTATTGGTAGACATTTAGCTTTTTTCTTTTAAAATTTTTACTATTATAAACAAATATTCTTATATAACATCTGGTATTTCCTTAGAATAAATTATTATTTTTTGGTTAATCCTCACCTGAGGATATTTTTTTTCATTGATTTTTAGAGAGACTGGGAGAGAGGAAGGGAGGGGAGGAGAAATTTAAGGTTGCATAAAAACCAGGCAGCATGAAATTCAGAAAATAGGCAGTGTGTGGGTCCAACTAACACTCTGTAAGTACCCACTATTTCTTAATTTCCCATTACGGGCTATTTTGGGGCAATGAATGTCTTTTCAATTTTTTTTTTAATGAATTAAAGAACTAATTGGCCAATTTTTACTTCTCTTTTATAGCAGATACTATTAGAACAGTTGTTATTGAATGATTAAATTACAACATTCAGTCTAATTATGTTTAAAAGATGAAAGAACTTATGTTGAATCTGCACTGTAAAACCCAATCTTTTGAAGACTGAAAATTCTATCAACTTTACTCCTTTTCACTTTTAACAAAGGATCCCGAATTCTTCAGAATTAAAGCTGTGAAAATCTTTGGCTTTCTTTATTGCTTGATAACACAATAGTAAAGATTTATCATCAGGTTCTTTTTTTTAATAAGTTACGATTTATATGGTTAAAATGCTTTATATTCTTCAATTCAGAAACCATTTGGAAATAGCATCACCAGGTACAATGGGGAGCCTGAACACAGAGAGCGGAATGCCATACCTCACAAAAACACGCAGGTATGACCACGCTCGTTTTCATTTGGGAATCGTTTTCTTTGTTAAGCATATTGGAAACCACAGTACTTCTTACAGTCCTTTCTAAAAATTTGTCCTTCAATTAAAACAGAATATAATTTTTTTTTTATTTATTTTTTTATTTATTTTTATTATTATTTTTTTTATGAATTTTTATTTATTTTTTGTTACAGATATTTTACCTTTTTACCCCATTGGCACCCCCCCCCCCCCCCCCCTCCACCCTGTCCCCGGCTTAGTGTCCATGTCCATTGGTCATGCATACATGCATATAAGTTCTGTGGTTTATCTCTTCCCACCCCCCCACCCCCCATCCCCTCTTCTGAGGGATGTCAGTCTGTGCCCTACTTCCATGTGTCTGGGTCTACTGTAAAAACAATATAATTTAATAAATTTATTCTTATTAGTGTGTGTCTATATTAGGATGTTGAATTAGTTAATACGGTAGCATTAATGATAAATATTGACTACAGATAATTAGTACTTTGTATTTTTTTAACTAGGAACAATTCCCTTTGTCACAAGAAAGTAGTTATATATCTACACAGTATAGCCTTCGTCCAAGAAGAGAAGAGATCAAATTAAAAGAAATAGATTCTGAGGAAGAAAACATTGTTCTGAAAGGAACTACACTGTCGAGAACGTTGGAAGTTACTGCCACACAGACGAAGGACTTAGAGTTTGGAGGAGTACCTGGTAGGTGTCAGAACCGGACTTAGGGTGGGCAGGTGGGGTGGGCCGGCGGGAGTCGTGAACAGTGAACAGGAAGCTGTTTCTCTGAGGAATCTGAAGCAGGCCAGGCAGTGAGCCAGGTGGGAGCCTGGGGAAGAGCTTCCAGTCAGAAGGAACAGCAGGTGCAAAGCCTGAGGTGGGAGCGTTTTTCAAGATTAGAGTAGAAAGGTGCCCGAGTGGCTTTAAAGAACACTTTTAGCAATCTTAATAGGCTTTGATCAAAGAAGTGCAAAGAAGTGATAAAGGAAGGTTGATGTGAGCGATGAGGGACAGGGCAATCTGATACCAGACTTGAGGGCCTGGCTTCCACAGCAGCAGTGGGAAGCTGTGGACATAAAACGGGGTCATGGTGTCTACCCTACCTGCTAGACCGGGTCGATTATGAGACTCAAAGATCTGAAGTGTTCAGAGGCTTGGAGTTATTAAGTGGGTGGTTTTGCTGAAATCTTATGAGCTAATAAAAAAATATTCTTCTGGCCAAATGGTCCCAGATCCTGCAGGACTTAATTGCTTTGACTTTGTAAATTGTTGTCTAGCTGGTCTGTTAAAGATGGCATCCAGCATCACTGAAAGTCTGCACGTGTTATGTGAACATGATACTACTTTGATTGTTAGAAACTTAGGGATATAAAGTTTTGTGTGCTTTTCTAAGATTAGGCTGATAATTTTTAGCTGTTTTGATCTTTAATTTGTTGGAGTATCAGCATGTTTGCTCCATAGTGGTTGAATTTTAAATGATCTAGAGCTTGGACATTAGCTGTCCAGTGCTGGACATCAGCTGTGTTACTACTTCAGTGACCATGGTACTTGCCCACAGGACATGACATGCCAGGTAGAGATTAGGATTTTTTGATGGTACGCTAGAAATTGGTTTCAAACAGCTAACCAGACTTGAGTTCTGACCTTAAAAAACCCCAAATGATTCTTGGGGAAAAAAAACTGGATTGAAAATTGAGCCTTGAATGTTCATTAATTGTCTGCAGGTGTGTTTCTTATCATGCTTGGCCTGCCTGCCTTCCTCTTCCTGTTGCTGTTGCTGTGTAGACAGAGAGAGCCCAGTCTTCTGAATTTCCCGCCTCCTTTGCCAGCTTTGTATGATCTATGGGAAACCAGAGTGTTTGGGGTCTACCTCCTCTGGTTTTTTGTTCAGGCTCTGTTCTACTTACTGCCAATCGGGAAGGTAAGTTTTTGTTAATGGGGCAGAGTACTGTGGGTTTCCTCCCTGTCCATGTTTAAGTCAAGAAGTTTTCAGTTGGTTTAAGTTTAAAAGCTGTCCTTCATAATTACCCAAACTTAAGTTTGTTTAAACCTTTACTCTTGAATCCTGTAACAGTTGCTTATTAAGTGGAACTTTAAACATCTGATTGAAGTTTCTTGTGTAACTTTCCAAGCCAAATAGAAAAGAATAAACTATTGTCCAAATGGCCCAACTAATGGTACAGGTTGCTGGGGACAAGAATTCCCCCCTTAGTATATGTCATTTTGGATACAGGATTTAAAATGATCAGTTGGTAAGCTACTGAGTTCAATGGATTTAATCTGCATTTTTTACCTTTTTTAAAAAAAAAATATGATGAGTTTCTAATTTTCAGAAATTTGTTGTCAGGAACATTTTATGTTCTTTCAGACTCGTCCAACGTCTAAAATTTGTCCTCATTGCTAAGTAGTTTTTTCTTCTTTCAGTAGAATACTTGGGTCTATTGAAAGGAACATGAGATTCCCTAAGCAATAAATAATTCATTTAGAAGTCTGTTCTTAGGGCTTTGCAAGTTTACCAACTGTCTTCAAACCAAAGGATCAGGTTTACTAGGAGTGGCGGATGCCACTGATAGGGGCCAGAGCTGCAGACTTAATGTACTTGGGACCCATCTCACCACTGCATCCTTGGCTGGAGCAAGGGTGGTTGTGATGTGGACGTTCAGGCATTTTTATGTTAAGGCTCTACAGTAAAAATCACAGCTTCAGGTTAACTTAGGTAAGGCTAGTTCAAAGTAGATAATATTTACTAAGAAGAGCAGTTTTGCCTGGCTGGTGTGACTCAGTGGTTTATCATCGACCCATGCACCAGGAGGTCACTGGTTCAATTCCCAGTCAGGGCACATGCCCAGGTTGTGGGCCCGATCCCCAGTGGGGGACATGCAGGAGGCGGCCAATCGGTGTTCTCTCTCATCGATGTTTCCATCTCTCTCTTAAATCAATAAAGAAAAAAATTTTTAAAAAAAGCAGTTTTGATGGTTGAAAGAAAGCGAGAAAGAGAAACAAACTAAAGATGCAACACAGTATTTGCGAGATACCTTTAATAGATAAGGATCCTTTGAAATTAGCATGTGGGGCTAATCCTGTGATCTCAACTGGTATCACATTTCTCCTGGGTTCCCTTTCATAGCTAATGAAAGGGTAAAGTAGTTTAGCCCAAGAAAAATGATACCATATTAGTATTTGACAGTTTAAAATGACTTGCAACATTTCTGAATAGTTATTTTAGGTAGTAAAATGTGGCTGCTGTTGAACAAGAGGACTTTTTACTTTGGCTTATCCCATTCAAGTGGTGTGTTTCTCAGGACCTATTGTATGGGTTATGCCATGGGTGTTCTGAATAGAGATAAATGGTCCCAATCCAGGAAGGGCTCAGTCTCTTATTGGAAGGGGAAGGATCACATGAAATGACTGAATAGTAGGTGAGTGTGTATGCATGAATAACAGAGCATGTCGGTACATGAGTGCCTGTCATCAGCTGGTGCCTGGGCCAGAATGGATGGGTGAGTGGGGAGAGCCTGGTTGAAGACCTCACCAATGTATTTGTAAGCAGTGGGCAGTCATTGGAGATTTCTGAGCTCCAGATGAACTAGATACAGAAACTACGAAAGCCTATTTAGTCTTGTGGTGGCTTGTAAGGTGGTTGGGGAGGGGGTGGCTATTGTGATAGTCTCATACACTGGGAATTTACTACTAGGTTTATATTTAAGAAAAATTCCTGAAGGTGGACTTCTTCATCAAAGGGTTTTGCCATTCAGATGTTTGAAACTTGTTACTAAATTTCCCTACTAAAGACAGTCCTCCTCCTGGGCATGTTGAGATGTAAGTGATATTATAATATATGTATAGTGGTAAAGTGTTGTGCTTTGGAGATTTGAAATTAAATTTTTTTTTTTCTTTTAAGGTTGTAGAAGGAACACCTCTTACTGATGGAAGAAGACTCAAGTATAGATTAAATGGTAATTATTTTTTTTAAAGACTCAAATTGGTGACTTGATAGCTCAACAGACTAGTAAATAGTGACTTCTCAGCAGTCTGCAGGGCATGCAGATAAGTTACTTATACCTGCAGCTAACATATAAACATCTGAAAAATGATCTGAGACGCACAGAATCTAGATTGAAGAATCCCCCTCAGAGGCCTTGTTCCTACATTTGAGTGTATTTCATCTGAATAATGAAGACTTTAAGAAAGGACATTACATTATTTTATAATGGGATAAATCTCATGTGCACGTGGGGTTGACATGAATTTTTTGCTTTTTTGAAGGATTCTACGCCTTCCTCTTGACGTCTGCCGCCGTCGGAGCCTGTCTCTTCTGGGGCGTGGAGCTGTACTACGTGTACCGTCACTTCCTCCAGCTGGCTCTGGCGGCCCTGGTGTTTTCCGTGGGCTTGAGCGTGTATCTGTACGTGCGGGCTCTGCGCGTGCCCCGGGCCGAACTGGCGCCCGCCAGCTCTGGTGAGCACGTGGGCACGGGGGGGGGGGGGCCGCTCTCCTAGCTTCCGCTTGTGGGGTGAAGAGAAAGGAGAAAAAGATGGAGAAAAGATTTAAAGAAAAATAAAGTCAAAGGAAGAAACTATATTTCCTCATACTTTTTTATTTCTCTTCCTTTTAGTTACTTGATGGCAGTAAGACATTTTAGTAACTTACAGTAACATTTTAGTAAGGTTGGTAGGGTCATAATTTATGATAAGTACTGTTTTTTTGTCCCAAGTAGTAAATATCCTTTTAAAAAACAAAAAATAAGAGATTTCAAATTGTTTGGTTCTGACCTGAAGTATTTAAACATTAAAAAAATGGTTGCTTAAAAAAAAAATTGTTGCTTATTTAAAAAAAAGTACACATTAAAAAAAACTCTAGTTTCCTTAAAACCAGGGGCTCTGGCACCCCAGGCCCCATGCCCAGCTAGCAGCATGGATGCTCCCAGGTGGGGCCCACAGCCCCGCGGTCCAGTTCTCATGGTTCCTCTTACCTCTCGCCCCTGCGCATTAGCCAGGCCTCTGGACTGAATCATGACCCTGAGGAGTAGACAACTGCATTTAAAACAAATTTTTTTTTCCTTTATTGGTTTTAGAGAGAGAGGAAGGGAGAGGGAGAGAGAGAGAAAGAGAAATATCGATATGGGAGAGAACATCAATTGGCTGCCTCCTGCATGCCCCCTACTGGGGATCAGGCCCACAACCTGGGTATGTGTCCTCACCAGGAATCGAACCGGCGACCTCTTGGTACATGGGTCGATGCTCAACCACTGAGCCACACCGGCCAGACACAACTGTGCATTTTTAAAGCCTCATAACTGGGTTTAGAATAGAACTTTTCCAAAAAACTGTTTGAAGAAGAACTTTTCCCTTCTCAGGAAATGCCATCTATGATTTCTATATTGGCCGTGAATTAAATCCTCGGATTGGTACTTTTGATCTCAAATACTTTTGTGAACTGCGCCCCGGATTGATCGGATGGGTATGTATCTTATTTTTTTAAATTTCAGCGCAGCAGAAATTAGTCTTGGATTTAGAAAGAATTATGGACAATTTTAAGTAAACTGTGGGTGGTATATTTTAGGAATAATTATAGCTTTCCCTAAATCTGTCTACTTAAAGTGTTTTTTCACTCTAAATATAGTTCAGAGGGTTAAGATGCCCTGTTAACAGGTTACTAAACCTTAAAAGTTTGTTTTATTTTTATAGTTGTTTCTATTTATGTAGGAAAGTGACAGTGTCCATGAACTCATGTGAGGAAATATATATTTTTCTCCCCTTAAAAAAACAAAAAACACGTCTTTCAGATGTGTAGAGTTGCAACAATACAGAGTTCCCTTATATCCGTCACTCTCCTTCCCCATTGTTAACATCTGGCAGTTAGCAAATTAACATTGTTACAGTATTATTAATTAAATCCACAGACCTTGGGTTTCAGCAGTTTTTCCACTGTTGGCCTTACTTTATTCCAGGATCCTCTACAGGTCCCACAATGCAGTTCGTTGTTATTTTGCTTTGGTTTCTAGTCTGTAATGTTTGCTTACTCTTTCCTTGTCTCATGACCTTGACTAAAAATCCTTTAATTTGGGTTAGTCTAGTTTTTTTTAATTCTCATCTGAGGATATGTTTTTATAGATTTTTTAGAGAGAGAGAGAAACATCGATGTGAGAGAAACACCAATTGGTTGCCTCCCATACACGTCCCAACCTGGAATCGAACCTGCAACCTTTTGGGGTTTGGGACAATGCTCCAATCAGCTGAACCACCCTGCCAGGGCAGTCCAGTGTTTTCTCGTTACTGGAGTGATGCATTTTTGGCAAGAATACCACAGAAATGATATTATGTCCTTCTCAGTGCATCTTGTCAAGGGCTTATGATGTGATGTCTATTACTGATGGTGGTTGCTTGTTAAGGAGGCATCTGCTGGTGTCTCGGCTGTGGAGTGACCCTCTTTCCCTCTGGTTGCTAAGGACCTCTGAGGAGGTACTTTAAGACTGTTCTTGCCCCTTTTATTTCAGGTGGTCATTAACTTGGTGATGCTTTTGGCTGAGATGAAGTTACAGAATCGTGCTACTCCATCCTTGGCAATGGTTTTGGTTAACAGTTTCCAGCTCTTATACGTGGTGGACGCACTCTGGAACGAGGTAATTAATTTTAAAAGCAGGGTCAGATGGCTTTGAGTGTGGGTGAGGGACCTGACCTCACCTCTCCAGGCCTCGGCTTCTTATACAGTGAGGAGAATACCCCGCCTTCGAGGCTGGTGAGAACTGGATGGATGTCAGTCCCTGTGATGCTTTGCTCTTACTCGTGGTGAGCACAGCAGGTGGAAGTGTCTGCAGGTATCCAGGTCTGGAGGTGATCTGGCTATGTGCTCAGGCTGACCCAATCCACAAGGGACTGCATTTGCTTTTGTTAATTTACCATGAGAAGTGAAGCAGCTGGTGTACCATGTTGGCAGATAGCTTACTTTCTTATGTGGAACATCTACATGAAAATCCAGATTACGATTAGAAATTACATTGGTGCACGTGGATTTGAAACGAAGGCAACTAGCGATATTATTACTCCTTCAGCAAACAGACTCGAACACTTTCTCCAAGGCAGACAGGCAGCATGCTTCGTGCTGGGGTGGTGGAGGTGAGAACACACGGGTCCTGAGTTTTTATCTCCTCGTCCAGTGGGGGGAGTGACTCGGACATCACGGTGCAGTCCCACATTGGCTTCAGCAGACAGGAGTGTGGTGGCATCTGCGGAGTACCTTGTCGCATAGGGAGGGGTCAAGGAAGGCAGCTCACAGGAGGGTTAAGCTGAGGTTGGAGAAGGGTGTTCTGGGACGAGAGAATGGCCCAGGCAAAGGTGTGGAGGCGTAAGAGGCACTTCAGAGATCTGTCATTTCAGGGTCACAGGGTGAGAGGCAGAGTGACAGGAGATGAAGCCCTCAGGACGACTTAGTGGGTGCACAGGCCAGGGGAACCCGGTTCTCCCTCCCCACTTAAAAAAAATTTGGGCCGGTGTGCCCTCCCATAGCCCCTTATAAATTTACTATAAACTAGTACTTTATTTGAATACTTTAAACTTAGAAACTTTTGTTCCCTGAATTTTTTAAGAAAGTTCTTTTCCCTCTCTCTGTCCAATAGGAAGCAGTGTTGACCACCATGGACATTATCCATGACGGGTTTGGGTTCATGCTGGCTTTTGGAGATTTGGTGTGGGTTCCCTTCATCTACAGCTTCCAAGCTTTTTATTTAGTCCATCATCCAAATGAAGTGTCTTGGCTGGCGGCTTCTCTAATTGTTGCTGTGAAACGTGAGTATTGATTTCACTCTGGGCATTAAATGTTATGTACTGACTCTGTTGTGCTCTAGTCTCCACATGTTTAAAACATGCCCTTTTAACACACTGTGTACTGCATAGATATCTCTAAGACATACGCCAGGGACTGCACGTTTTCGGGCAAACTGCACATTGGGTTCTGAGCTGCACTCATTTGAACCAGCGGATGTCCATTCCCCAGCTACTTCAAGAATATAGAACGGTGTGCTGGTTTTCGTTCGAACTTCGACCCTCAGGGCGAAGAGTCACAAATACAATAATCCTATGTTACCCTGAGTTTCAAAAACTGAAATAGCTAATGCAACTGCAAACCCGAGTTAACTCGTGCACGGTCAAAAATGTGTTAAATGGCCATAGTTAGCTCAGTTTGAAGAAATTTGTGATGTATGAGTGATAAGATTCTTGCATTTTGCAAAGAGGATGGATGCTTCATACTTGGGCTCTTTAGTAGTTCTCTAAAAAGATACTTTTTGTTTTTAATTTTTAAGAGATTTTTTTCAATTACAGTTGACATTCAGTATTAGTTTCAGGTGTACAGCATAGTGGTTAGACATTTATATACCTTATGAAGTGATCCCCTGATAAGTCTGGTACTCACTTCACACCGTACAGAGTTATTACATTATTATTGACACTATTCCCTGTGCTGGACGTCATAGCCCATGACTGTTTTGTAACTACCGATTTGTGCTGTTCAATCTGTCACCTTTTTCACCCAGACCCCCAACCTCCGTCCTATCTGACAACGATCAGTTTGTTCTAAAGAGATAATTTTTAAACAAACTAGATTGCTTTTAAATTTAATAAATTTAATTTGAATTAATAATTTTAAATGAAATTGTTTTAGTAATGATTCATTTTTTTCTATTGATTGCCTGCTTTTTGTGGTCAGCACCCTAAAAAGTAGGAGCAGAGCCCTGGCCGGTTTGGCTCAGCAGTTAGAGCGTTGGCCTGCGGTCCAGAGAGACCCGGGTTCGGTTCTCGCTCAGGGCACGTACCTCGGTTGCAGTTTGTCCCCGGCCCTGGTTAGGTCGTGCGGGTGGCAGCCACTCGATGTGTCCCTTTCACGTCAGTGTTTCTCTCTCTCTCTCTCTCTCCTTCCCGCTCTATCTGAACAAAAAAATGGAAAAATGTCCTTGGGTGAGGATAAAAAAAAAGTAGGAGCCAAGTCTTGCCTTCTTACAGCTTCCATTTTAACAGGGGGAATAGACTCCTAGACACTCACGTGAGGCTTATGGAGGAGGACAGAAAAGAGGTGGAGGTCAGCAAGTCAGGCAGGAGTCAGCCCGGGAGCAGTGGTGGGAAGGTGAGCAGCAGCGCAGTTTGGCTGGAGCTAAGGTCCATGGGTATTAGCTTCAGGGGGCTTTCCCTTCACCACACTGTTCATTAAGCATCTCCACCAGAGGGAGGGTTGGGAAGGTCAGCTTTGAACTTCAAATATAGCCAGTTCTGCCACACTAATTAGGGGCCATGGTAGAAGAAATTCTGGTTTGGTTTATCCATGGCAACCATGCCTGTGAGTCCTTCAAGATAGTATATTACAGGTAAGCTAATAATTGTAACTTTTTACTACTTTATTGAGGACTGACAGTATAATACTTAATAATCAGTGATAGGTCAGGGCCTTTTGGACATTTTAGATTTGAATAAAAAAGCTACCAACTTGTAGGATTGCAGTGGGATTTGACATGTTTAAGTGCAAGACATTGTAGTACTGAGTCTAAGCTAGAGTTTTAATTAATAAAGTGTTCATGTTACAGCCAGCAGGTATTGTAACTAACCGAGGAGATAGCCTATATTCTTCATTATATTCAACTCTAGTATTGGTTTTATTGTAATGTGGGCTGTGTTAGATTCTATTCATGGATGTCTCTATTACTTGCTGGTTTTGCCTAACAGGTATTCCCTCATGGATGAGGAAAGCAGTATGATTTCACGATAATCACCTTCTTCTGATATTCTGAGATTGAGGGGTTTTTGAATTATTCTTAAGAAATTATTCTCTACTTTAGAAATTTCCTCAGAGCTCAGAAATAATCTCTAAGTGAAATTATAGATGCTTTGAGATATTAGATTATATCTAAATTGCTAACTAACATGAAGTTTTTTTAAATTTAGTTTGTGGATATGTAATCTTCCGATGCGCAAATGCTCAGAAAAATGCATTCCGGAAAAACCCCACTGATCCAAGGCTTGCACGTAAGTATTGGTTTTATTTTTATATCATTCATGTTGCGTTAAGGACTTATGCCTCTCCCTGGCCAGTTTTGCTCAGTGGTTAGGGCGCTGACCCACACACCAAAGTTTCGTGGGTTCAATTTCTGGTCAAGGGCAAGTACCTGGGTTCCAGGTTCAATCCCCTGTCCTGGTTGAGGCGCATGCAGGAGGCAACCAGTTATGTCTCTCTCATATTGATGTTTCTCTTCCCCCACCCACCTCTAAAAATCAATGGAAAAAATATCCTTGGGTGAGGATTAACAAAAAAAAGATTTTACATCTCTGTTTGCCTCCATATCATTACAAATATGTTTTTTATTTTTATATAGATTTAAAAACCATTCATACTTCAACGGGAAAAAGTCTTCTGGTTTCTGGATGGTGGGGCCTTGTTCGCCACCCCAATTACTTGGGTGATCTCATCATGGCCCTGGCGTGGTCCCTCCCATGTGGTAAGCACTACGAGGAGCACTAACCGGACTCTCTGGCTGCCCACGGGATATGTCCTTTGTTGGGGCATCGTGGGCAGAGCCGGTGTGTGTGGGGTCTCTCTGGTCGCGGTTGGGGTGCCCATGGCAGGTGCTCCTCATTCCTCTGGCTTCTGGGGGAGTAAGGAGCTCAGAGCCTGACGTTTTCCTCTAATCTTCTAAAAGCAGATTTTATGTTTTAAACTGTGCCTGATGCTTTTTGCTACATAGAATATATGGAAATTTAAGTTTTTATTCATGACTCGGTGTACACACCCCCTGAAACATTGGTTTGGAAGCAGCAGCCATTCTGCTGTACCAGCCTGCCCCCCCTTCACTGAGGGTGACAGTGTTAATCACGATGGGTTGTTAGACTGGATTAATCACGTTTCTGACGAGCTTTTCATTCAAATACTGCCACGCACGGGGATGGTCTGAACTGGTGCAGTGCCCCTCATTACTGAAGACAGAGTTATCCTAGGGTTCATTTAGACTCGCAGGGGTGAGGGACCTTTATCCTGCCCAGGGCCATTTGGATATTTATAACATCATTCTCGGGCCATACAAAGTTACCAAATTTACCTGCTATATTTGGTCAGACTAATTTGGTGAGGGTGTGATGTGAGCTGGTATTGACTTCTTGGTCCTTCTATGGCCCACGGACCAGACGTCCCCCACCTCTGAAGAGGGTTTGGGGAAAAGCTTGCTATTGTGCAGTAGAGGTAATCACAGTACTGAACACTTTCCGCCCAGGTTTTAACCACATTCTGCCGTACTTCTACGTGATCTACTTCACCGCGCTGCTGGTGCACCGCGAGGCCCGGGACGAGCGCCAGTGCCGGAGGAAGTACGGTGCGGCCTGGGCCGAGTACTGCCGGCGCGTGCCCTACCGCATCGTGCCCGGCGTGTACTGACCGGCTGAGTACTGCCGGCGCGTGCCCCGCCGCATCCTGCCCCACGTGTACTGACCGGCCGAGTACTGCCGGCGCGTGCCCCGCCGCATCCTGCCCCGCGTGTACTGATGGCGCCGAGTCCCACACAACCTTTCTTTGCACTGAGTGGATCTGTAAGTGTCTGTATGGGTCAGGACTATGCAGCCCAATAGTTGGTCTTTTACTATGTCCATGTTTATTTTTATTAAATCATAATTAACGTAAGGAAAAGCATAAAGATGTTAGACTTTGCATTCTAATGGGGAATTTTCAGGTCTTAAAAATCTGCAAGCAGAAACCAGTCTTATCAATGCCCTGAGAAGAATACTTTTGATGTTTATGGGTTTAGATTTTTAAACTTTTGGTCTTTGTTAGTTGGTTCTTACATGAAAACACTGTTACAATTCAAGTGCATTATGTTTTGCTGCAGTAAGAATAGAATTCTCATTCGTTTCCCTTTAAATGGAAGCATTTACTAGTTTTGTGATTGGAAAGTAAAAACCAGACTCATGTCAAATGCTATGTAGGAGGGATGAGAGAGCAGTGGTACTGTTCAAGGGACACCATTAAGAGTGGTTTGCTTAAGCTGAACTTCTAAAACTGCGTTTGAAAATGTAAATACATAGCTTTTATGTAATATATGGTGACTTCAGATTTTTCTGTACAGTATTTTGAATGTGAAATAATTGTCAGGACTAAGTAGCTTAACAAAAACATTTGCAGTATTTTAAATTAAGTTTTGTAAAGTAATACATGTGAATTACAATTTTTGAAACAATTAGAATTCATTTACTAGTGTGTAAAAGATGCTATTAAGACATAGGAAGGGTATTTTTCTTAATCCAAAGTTTGCAAATTAGGCTTTTCTACCTCAATTGCAGGTGTTTGTTTGCCTTTATAAACTTGCAAATAGAAAAAAATAGAATATATATTTTTGGAATAACATCCCTATTTAAACATTTTTACACAGATTGGTGGTTGAAGAGTTGCCATTTCAGGCTAATATTTTTGTATATTTTTTTTACTTTTTTAATTAAACTGTGTTTTGCTACTGTTGAGCTCATGCAGTTTATACTGTATTTTGTATATTCTTTATAAACTCTGCTCCCTGTGAAGGAGTGCTGTGTTCATCTTAAAACAATTTAAGGGACTAGTTTAACAATCATAGATGTGCACAAAGTAGCTTTAGCTGTTAGATTCTGGTTAAGTTGATATAGTCTCATTAATTGTTCTATAATGGAAAGCAAATCCACAACTTTATTCAAATTTCAGTTCTCAGAATCTTAACCATGTGGGGATCTAATAAATATAGTGTGCATGTGGAGTTTTAATGATAGTTTATATATGAGCCCTGTGTGAAGTGTGTGATCAGGCATCCTGCATCCGTAGTCGGCAAACACTGTTTGAGCTGCGTTAGTGCTGCGCGCGAGCAGTTTATCCTGCTTTCTCCTGGCCGTGGAAGGTGGTGCCAGCATGTTCTGGCCCCGGTCCACTGAGGAAGCATTGGGGAGGAAGAAGCACATTCCATTCTCTCCCCGGTAATGAGAAAGCCTGCTACCAGCAGTGCTATAGTTTCTGGATACCAGCTACATTTTGTTTTTCACGTTTATCTGACAAGTTTAATAAAGTTTTAAGTTAGAAATAAAGATATTGCTTTGATCACTTTGGAGCCTTGTTTTCTTCTTTGCATATAACTCTGGGCTCACTGTCGTGGAACAAGAGTCCTTGGCCCTTGGATTACCCCCCCCCCTTATTCCTGGGGTTGTTTGTTTGCGAAGCTCCTGGACCACAGGGAAGGCAAACGGGCCCCGTAGCCAACTGCTGCTTAACTTTGAGGCTCTCAGAAAGGTAGAGCTTCACGGGGTGGCGGAGGGTCCTGAACCAGAGCCCAGCTGCACAGAGGCTGCTCAGAACAGCAGCTGGAACGTCCCCCGCCTGCTCTCATGTACGAAGAAAGAGAGAGACTGCGTCTGCCCGGTCTGGCTGAACACACACGTTTTTATGAGGGGTGTTATTACATGTGCATGTCTTAAATCACATCAGTCTGGTTCGAGTCAGAGATGAGATGTTTGGGGTCGAAGTTTACTTTTCATTCTTCTCACACAGCATTGCAACCTGCATTGAGCTCCAGTGACTAGGCGGTTTCTTCGTGGGTAAATACACCGATGTTAGAAAGTTCGAGAGGAAGCCAGTGGTTGCCAAAGTCGACCTCTCGGGGGTCTGATAAACTGGGCATTCAAAAGTATAGAGTTCTGGATCTGTCTGGTTAGATGTGTTTGGTGTTTCAGCGGAAATCTTTAAAAAAAATCCAATAGTCAAATTGTGTAGTTTAAACAAACCAGTAGCTCACCTTTTCTATATGTTAGACTTAGGGGGTTGTTATGAATTAAATACACAAGATTAGGTGGCTATGTCACTGCATATGAAAATTATGCCTGGAGGTTTTGCTCAGAGTAATTATGGCTTTGTAGTGCATATTCTTGGGAAGCAACACTGGATGTTGCGGCTGTTTTCAGTGTGTTCCTCCTGAGGCGTAGGATCACATCTCCCAGGTGAAATCAGGAAGGTGCTTTGGAGCCGAGGGAAGCTCAGGCCCGAAGCTCCAGGACAAACGCTGGGTGCTTACCTTTGTTGGCAAGAAGTATATTTCCGGAAAATCACAACATATCTCACGAGGCAGCGAGTCTTCTAGTATTTTTTCTTCATGATTCCATCTTGCCCCCTCGATGAACAGACCAAAAACGTGAACTCCAGTGTGTGTGGAGTCTGTGCCCTGAGATCAGAGAGGAGCTGTCAGGCGCCGGGCAGGACACTACCTTCCGCACCCGCTCCCGACCCGGGAGGGACCGTCCCCGCACTGGGCAGCTTTGCCGGGCAACACAGCGAGGGCTTGCATTTCCCCACTCAGAGCTTCAACGGCGTGGCTCTACATAGGATGGTCCTGAACTGACCAGATTTTCAAGTACAGGAAAACTCCGAATTTCTGGGACTATATATGATCCTTGGCCCAGCTTTTCAGAAGAGAGTGAGATCACAGAAGGGGTCGAGCTTTGTCACCTGCCGCTACCATGATTCACTGAGGCCGTGGACATTTCAACAGTCTGGGAGGGGTTCTGTATCATATATTTGAATGATATAAAAAAAAGTTAAACAAGTTTCTGATCAGTTCTGTTAAGTAAAAACTTTGTTGCCAGCAGCTCCAATTCTGGGTGTCCTCAGGTGTGCCTAGGGTGTCTGAGGGGCTGGGAGGCCCAGCATGATGCCCTCTCTGATCAGGCAGGTCCCTGGGGAGAATGGATGGGCACAATGCCCTGAGCTCCCCACCCAGGCTCTGGGCCGGCTGATTTACCTGTGAGCAGTGTGGGACAGCCACTGAGCTCTCCACTCGGTGGAATGTGTCTGCACCTGGAGGTGCAAACTGAACTCGTAGAAAGCACCTCGTAGTTTGGCTTGTTCTCAGAGGAGTAAGAAGGAAGGAGGAGGAGGAGGGGAAGGAGGAAGGAAGAAGGAGGAGGAAGAGGACAGAAGGAGATAGAGGGGAAGAAGGGAGGAGGAGGAAGGGAGGAGGAGGAAGGAAGGAGAAGGAAGGAAGGAAGAAGAAGAAGAAGGAAGGAAGGAGGAGGAGGAGGGAGGAAAGAGGAAGAAGACAGAAGAACAACTATAAGAAGAAGGGAAAGAGGCCCTGGCTGGTTTGGCTCAGCGGTTGGAGCGTTGGCCTGCGGACCAGAGAGTCCCGGGTTCGGTTCCCGCTGGGGGCACGTACCAAAAAAAAAGGGGAAGAGGAGGCACCCTGATCTCAGACTTCCCACTTCCAGAACTAGGAGAAGATACATTTCTGTCATTTCGGCCACCCAGTGTGTGGTATATACATACAGTGAAATACTATTCAGTCTTCACAATGGAGACTCCGTTTTAAGGTAACAGCTACCACACAGAGGAACCTTGAAGACGACGTGCTGAGTGAAAGCAGCTGGCCTGACTCCACTGAGCAGTCACGGGGCAGGCAGTAAGGGCCATGGGGGGGGGGGGGGTGGCCTGGGGCGTGTCCGAGTGCAGCCTCAGCGTGGGAGGACAGTGAATGGTGGTGATGGCTGTACACACCGCGAATGTACTCACTGCCACTGAGTGGTGGGTTTTATCTTACGTACATTGTACCACAATAAAAAGTGGAAAAAATAGTAAAGTAAAAATTTGATTTTCAAAGAGGAAGAATGAGGCTCTAGCAAGTGTCCACACAGAACTGTAAAACTCTAGACCTGTGTGGCCTTGGTCCTGGATTCCCCAAACAGATGGGAATTCAGCACACAACAGGGGTCCTGAAATCAGTGGGGACATGGTGAGAGGCTCAGGGCAGGGTCTGTCCCGGGCTCTGGCTGGCTGTGCTCTCTGCTGCCCCCAAGCTGCCTCAGGCTATTCTGCCTCAGGCTATTCTTCCCCAGAGCCTTTGCCGAGTGCCCCCAGTGCCCTGCCCGCCAGGGGGCGCTCTCCGCTTGCAACCTGGCCGAAGTGTGGGCTGCTGGGCCACAGGGGGGGTCAGCTGGGGCAGCCCTGAGGAGGGTTTGGGCCACTGATTTACAATTTCACCTTTCGGTCCCTTTCTCAGCACCATCCAGTCTTCATTTATAACCGGGGATGGTTATAAAGTTCATTTACTGTATTTATTTAAATCTTTTATTTAACTCATTTACAGGGTGAGGCAAAAGTAGGTTTACAGTTGTTCATATAGAAAATAATACAATAATTGCCCGGCCGGTGTGGCTCAGTGGTTGAGCGTCGCCCCATGCACCAAGAGGTCGCCGGTTCCATTCCCGGTCAGGGCACATGCCCAGGTTGTGGGCCAAATCCCCAGGGGGGCGCATACAGGAGGCGGCCAACTGATGTGCTTTCTCATCAATGTTTTATTGCTCTCCCTCTCCCCTCCTCTCTCTCAAAAAAAGAAAAAATTCAATAAAGAAAAAAATACATTAATTAAATAATAACACAAGAATAAACTGTTTTGCAAACTCAGAACTACAGACCTACTCCTTGTACAATTCTTTGCCTCCCCCTGGAAAGAGTGGGACAGATGGAGTTTGATGGCACCTGGACTTGAAGGGGGACTGTGCCTTGTTTATGCTCCCTGTCCCGTGCCTGGCACGTGGTGAGTGCTGAACAGAGGTTTGTTGAGGAAATGACTGCTGGATTGAGTGAATGAGTGAGTGAGTGAGTGAATGAATGAATGAATGATTACTCTTTCCGATCTTTTAAGCACCCTGGTACCTTAAAGGCTCTCCTGACCATGTTGAGCTTCTTCTGGATGGTCATGGAGAACTCCTCCTCTTTGATTTCAGCCGTGTCAGAGATCACATGGTGGGAAAAAGTGAGGGCATCTATGGATAGTCCTTGGGCTCTTCCGTAGTCTTGCAGCACTGAAGTCAGAAAGGCTTTAGAGAAAAACACACAAGTTCCTTGCGAGTCTCAGGGATTCAGGGGCTGTGCACTTCCTGGGGTGAGTGTGTGTGTGTGTGTGGAGGGCTGTTAACAACACTGATGTCTCATGGGGAAGGAAGAGTGGGGAAAATAGAGTCAGGAGATGCAAGAGGTGGGTGTGAGGCTGGGCTGGGTGGAAGGACAGTGTAACTCCAGGGACACAGAGGCAACTGACCACCTGGATCCAGCCATGCCTGAAGCCAGACCCTTGACGTTCTTTTCATTTATATAAGCCTTTAACTTTCCCTGTTGTGCTTAACCAAATTTGGACTGCATCCTGCATCTTGATACCAAGACACCTAACACAGTTTAACTGTTCTCTTTGCCACCCGCTCCTCTTTCCCATGTTTAGTCCATCCTGCAAAAATCATCAGTTTAGTAACTTTGTTCTTGATTTTGTAATGCCCCTGCCCAGAACCCACCACACCAGGGCTCACAGAGTGAATTGTAGTCTCCTCAACTGAACAATTTAAGCCCTGCCATATTGGCATGTCGCCTCTGCCCCCTTGTTACACAAGACAGCCACCTAGACGGCGCACCCGACTCGGGGCCTGTGCTCATGCCACCTGCCTTGGATTATCTTTCTCAAATTTCCCTTCAATTCTTCAAGGGTCAAGGGGCCATCTCTACAGGCTCAGCCAGTAGTGACCTCGTCCTCGGTGCACCTCTCAGAGGACTGCAGGCTCCGGCAGACAAGACCTGAGTGGTGACCACCTTTGCGCCTGTGGCGGCAGCTGTCACACTGTGGCCTCGTCTGCGGTGCTCAGTGACTTGCTGTCCACACCATCTCTGCCTAATGCAGATGTCTCCGTGAGCTCCAGCCCAGTAAACCCGACTCTCACCGTCATTGTTTGTATTCTAACATCTCAAATTTGACACGACCATCATTTTGCTCATCATTCTGCTCCTCTCCATGTGTCCCCTATGAAGTAAATGACATCAGCCTCCAACCAGCTTTCCAAGCCAGGAAACTGGGAGTCACGCTTAACCCCTCCCTCCTGCTTACCGGCCCCTTCAGACATGGAGTCCAATTGGTCTGATTCCCAAGTGGCCTTCTAGTCAACTACTTTTCTCCTACCCCACTACCAGTGTCCTACCTCGTGTCACCACCAATTCTGGCCTGGACAATAAAGCAGACTCCTAAGGGCTCGGGCCCATCCTTTGGTCTTGGCTTCTGAATCCACCTTGCCCCTCCCCCCGCTGCAGCCATTAGATCAGGCATCTCTTGCCTGCAGCGTGTCGGTGGTGCTCACGGCCACAGGATGGCGTAGGTGCCCGCAGTGTGTGTCTTATGGCCCCTGGGAGCCAGCCCTTGCCCATCTTGCCAGCTTCCTCCTAAACCATTCTCCCTTTCTGGGTCTTTCTCTCTGGCCATAAGGAACCTTTGGCTTCTCTAATGTGCTTTTTCTCTCTCTCATCTCTGGGCCTTTAAATGATCTTCTAAGAATGCAATTCCCAGTCCAGTGCAGTGGTGAACCACGTGCATATCCAAGTTCCACTAAGCATATGGTTTTGTCACTCATATGCTGTGTGACTCTGGGCAAATTACTTAACTTTTCTCTGCCAAGGTCTTCTTATCTGCAAATAGGGTTAGTAATCGTAATGACTCCCTACGACTGTCCTGAGAATTGGATGACTTAGTATGTACAAGTCCTCAGAGCAGAGCCTGGTGCGCAGTAGGCACTATGTAAGCACCTACTCTCCCTGCAGCCTACCCCTCTGGGTAATACCCGCCGGTGGCTCTAAGTCTCAGTGGCCTTCCCTCACCCTTAGAGTTTAGGTCCCCCAGTTTTATGCTCCAGAAGTATTCAACCATTCATAGAGTCATTCAGGAAGTCATTCATCCATTCTCCAGACATTTATCTGGAGTGTTTTAGGTGCTTGGGTGCAACAGGGAATCAGACCAGCCCTGCTTCTGCCCTCATGGAGCTGACAGTCTAGTGTTGCCCCTTTACAGCCCCCATCCCCCGCCTCCATTGTTGTGACACGTATGGTAGGATGTCTGTCTTTCCGAGCAGGTGGGCCCAGGACCCAGCACACATTCATTCATTTGTGCATTTTTGTTAAATAAATGAAAATGGCCTAAGCAACCCTGGAGTAGGCGCCCCTCTCCAGGAGTCACCTCTCAAAAGGTAGTGGCTTTGGAAGGGACCTAGTGTTGGCCTCTGACATCATAAAATCAATAGCCTGGAGTCGAGATAAGGAGACCCATGCTGGGGTGCAGGTGTGAGGAGATGGGGTGACGTGGGGGGAAAAGATTGCTCTCGGCAGGCAGGAGGCCCTGACACCTGAGGAGGTTGCTGAAGCTGGTGCATCAGCCTCTCATCCTGAAGGGGGGAGGACAGGAATTAGTGGTGGAAGAACTGGGCGCAACTCCCCTGGGCCAGGCGTGGGGCTGTTCTCAGGCTCACCTTGTGGAAAGAAGAAAGCTGGGAGCCAGTATCTTGCAGGAAATCCTTCAAAGAAAGTATCCTTTTCATCCGTAGGATGTTTGGGGTTGGGCTTAGAGTGCTTCCAAACTGTGATAAATCTCATATACCTAGCGGAAGGTGGACCACAGGTTGGGATGGTTAAGGGCATAATAATCGCACACCTTCGGATGATCTGGGCAGTTTTCTCCAGTCCCTCCTAACTTTCTCCCTTCCTCTTCCTCTCCAACTCTCCCCAACTTGGGAACCTTGTCCTACACTTGAATGGAAACCAGCTATGGCTTTAAAGCTCTTGAGACCATCAAGCAGGAGAAGGCACGTTGTTTTCGCAGGGGGATCCTGGCTGGGCCTTGCAGAACCATGTGGGTTGTTACTGAGGTCTCTAAAAGGATACATAGTAACATTTACGTAAAATTACTCCCTGCCAGATGCAGTTTGGCACCGACTTTGGAATCAGGTTTTCTGGGTTCAAATCTCAATACTTCCACTTTCTAGCTGTGGGCAAGTTACTTCATGTTTTTGTGTCTCAGTTTCCTCATCTCTAAAATGAGGACGACGATAAATGACAGTACCTACCTCGTACTCTAGGGTTACTATGACAATATGTGGTTTAGTGGGAGTCACGCAGGTGGACAACTGTTTGGCACACTGCAAGGCCCTCGTTAAGTGTTAACTACTCTCATGCCTTTCAAATTATTCTGTATCATGTATTCAACACATTTAAAAATTACATGTAACTAATTCTTATTTCTTCTCATGCCCCGCCCCCCATTTCACGAGACACGATGTGGAATGAGAGAGAGAGGAACGTACTAGGTTCTATCTCTGTCCTAGAGGGGAGTGACCTTGAGTCTCGTGGAGTGACCTTGGACGAGACTCAACTTCTTAGGTCTCCATCTCCTCCTCCTAAACTGAAGATAAGTCCTCCCAACCCCTTGCCTAAGTCACATGTTGCTGTGAGAACCCATCGAGACCAAACATGAGCAATTATGCTGTGGACTGTTAAGCTCTAGGCAGAAACACGGGAGGCGTGCAGACCACAGCTCTGCTCCGTACCGCTGGTAGATCGCCGCGTGGGCCATCTTGGCCCAGGTACTGAAGAAGTTGAGTCGCTGGATGAGATCATTAACCCAGGAACTCAGGGGCTTGCATGACTTGTAGGCGTGTTTCTGTTAGGGTGGAGAGAGGATGTGTTTTAGATTTTTCCCTAGCCTATAGAAACCTGTAGCTCAGCGGTTAGAGCGTCGGCCTGCGGTCCAGAGAGACCCGGGTTCGGTTCCCGCTAAGGACTCGTACCTCGGTTGCAGTTTGTCCCCGGCCCTGGTTAGTCGTGCGGGTGGCAGCCACTCGATGTGTCCCTTTCACATCGATGTTTCTCTCACTCTCTCGTCCTCTCCCTCCCTCCCATTCTATCTGAACAAAATGGAAAAATGTCCTCGGTGAAGATTAAAAAATAAATTAATTAATTAATTAGTTAAGAAAAAAAAGAAACAATTTGTTGCCAGAGGCAACCGGCTCGAGAGGCCAGGATGTTGCAGCCAATTCCCACCTCAGCTCCAACTCCTACTTTACAAAAGGCCGTTTCTAGCCCCAGGCTCCGGTACAGAGAACCCTTCTCCCCTCCTCCGGTCCCTGGACGCAGCCGCCCGCTCCCTCGGCTGCTGGCTCCCAGAGGCCAGCTGGGCCTGGCGGGACCGGAGCCTCGAGCTGCCTTGGCCCCCTGGCTGGCTCCTCTCCCGTGGACTTGTCCTCAGCCCCTCTCCCGCAATGTGCCTCCTGGGCACCCCGGTGGGCGGATGGGCCGTCGGCCTGCTTGGCTGGCACTCCGAAAACTCTTGATCCGGGTTTCCAGAATCTCAAGCTCGCGTGCCTTTTCCTAAGCACGTATATGCATGTCTACGCATGTGTTTTACATAAATATATGTTTTTATAATGCTTAAAAATGACATATTTCTCTGAAACTTAAAAAATATTTAACAATGCATCTTTATAGTACATCAGAATCATCATTTAACCAGATTCCTATTAATAGGTCCTGCTGTTCTCAGCTTTACGCTACTATAGACAGTCCTGTGATTAATGTCTTAGATACAGTTGTAGAACTGTCTCCAAGAGACTTTGTTAGTAAACACTCACACCAACAGTATGTCAGCATCTCTCAGTGGCTACATGACATTTCGTCATGTGGCTGCACCACGGTCACCTGCTCCTGCCCTGCAGCTGGGACAGGCGGTGACTGTGGGGTGTGCACTGACCTGCCACAGCGCTGGCACCTTTGATCTGAGGAAGGCGTCGTACGTGTCCTCCAGCTCCAGGGTGAGGATGATCTCTCCTTTTATAGCGAGTTGAAGATCTTTCAGAGATTTATGTATAACAAACAGTAACTTATCAAATCGTTCAATTTCTTGGTTCAGTAACGTTAGCAAGACACAATGGATTAGGGGATCGTGGCCTGGATTAGAGAGAGGGAGAAAATGATGATATCTTGAGATAAAATGGAGAGATACAGGATTTGGAAGTTCAAGGAATTTCATTAATTTAGGCCAGGAACTGAAAACATTTTCTGCGGAAGGCCAGTCGGCAAATATTTCAGGCTCTGTGGGCCCCCCAGTCTCTGCCACAACCACCAGCCCTCCCACTCGTGTGAACGCTGCACAGATGGCGTGACAACGAGCAGGCGCGGCCGTGACCCAGCACGACTCGCAGGAACTCACGCATCTTTCATTTTTAATCCTCACCTGAGGATATTTTCCCATCGATTTTCCTAGCTCGAGTGGAAGGGAGGGAGAGAGAGAGAAACATCGATGTGAGAGCGACACATCCATTGGTTGCTTCCCTCCCGACCCTGACCAGGGCCTGAGATCAAACCTGCAACCCAGGTACATGGCCTTGACCAGGAATTGAACCCACGATCCTGCAGTCCACAGGCCGATGCTCTAATCACTGAGCCAAATCTGCCAGGGCTGGCAGCTCAAATTTGATTTTTTATATTATTTATGTAACCCAAAAGACTCTTGTTTTTTTGCAGCCATTAAGAAAAGGTAAAAATCATTTAAGCTTGCAGGCTGTATGAAAACCAATGGGCTGGATTTGCTGACCAGTGATCTGGACGCACCAATAGTACTATTTTGATAGACTACTGCTCAACATTTGGTTCCAAAATTAATCTTTTTTAAAGGGTTAAAATATGGGCGTTGGAAAGTTAACTGGGCAAATCACCGCAGTCCAACACTCTGGCCCCTCGGCGCTGGCCTGGAACCGACTCCGGGCGCCCAGGCCGCTGTCCCCTCGGGTCTGCCCGCCTCCCGCAGCTGCTCGAATCAAGATGTCCCACCCGAGGCCCCTCTGACCCCGGCCCCGGTGCTGGTCCAGGAGGCCGGCAGCCACGGAGAACACACCTACCAGCTCCTTAGGATCGCTCCAGCAGAGTGCTTCTTTCTGTTGCTATGATGATTATTCCTCCATCCGTAGTCTTGGGGCCATCACCCCGTCCACCTCCCAAACCCCACAAACCCCAAACCAACCCGCAGCGACCTTCTCTTCTCTGCTCCTCACCCTCCGGCTCGGAGAGACCGGCTTTAGCTTCCCAGGTCCTCTCGGCCTCCCGGCTTCTGTGCATCTCTCGTCCTGCCGGTCCCCTCCTCCCGACGCCAGCGCCCCTGGCCGAGGAGCTGGAGATGAGCCGCCTACCTTTGTGACCTTCACGGAGAGTCTCCCACATGGGGCTGGACACGATGCTCCGGAAGGTGCTCGGGGCCCCCGTGCTTTCCTCCTTCTCCACTGCCCGCGGCAGCTGCTTCCGCAGGCCCGACAGCATCTCCATCACCAGCTCGTCGCTGCTCTGCTCGCGGCTGCAGGAGGCCGGAGGGGACCAGAGCGGGTGTGGGTCCTCCCCGCCCGCAGGCAGACGCGGCCTCACGGAGAGAGCCGCGACAGGGACATTTAGAGAGATCGCAGCTCGGTGCATGCTACACACGAGAACACTGTTCAGGGCACGTTAGACGTTTGCAAGGAAATCTGGCTTTCAGAAGTTTGCTTCAGATTTCCTTGTAAAATCTTCAGCGCCTGAATCCATCTGCATAAAGGAAATGCCAAGACTGAACCGAAAAGGAGGCGGCAACAGAGTGCGCGCAGGTCGCTTTGCAGGTCATTCGACCGGTGCCACGTCCTCGGGGTGGTGACAGGAGCATGTGTGTGCAAGTCTGGGCGAGGCTGTGACACTGAGCAGAGCTCTTTGGAGTCGCTATGACGAGGAGGAAACCGGGGCTCAGGGAGGTGACAGGACGGCTCTAAGCAGCTCCTGGATGAGTGGGGAGGGGTCACCCCTCTCTGGCGCCCCCTCTCTGTTACTCTCTGTACTAGCGGGAACTGACTGGCTTTTCAACAAACACCCCAGGCTTCACCCGGCCAAAGGGCCAAAAAAATGTCGTCCTTCAAAGGGAGAGAGAATCTGGAAGCGACAGTGACGTGTTTCGTTTGACAGTGTTGCTCCTCAGCACGTCTCCACTCACTTTACTGTCACACTGGGTGTTTTTAAAAACATGTTTTTATTGATTTGAGAGAGAGAGAGGAAGGGAGGGAGGAAAGAGAGAGGGACACATCGATTGGCTGCCTCCTGCGTGCCCCCTACTGAGGACCGTACCTGGGGACATGCCCTGACCTGGAATCCAACACGGGTGACGCCCAACCAACCGAGCCACACCGGCCAGGGCTACACTGTATTTTTAATTATATTTTTCTATACTGTATCTCTTCAAATGAACATCTTAGTAGCTTTTAATAATAATTTTCCTAATTTAACTAACAATAGTGAGTCTTACCTGACATGGGGGCTGAGACAGGTAGTTCCTGACTCCAGGGCAACGAGACAATCCATGAAGTTCTGGCCCTGGATCTCCCTGCAGCCCCGGGTGGCCTCAGGGTGCAGTCCCAGCAGCTCGGCAGTGTCGTCCTCCGGCAAGGCCTGGACCATGTGCACGTACTCCCAGAGGCTCGCGGACTTGGGCGCCGGCTGGCAGGTCTGACAACGGAAACCCCGTTAATCTGTGCCCAGTGGGGGACCTACTGCCGGTAACGCATGACGAGTATTTCCCCATGAAATTTCACACGGGAGGGGCTTCTTATTTGTAGACGGTATGTTCGCGACACTTGTCAAAAGCTCCGTCTGGGAGCACAGCTCTGCGAAGTGCCGCTGTGTGAGGTGCACACGCAGTGTTCTCGGTGGGGAGAGGGAGAGGAGAGAGAAATTCTTAAAGGCTAGGTGACTCCGATCACCCGCTGCTCGGGACACTGTACCCGCGGGTAATAAACACAATCGCGCTTGGCGAAATCGTTTGCTTTGGTGAAACCCAGGAATGAACGTAAGCAGGAGCTTAAGGACGTTTAGCTGACCACTCAGGAATGGGTGACGCGGGCAAAAGGCACAAACTTCCAGTTGTAGAAAAAGAAAAGAAAAGAAGAAAAAGAAAAAAAGAAAGCTAATTAACGGAGGAAGAGAAGGCTTTCTTCCCGGTTACCAGCTGCATCTTCCTACTCATGCATGGAAACTAGGGCAGAGCAGTTCAAGGCTCCACGGGGCGCAGCTGGCTGCCTCTGCAAACAGTAATGCAGAGAACCAGCTGATTAATTTCGCATTACTGAAAGTTAAAAAAACCACTATAAGTGAACATTACAATTGATTTCAGGGCAGATTTCAAATACTTCAGCAATCATTTAGTTAAAAATAATGAAGTCACGTAAGAAAGTAAATTCCTTTCTCACCTCGTCACTAAAGAAACTGAAGTCCTCTCTCAGCACGCCGGGGTTACAAAACCTGTGGAGGAGGGTGCTCAGACATCGCTGGTCCCAGGGGTCCGTCACCCGGCCTCCGTAAACCACCTCGCCCAGCTGGTACTGCAGCGACCGCCAGGGGACAGCGGGCTGCGCGCTCAGGGCGCTCTCCAACACCTTCACGGCCACCTGCACAGGACGCACCTTCTTATTCCGGTGTGTTCCCGCTTACTTTGCTGTTTTAACGTAGAGCTACAGCTCTCACCAGCTAAATGTATTTTCTCTTTAAAATACAGAGAGAGCCCTGGCCGGTTTGGCTCAGCGGTTAGAGTGTCGGCCCGTGGACCAGAGAGACCCGGGTTTGGTTCCTGCTAAGGGCACGTACCTCAGTCGCAGTTTGTCCCCGGCCCTGGTTGGGGTTGTGCGGGTGGCAACAAATTGATATGTCTCTTTCACATTAATGTTTCTCTCTCTCTTCCTCCCGCTCTATCTGAAGATAAATGCAAAAGTGTCCTCGGGTAAGGATAAAAAAATATCTACATCTATATATCTATATATGTCTATGTCTATATGAGTCTGGCTGGTGTGGCTCAGTGGTTGAGTGTCGACCCATGCACCAAGAGGTCACCAGTTGGATTCCCGGTCAGGACACATGCCCAGATGGTGGGCCCGATCCCCAGTGGGGGGCAATTGATGTTCTTTCTCATTGACGTTTCTCTCTCTCTCTCCCTCTCACTTCCTCTCTCTCTAAAATCAATAAAAGAAACAAAATTAAAACAAAAAGTTAAAAATATAGAAATAGCAAGGGGAATACAAATATTAGGATATACATTTTTATCCATCAATTCTTTTCTGTTGTGAAACACTGAACTACTTACTTACTGTTTTTTTGGAACAGCAAGCCCAGGCAACACCACGCCCCACCTTAGGCCGCAGCAGCAGCCCCTGCCCGGGGAGGACCCCAAGTCATAACCGGCTGTGACCTCTCTTCGTGTGGTTGCACATCGGCAGTCCTCACAGCTTGTCCCCACATGCCATCATTTCCATTCCCCTGCAGCACAGACGCCCCTCCCCATCCGCATTGTGCCTTCTTTCCAGGAGGCCCTGGCCGAGGGGGCAGAGCAGGGAGGGCTCCTCAGTGGCCGGGCTCCGTGGCCGGCCCTGCCCAAGGCTGCCCTCGCTGTTTGCTGAAAACTCAATCAGAGCCTCTGTTCTTACCCTTCCCCAATTATGTGCCTTCCCCTTTGCTTGAAGACAAAGCAGATTAAATCATTCTGCTGCCCCAGGCTCCAAACCAAAAAACCCAACCCAAACCAAAACCACGAACTCCCAAGCCTGTGGTCGGAGATGTTGGTCTATTTAATTTTTACCAATGAGGGGTGGCACTTAGCTGTTGGCGTAACTTGTATTTCAGCTGGTACTGGTTGTTTTGAGCATCTTTTCTTTACCGAGTCTACTGGTCATTCGGTTTGATCTTCTGTACGTATCTTTTCTTTGGCTTGTTTGCCTTTTTCTGTTCACATGTACGAGCTCTCAGTATAGTAGAGACATTATCGCTTTCACCCCCACTGAGCCAGAAGTGCCCACCTCCTTAACGACAGGGGCTGTGCATAAACCCAGTTCCCCACCGAGGTCCAAGGTGCCAGCAGTGGGACTTTCTAGACAGCAGCCTGAACACCAGGCACCAAACTCAGAGAGCTGGGCGCCCAGGCCAGGCCGCTTTTCATACCAACCGGCCCCATCGGCAAATCTGCTCCTACATTCACCGCACAAACGGCACAGTAACCATTTGTCTGATACATGGTGCAACTATTTTTCTTTACCAGTATTTTGTTTGCCTTTTGCTGAAGCTTTGAGTAAGGTTTGGATGGAAGTGTGCTCGAGCTCACACCCCCTGACAGACGCCCAGAGACCAGTGTTCCGGTCGCGATGTGCTTGGGGGCAGACTAGACTCTGATAGGCAGCTGAGCTTGATGCCTCTTGTGGAAACGGAAAAGCCTCGCGAAGACACAGAAGAGATGGAAGGGGGCCCGTGTAAGGTGGGACCAGGGGATCCATCCCTAGAGGCAGAGTCCAGATTTCCCTGAGGAAGTGCTTTGGTATCTGATCGAAGAGAGAAGTGAGCAGGTTGTCAAGGCAACGGTCTACACTGGGTAGACACCGCAAGCAAGTTACCCTGGGGGAAGTTTGAGCAGTTGCTACCTCGTATTTGTTGTAGCAATAAAGCACACACCTCCACTATCGACACACAGAGAAGCGTCTGGAGAGACTGGAGTAAAGACAGACAATTAAGCTACATTTTTTCCCCACCACAACAGGTCAGTGTAATCTCTCTCACTTTAAAAGAATAGGTAAAAACAATACTTTTGTCATGACTTATACGTGTCAGGCACTGTTCTCAGGCCTTAACCTATACTAACTAGCCCTTTCAAGTCGGTACTGACGGTCGCCCTTTCCCCATGTGCATCTGTGGGCCAAGGACACTGACCCAGGGTGACTTAGCTTGCCCAGCAGAGTAAATACTTCCACAGCTGTGGGGAGTGGAGCTGTCATTTGATTCCAGAACAGCTGGCTTCAAAGTCCACCCCTTCAAATGTGCCCAGCTACAGAGTCCCTGTCATACCACCACAAAAAAGGTGCTTGGTTTGTACTGTGTTGTTATTTGCTTGTTGTTACTCTTTATTTTGAAGATACCACACTTACCTCGAAGTCTGAAGAACTAAATTTATAATCCACATTCCAGCCCAATATTCCATAATTTTTTCTTTCATTGATCACAGCATTGAAGACACACAGGCCGAAGAGAAGTTTTTTCCACCAAGGTCCACAGTCAGGTTTTTCAAACAGTTCCTTTGTCACCTCTCCACTCCTGCCATATCCAAGCATCTTGAGTAAATTACTTCTCAATCCTATGGGCTTTTCCACTGCGATCTTTAAAGAGATGAGCGTGAGAACAGTGTGTGGGGACAGACACAGGCACTGAGACTGCGGGGACTCTCCGAGCCCGGGTGAGGGGAGAGCGCTCGCTGAGCAGGTAACTCGCCAAGGTTACTGGCAAACCAGCACCCTCGCGTTCCGCTTTCACATCTGAGACTCCCGTGGAAGGACCGGCCTTCCCACGGCTCCAGTTCACATCTTAGTGAGAAGTGGACACTGCCCTTAAAAGCACACCCGTTGCCCTGGCCGGTTTGGCTCAGCGGTTAGAGTGTTGGCCTGAGGTCCAGAGAGACCCGGGTTCGGTTCCCGCTAAGGGCACGTACCTCGGTTGCAGTTTGTCCCCGGCCCTGGTTGGTCGTGCGGGTGGCAGCCACTCGATGTGTCCCTTTCACGTCGATGTTTCTCCCTCTCTCTTCCTCTCTCTCCCTCCTGCTCTGTCTGAACAAAAAATGGAAAAATGTCCTCGGATGAGGATAAAAAAAAACAGCACGCCCGTTTGCTCCCAGCTCTGGAAGCGCAGCACTTTGGAGAACAGGACCGTGAAGAGTCGCCGGTCCACACCCTCCATGGCAGGCGACGGCCGTCACAGAAGCAGGGACATGCCTCGCAAGGCGGCAGGCACAGGGGTCAGCTCATGGGACAAACCCGTGGAACCAACAGAAGTGTGCTGTCATCACTGATAGTACAAAGGAAAACCATTAGCCCTGGCTGGGGTGGCTCAGTGGACAGAGCATCGGCCTGCGCACCGAAGTGTCATGGGTTTGATTCCCCGTCAAAGGCATGTGCCTAGGTTGCAGGTTTGATCCCGGCCCTGGTCGGGTTGTGTGCGGGAGGCAACCAATCGATGTGTCTCTCTCACATCCACGTTTCTCCCCCCCACAACCCCCCACAACACACACTCTCTAAAATTCAATGGAAAAAATATTCTTGAGTGAAAAATAAATATAAATAAATAATAACATAAAAAAGGAAAACAATTAACTTGGTGTGTTTCTAAATTATTTTGCTTGCATTAAAAGTCCCTTTGGCCCTGGCCGGTTTGGCTCAGTGGTTAGAGTGTTGGCTTGCAGATCAAAGAGTCACAGGTTCGGTTCCGGCCAAGGGCATGTACCTTGGTTGCAGTTGTTCCTGGCCCTGGTCAGGGTCGTGCGGGAGGCAACCAATCGATGTCTCTCTCTCACATCAATGTTTCTCTCTCTCTCTTCCCCCCTCCCTCCCTTCCACTGTATCTAAAGATAAGTGGAAAAAACATCCTCGGGTGAGAATTAAATAAAAATACATACATACATAAATAAAAGTCTCTTTGGTTGCCCAGCCAGAGTGGCTCAGTTGGTTGGGCGTCGTCCTGTGCACCAGGAGGTTGTCTGTTCGATTCCCGGTCAGGGCACATGCCCGGGTTTCAGGCAGGAGGCAGCCGATGGATGTTTCCTTGTGACATCGATGTTTCTCTCTCTCTCCTGCTCCCTTCCTCTCTCTCTAAAGTCAATAAAAACATTAAAAAGTCCCTCTGGTTGACTTCCTCACTGGGATGATTGAAGCGAGGAGGGACAGGTGAAATGGGGAATCAATTGAGGCTGTTACGTCTGACACCGTGAGGGTCTGAAATGTTCGCTTATTTGCACAGTTTGCAGTTACACACATATATACATACAGATATATGTACATGTGTGTATACATATGTAAAACTGTGGGTTGCACATATATGATATATGGAAGGCTATGTCGATGAACATGAGATTTGTGGACTAGGTATCGAACTGATCATTTATTCACAGTACAGCGCTGGTTCCGCCAGGGGACAGACACAGTGGGAGTCAGATGTACCCTGCACGTGCGGATGGTGAGATGTGGACCACGGGAGGGGCACGGATGATGAAACCTAGCACCTAGAATGGCGGGCAGAGCCGGAGAGAGTTTTGCTCTGGGATGGTAAATCCTCTGTGGGGACTCGGTCTGGCGGACACCCCCCGGGGCGGAGGCAGATGCTCTGCGGGCAGGCAGGTGCGGGTGGGTTCGCGGCTCCCCACGGGGTTTGCCTGCACACCTCCCAGCGCAGGTGCCGTCGGTCTGCTCAGGAAGCTGCCTGTGCCCGAGTGAGCACGTTTCCCGACAGTTACGACTCTCCTCTCCTCTTTGATGAACTTTCCTTCCTGTCCCTCCTCCGCCACCTCCCCCACCGCACAGTGAAAACACCTGTGACATCTCCCACTCCCCGAGGGTCTGTGGGCTTCTCACGGTGGGAATGTGGGCATCTACTGTTAAAATAGCTTTCTTACGCAGGTAACGCATGCTTGTTGAAAGAATATTAGAAAAACAAATTAAAATATAAGAAAGAAAATATAAAAATGTGAAACAAAAATACTAACAAGTGTACAGGGTGGGGCAAAAGTAGGTTTACGGTTGTGAGTACACAAGTTTATTCTTGTACTATTATTAATTATTGTATTATTTTCCATACAAACAACTGTAAACATACTTTTCCCCCACCCTGTATTTATTATAAAATATAACAATGTAAAATATTTAAAAATAATAATTAATAACATGCCACCTAAGGGTAATTACAGATAACATTCGGTTATATTTGCTTTTTTTGGTTTGGTTTTGTTAATTCTCACCTGAGGATATTTTTCCATTGAGTTTTAGATACAGTGGAAGAGAGGGATGGAGAGAGGGGGGGAGAGAGAGAGAGAGAGAATGAGAGAGAGAGAAACATCGATGTGAGAGAGATACATGGATTGGTTGCTTCCTGCATGACCCTGACTGGGGCCAGGGATCGAACCTGCAACCCAGGTATGTGCCCTTGACCAGCAATTGAACCCGAGACCCTCCTGTCCTGGGGCCAATGCTCTAACCTGAGCCAAAACAGCCAGGGCAAGTACTCTCTTCTTGATTCAGAGTTATGAATGGAAGATGATTTACACTGAAACACTGTTCCTCAGTCAATAGTAAAATCTGTTATAATTGTCCTTACCTTTACACTCTTTTGAAGAACAGGAATTGGAAAAGAACTGTCTGATTCTGAGCTTAACCAGAGCCTAAACTCAGGGTCTATTTTCACATCTGGATTACTGAATCTGCAGAATAAAAAATTATGTATTGATGTGAAAATTTTAAACCAAACCAACGAGTTCTAAGAATCATAATATTTTAATGTTTTAAGGGACCTTAGAAATCATTTTAGTAATCGCCCTGGCCAGTTTGGCTCAGCAGTTAGAGTGTCGGCCTGCGGTCCGGAGAGACCCTGGTTCGGTTCCCGCTAAGGGCATGTACCTTGGTTGCAGTTTGTCCCCGGCCCTGGTTGGTCGTGCGGGTGGCAGCCACTCGATGTGTCCCTTTCACATCGATGTTTCTCTCTCTCTCTCTTCTTCTCTCTCCCTCCCACTCTATCTGTACAAAAAATAGAAAAATGTCCTCGGGTGAGGATTAAAAAAAAAAAAAAAGAAATCATTTTAGTAATCAAAGATCTATCAGACCACCCTAAGAACTTTCACGTTGCGCAAGAATTGGTACAAGACCCATTAATTCCCATTGGAAAAAAAATAATTTTTGGTCCCATAAGTGGTCAAATCTAGGACAACTGAACATCAAATTAAATGACGATAATAACAGATTATAATCCGTTGAATAAAATAGGAATCCACAAGTCCCTACTGATGTAAACAAATTAATGGGGAAGAAGGAAAATCTCTTCCTTATAGTGGAATATCATTCAATATATTTAGAAGAAATTGTGGAGTTTGAAAGTCACCATCAGCAAATAATACAGTAATAATTCAGTCAAAAATTATCAATGGATGTTAAAATTAGTGGATGAAAATATGAGATGCATATACGGTCTGACAGTCCCCACCGGTAGCAGATACCACTTTAATCAAATGATCAAAGCTAATACCACCAATAGTAGGACAGATTGACCTTATGTGTCTCTTCATATGATGTACCAAGAAGGATACAACAACAGAATTTCTGTGGTGTCCCTGAAATACTGCATAACTTTAATCTAACCATGAGAAAAATAACAAACACAAATTGATGGACATTTTACAAAATAACTAGCTTGAATTTTTAAAAATGTCAAAGATATGAAAGACAAAGACAGACTGAGCAACTATGGTAAAATAAAGGAGGTTTACGAGACATGACAACTGACTGCGATGACAAATCCTGAATTGGAACCTGGGCCAGAACGTTTCCCCTTTTTTAGCACTGAAAGATACTATCTGGACAGTATCTAGATATGACCAAGTTCAGTTGATGAGATAATCAACAGACACATTGAAGTATTTAGGAGTCATGTGGCATCATGTCTACAATTTACTTTCAAATCGGAAAAATATCACATATATATAATATATATATATCTGAAAGAAATGATAGGGCAAAAATTAGTAAGTGGGAAATGAAGATAAAAGGTTTAGGGGAGTATTTATATTATTGTAACTTTACTGCGAATCTGAAATTATTATTTTTTAATTACAAAACAAACCAAAGCAACAAAAGCAAAAACAATCCCCCCCCATAAAAAACACTGAACACAAAATTAAACAGAAAAACAAAAATAATCTCAAATTCCATTAAGTATAGTCTCCTGCTCTTTCTCCCTCTCTCAAAATCTCTCATTTTTGAATAAAATATTATAGTGTACATCCTGTTTGTAGCCTGCTACTTTTTCTCTTAGCAGTATATTATAAACTGATTTAATTCCTAAATTTAAGAAAAACACTTTAGCCCTGGCCAGTTTGGCTCAGCGGTTAGAGCATCGGCCTGCGGTCCGGAGAGACCCGGGTTCGGTTCCCGCTAAGGGCACGTACTTCGGTTGCAATTTGTCCCCGGCCCTGGTTGGTCGTGCGGGTGGCAGCCACTCGATGTGTCCCTTCACATCGATGTTTCTCTCTCTCTCCCTTCCTCTCTCTCCCTCCCACTCTATCTGTACAAAAAATGGAAAAATATCCTCGGGTGAGGATAAAAAAAGAAAAACACTTTACATTTTTCTCTCCCATTGTAGACAATTAGGATGATAGTCTTAAATATTTAAAGACCTGATTTGATTAAAAAAACATATGAATTTCTCTTAATTATACTCCGATTATATAGAATGTTTTTGAATATCATTAAGCCTTTGAAATTCTGTTCTGAAGAGCATTTCTCTAATTTAGTGAAACATAGGTATCTGTCATTCTATTGTCTATCTTACTACACTTTGAAGTCTTTCTGATCCATGCCCTTAGTCCCTAGAATGATTCTTGGCAGATAGTAGGAACCCTATAAATTTTTATTTATTTATTTATTTATTTATTTATTTATTTATTTATTTTACTAAATACAGCATAAAAAATCTGGTAGAAATTATTGCATCACCTTCCAAAGTTTACATCTGCTGACATCATCTAACTAAGAAATCTTTGTCTTCTGAGTCCCATAGTGATGATATAAATGTAGGAAAAAGAAGTTACTAAATAGTTTTTAAACTGCTAAAACAAAGTCTGAGAAATGAATAATGTTAGCAAAGCTTTAGAAATTTAAGTCAAGCAGTTGCAAGTCTGGACGTCTGATTAGCTGTCAATCAAAGGGGAGAGAAAATGGAGTGACTCATGCCACCGCGGTGCTCGCTGTAGCAATCAACGTCCAGATTCCTTCACCGCAAACAAAAAGGCTGGGCCTATGGACATTTCTGCCTGAGCGAGCAAGTGCTTTGGAAGATGCAGCCTAGAAAAGTGGGCTGAGCTAGAGAAAGTCAGAATAAGTACCAAATATAGGCCATAAAGTAAGTCATCACTGACAGCAGGGATGTGAGGTGTTATGTTCCATAGTTTGGAGTCACACAGAATATTGAAAACTGTGTTACAGATCTTTATGCATCTGTTGGTTTTGTGTGCGTGTGCATGCGCATCACTGAGAGGGAGAGTTTGAAAAGGAAAGAGACACAGATGGAAGGTACAAATGTCAGCCTTTTGTTCTAACAAAACCGATAAATTCTTAGTGTCGTTTTCACGTCGCTGGAGAAAAGAGAACCCACATAAGACAGCGTAAGTTTCCTCTGAGTGGCCCAACGCATTCTTTGATCATTGTTTAAGCGCAGCATACATTGCAAGTTCCTGTTTTACTTCATTGTTTTGATCCTCTGATCAGTTACAATGAAAGGTACAACTCACAATTCTACGATAGAGCAAAGCCTTGGCATGAAGGACGCTGCGAGGTGGCAGTTCTGGAGGAAGACCCATTGTTTGGCTTTGGTCAGGGCCGTAGCAACGAGACCTTCTGCCTTCGCTGCCCGGCTATGGCCCAGAGAAATCATGGTCACATGCTGTGTTGTTCCCTTCAACTCTTGGGCAAATTTCAGGACAGTATTGGTGGTATCAACCCCTGTATAACAATGTAGAGAGGTACATACAATTGTAAACTCATTTAATTCCCTCTTAAAAAAATACAGTCTAGCACTTTTGAGTGGTGGTGGGAGATGGAGACGTAGTGGTCACCTTGGTTGTCTGACACACGGGGATGGGAACACCCAGAGCAGCCACTTGTGTTATGCACCCCCACACTGTTCTTTCCTTCTCTGTAGCTGAACCCCAGCGCTACTTGAGATGGCATGTACCCAGCTAAAATGCTTTATTATTAGCCTCTCTTCCCGCTAGGTATGGCTTTGTGATTAGGATTTGGCAGCAAAGTTCGTTAAACAATTGTGTAATTGTTCGTTGCCTCCATTCTGTGGTTTGGATCTTGGTAGTGATGGCTAGAGCCCTAGCTGCCATCTTGGGCTAAGTCTTCAAGAAGTGGACCCACCTGCCATGAGAGCGGAGCCCCCCCCTCCGGCCCCCCGAGCCAGGCACTTTACCCAGAGAGCCTCAGGTGAGAAACCCTCCACGGGGAGGCATTTCGAACATGAGTTTTGCCCAAAGTTTGAAAATGGTGAATTCTAAAGACATGTTTGATTTGGAGATGGTGAAGAACAGAAGACAGATGAAGATGGTATTTTGCTTAGGTTCTGTAGATCAAAGACAACAACAAGAAAAAGAAAAGCATTTGGAGTTTTGAAGATACAAGGGCTGGATCAGCAGGACCAAATTCTGATAGTTTACTTTATAACATATTTTTTCACGAGTCAATGTTCATTAAAAACAGTTAATAAATGCGAGGTAAATCCCAATTTTCTGATCAATAATATACATTTAGGAGATATTCTCTGCAAAGAAAACTAGTGCTGATACATTTTTCTATATTTGTAAATCTGGAAAATCTTACTCCTCTTTTTTCTTTTACATTTTTAGGAAGGTTTTTTTTTTTTTTTTTTTTGTTAATCCTCATCAGAGGATATTTCTCCATTGATTTTTAGATTTTTAGGAAGGAAGAGAGGGATGAGGGAGGAGTAAAGGGGGAGAGAGAAAGAAACATGAATATGAGAGAGATACATCGATTGGTTGCCTCCCACACAACCCCGACTGGGGCCAGGGATCAAACCTGCAACCCAGGTACATGACCTTGACCAGAAATCAAACCCATGGCCCCTTGTTCCGAGGGCCAATGCCCTTAACAGCTAAGCCAAACTGGTCACCATGAAAGGTTCATTCTTAATATAGTTTAAAATTGTAATTTGTCCCGCCTGGCTGGTGTGGCTCAGTGGTTGAGGGTCGACCCATGCACCAAGAGGTCAGTGGTTCGATTCCCGATCAGGGCACATGCCCAGGTTGTGGGCCCGATCCCCAGTGGGGGGCATGCAGGAGGCGGCCAATCGATGTTCTCTCTCATTGATGTTTCTCTCTCTCTCCCTCTCCCTTCCCCTCTCTCTAAAATCAATAAAGAAAAAAATTATAACCTGTTCCTTCCCAAATACTTAAATAGGAATGGGAAAATACTGTAAACACAGACTAAACTGGCACAGACCCACTTGTCCACATCTTTGACAAGCGGTGCCACAGTCTCCCCTGCCCACAGAGCTTACCGTGCGAGTGAATGAGGATCAGTGGGGTTCTGGCACTGGAGTCTTTGAAGGATTCTTTCAAATTAATCCCAGCTCTGTGAATATATTCACTTCCTATTTTTTCAGTTATAAACTTCCTCACTGAACTCTTTAAACGTTCTGGTCCAAGAATTTTTATCTGAAAAACATGGAAAATAAAATAAAAAAAGGATAAGGTGTGGGCCCTTGACATGATTGCTGTGAGAATCTGTGCTCTCAGATGTGACCCCACTCCTCTGTCACCACCTTTTCATGCTGACAGTTGCTACTGTATGTCATTGATCAGTTCCTACTGGGTGTCACTGGCCAGCTCCCACGGTATGTCATTGACCAGCTCTACTGTGTCACTGACCAGCTCCTACTGTATATCATTGACCAGTTCCTACCGTATGTCATTGACCAGCTCTACTGTGTCATTGACCAGTTCCTACCGTATGTCATTGACCAGCTCTACTGTGTCACTGACCAGCTCCTACTGTCTATCATTGACCAGTTCCTACCGTATGTCATTGACCAGTTCTACTGTGTCATTGACAAGCTCTACTGTATATCATTGACCAGCTCCTACTGTATGTCATTGACTAGCTCCTTCTGTATATCATTGACCAGCTCTACTGTGTCATTGACCAGCTCCTACTGTATGTCACTGATAAGCTCTATTGTGTCATTGACCAACTCCTACTATGTCATTGTTCAGCTTCTACTGTATTTCATTGACCAGCTCCCACTGTATGTCATTGATCAGTCCCTACTGTATGTCATTGATCAGTCCCTACTGTATGTCATTGATCAGCTCCTACTATATTTCATTGGTCAAGCAGGCATTTATAAAATTTCTCCACTGTTCTAATTTTTAATTCCAAGGACTTTTTTTTTAAGGGCAAGAGAGAAAGGGAAGATCGAAGAAATGGAGTTCTGCTGAATTTGATTTTACTAGCTCTGCTGTAGGCAGCTACAAATAGTTCTGAAACTGTCCTCATGGCCACACGCCCCATCATCATCTTTCCCTCTCTTTTCTGTCCAATAGGCTATAGCTATGGAGCGAGGTGAATAAACCAAAGAGCTTGCCCTCACGGGTCTCCATGATATTAGCCTGCTCCAGATTGAGCCTTCTTTCTAATATCTTCTAACTTAATCTCTTCTGTGGCAGTTACTGTAGTTTCAAATATTCTAACTCAGTCTCCCCATCAGACCATGTCTTCTGACTGTGAGTTTGGAGAGTAGGATCACTATGCTCATCAAGTTTCGAGTTAAGAAACCCAAATCACCTGGAGCTTTCTGGGGGAGGGTAATGTAGCATGGGCTTTAAAATCTAGTTCATTTTGTTGTTAGGGTAATGCATACTTGCTACATAAAATTCAAACAATACGCAAGGTGTGATTTGAACAATGAAGGTCTTACTTCCCAATCATTATTGTTTCTTGTGGCTTCTTATAAATATTTTCTATGCACATACAAGCATCTATGTACCCCTCTTTTCTCCACAAATGGACTATGCAGATTGTCCAGAATTTTGCATTTATCGGTTAATATGATTTAAGTACATTTTTATATCATGACTATGTCAACAATCCACATGTAGAGTAGGGTTATTAATCTGTCTCCAATTGCCAGGTGGGTAACACAAATTAGAGAAGTCGGTTGGATAGAAGAAAAATTATTTTCTTGAATAAGAATAAAAAAGATGCAACTATGATACTACATGGCAACTAACACTCAGTGTCGGGAAGCAGGAGGGGGCAGCGAAGACTGGCACCCTGGTCCGAATGGCAGGCGTGTCTCAGCTCTAGCTACTGCTACTGGGGACTGTGGGCCCGGTATTGCCTTATCTTCTACTGTTTCGATAGAAACTGGAAACCTGGATTTTTATGTGCAATCTCTCAATCTTCAAAGTTTGGCTCGAAAAAAAAAAAAAAAAAGAAACTAAACAACAAAAAACAAACTTGTACACCAATTTTCATAGCAGCATTATTCACAATAGCCAACAGGTGAAAGCAACCCACTGTCCATGAACAGATGAGTGAATAAACAAAAATGTGGTATATGCCTACAGTGGAATATTATTCAGCCTTAAAAAAGAAAAAATTCTGACTTATGGTACATCATGGATGAACTCTGAACACATATTCTAAGTGAAATACACCAGACACAAAAGATAACTATTGCATGATTCCACTTCTATGAGCTACCTAGAACAGGTAACTTCATCATGATGGAAATGGTAGTTGCCAGGGTATAGAGGGAGGAAGACATGGGGATCTATTGTTTAATAAACACACAGTTTCTGTTTGAAATGATGCAAAGGTTCTGAAACTGGATAGTGGTGATGGTCACACAACACTGTGAATAGACTTAAAGCCACTGAACTTTACACTTAAGTAAAAGGGTTTATTATTGGGATAAAATGAAACAACTTATGTATATTTTGCCACAATAAAAAAAAAAAAAGAAAAAGACCAATTTACTTTAAAATATATGTGTACATAGAATTTTTAAAGGTGTGTGATAGCCCTGGCCGGTTTGGCTCAGCGGTTAGAGCGTCGGCCTGCGGTCTGGAGAGACCTGGGTTCAGTTCCCGCTAAGGGCATGTACCTTGGTTGCAGTTTGTCCCCGGCCCTGGTTGGGTCGTGTGGGTGGTGACCACTCGATGTGTCCCTTTCACGTCGATGTTTCTCTCTCTCTTTCTCCCTCCCACTGAACAAAATAATGAAAAATGTCCTCGGGTGAGGATAAAAAAATAAAATAAAGGTGTGTGATATTTTAGTTTACTTGATACCTTTGAAGTCTTGTAAGGAAAGTCTCCATAAGTTTAAATCCATTTCTTTAGTGATAAACTGCTCTTGAAATGTTGAAAACAACAACAACAACAACAACAACAACGCTCAGATCAAATAAAACATGTCTATAAGCCAGATGCAATTTTTTTCCATCTGTATCTAGAGTGAAATTTAAAGTGTTGCAAAATAAAATGTAAAGCAGAAGTCAAAAGAAGTTTTATTGGCTGTAAACAGGGGAGAGGAGAGAGTTTTCCTTCACTAAACTAGAGGGTAAATGTGACCAAAAAAAAAAAAAAAGAGTTTTGCCCTGGCTGGTTTGGCTCCGCAGTCAGCCAGCCAGCTGACCAGAGAGTCCCGGGTTCGGTTCCCACTAAGGGCATGTACCTCGGTTGCAGTTTGTCCCTGGCCCGGGTTGGGGTCCTGTGTGTGGCAGCCAGTCGATGTCTCTCTCACATTGATGTTTCTCTCTCTCTCTTCCTCCCTCTCTCCCTCCAGCTCTGTCTGAAGATAGGTGCAAAAATGTCCTTGGGTGAGGATTAAAAAAAAAAGTTTTCGAGGTGATAAGGACGAATTTAGGGTGATCTGTTTAGGGGAAGTATGATACAGGGTCACTGCCAAGGGCACAGATTTTTTTTTTTTTTTTTTTTATCCTCACCCGAGGATATTTTTCCATTTTTTGTACAGATAGAGTGGGAGGGAGAGAGAGAGAGAAACATCGATGTGAAAGGGACACATCGAGTGGCTGCCACCCGCACGACCAACCAGGGCCAGGGACAAACTGCAACCGAAGTACGTGCCCTTAGCGGGAACCGAACCCGGGTCTCTCCGGACCGCAGGCCGACGCTCTAACCGCTGAGCCAAACTGGCCAGGGCCCAAGGGCACAGATTTTTGAGTCAAACTGCCCGAGTCCCAATCCTGGCTCCTCAGGCAGTCTCGGAGCCTCGGCTTCCCGCTCCGTGCAATGGGGAGAATAACTGCCCACCCCTAAGATCATTATGAGGATGAGATGAAATAACGCATGTACAACGCGTGGCATAGGCTAAGCTTTTGACATTTTAAGGGGCTCATAAATGACACCCATGTGCATCCCCCAACCCCAGCCAGATTCTGAAGCAACTGAGAAACAGAAGAATCAGGTAAAATATCACCTTTATGAACAATAAAGGCCGAGGTGGTGGCTGCGGCTTGGGTGCGTGTGCTCCCTGATACCCAACCCTAGAATTCGAGGGAATTAGCCTGTCACATGCGGTGCTGGGCAGCCTTTGGCTGACTTTTCTTTAAAGGGCCAGGGTCAGCTCCTGAATAATTTATGGCATTGGGAAGCAGAGCAGAAAGTATGCTTTTTGCAGGTAGGCAGATCCCAAAAGGGACGGGGAGAAAGGGCTGAACAATGCACCGAGTTTCGCTCTCAGATTCACCCATCTTCTAAGTCCCTCCTTACAGGGGACAGAGAGATGCCGGGATGTCACTCTAGCCGGACTCCCTCCATGTGAAAGACCGTCCAGGACGGGGTGTAAGCGCTTCCCTCGAACATTAGCGTTTGCTTACAGAATTTTAGATTTGGAGGGCTTTGTTACTGATAAAATGCTCAAAACATTGAGAATACCAACACTTGCTCATAGCACATCTTACCAAAATCAGTCTTTGAAATGGAGTGAGTTTCTCCCAGGGAAAAGTTACAGGACTACATAATTCTTCATTTTCATTCAAAAGTTCAGCTAGGTATAATTTAGAGAAAGAAACCGAGATTAATAATCAAATACTTTGGATCACTAAAAGATACCACAAATGAACAGAATGAACGAACAAGCAAAATAGAGACAGACTCATTGATAGAGAGCAGGCTGACTGCGTCAGTGGTGGGTGGGGGAGGGTGGGGGTGTTTGGGGGAGGAGGTAGAAGGGTTGAGCAAAAAAGAACAAAGAAACCATCACGGACACGACAATAGTGTGGTGATTGTGGGGAGGGGGAAGGTGGGGGAGGGTATGGGGGAATAAATGGTGAAGACTTAACTTGGGTTGATGAACACACAGTACACTGTACAGAGGATGTGTTGTGGAATTGTGCACCTAAAACCTGTATACTTTTGTTAACTTGTGTCACCCCAACAAATTCAATAAAAAGGAAAAAAAGAAATAAAAATTTTTGTTATAAAGTTGTGAAGTTTTTTTTGTTTTACATTGTTTGACTTCTATTATTCTTTTTAAAGTCTTTTTTCTTTGTTGAGTTTAGAGAGAGAGATAGAAACATCAATGAGAGAGAACATCAATTGGCCGCCTCCTGCATGCCCCCCCCCCGGGGATCGGACCCACAACCTGGGCATGTGCCCTGATTGGGAATCGAACCAGCAACCTCTTGGTGCATGGGTCGACGCTTAACCACTGAGCCACACTGGCCGGGCTGGTTGACTTCTTTTAAAGTGAGCTTTATTTCTGTAGGATTAGAAGCATCACTAACTATCCTTAAAATTGCACAAGAGGTAGACACTAAGGTAGATTTAAGTTTCAACTTGGCCCCGGGTCGTGGCTGATGAATACGGCTATGATGAGATGTGGGCAGTTGAAGGGAGACGGAGAAGCAAAGGGCAAGTCCCCACTTCAGGACCTGCTCCTGCGTAAGGGATGCTTTCCTGATGAACACAGGGTGGGCAAAAGGAGGTTTATAGTTGCGAGTACGTGGAACAGTTTCTTCTTGTATTATTCATGAATCACTGCATTACTTTCCGCCAATGACTGTACACCTACTTTTGTCTCACCCTGTACAAATTACTAACTTTAGAGGTTAGAGATTTGTATTCATCTTCTATACAAGATATAGAAGATGAGAATTGAATGACAGTGCAACAAAATTTGCAGATTTCTGGAAAGCTGAGTATCACACACGTGTAAGTGTTATCCTGGCCCCTCTCAGCAATCCAACAGAGTCCGCTCTCTACTCTTGCAAGGCGGGACGTGTTCTCATTTCTAACCAGCCCAGATGCCGCCATCACTTCTACCTGTAGTTCTATGGTATTTCCCCAATGTCCAAATACAATTTTAATTAGAGAAAATAGCTTTTCTGAATGTAACTAAAATAGCTTTGTTGATCCTTAGAAAAGTTCATGGCACATTAAAATCTAGTTACAAATTAAAAAATTTGGGTTATTTGAAAAATAAAAAGAGCCTCACTTTACAAACCAGGTCAGTAAAAAGTTCCTTTAAGTAAAAGATAGTCACTCTTACAGTATAGTAAATGATGACTCCAAAATAGATTAGCGAACATGCAACAAAACAGAACAATAAGGGCCCAGAGAGAAAACCCCAGGGACAGAAGACAACTTACTCGGGACTGAAAAGCAAGAAGCTCTAAAAGAAAAAAAAAGGCATAATTGACTAGAAATAAAAGCGAAGGAAATATGTGTAATGATGTTTGTGTTATTGCACAACATAACTGGATATTGTGGCAAAAATTTGGAAGCAAAGTGGAGAAGACTGAGGAAGGGAATAGATTAGGTGGTCTCCCGAGCAGGGGTCATGGGGTGGTGTGTCCGGGGAACTCGGGAGGAGAGCTCAAAGTGAAAAAATGCAAAGAAAAAGATCTGTGAAAATTTGCAAGTCAGTTAAAGTAAGTTCTACTTCCCGTGTAACTTTTAAAGCACGCCCGTTCTATAAAACACATATAAATATATATAAAACACATCTGTTATATAAAACACTCGTCTGTTATATACGTAGACCTGTTCAGATTCAAGGAACAAAACTCGTGCCGTCTAATGAAATGCGTGTGGCATACTCCATCTCTGAAGTTTTGACTTCTCATCAGAGTTTCTCATCAACAACAATGATGTTCATAATCATTTCACACGATTGTTGTGCGGATTACGTTAGAGAACATGAGATGTGTTTACAACATAATAATGTCCTGCTCTTCAAGTTTTCATAATTATAAGCTATTGAACTCCATTTATAAGTTGATAATCCACACACACATATATGTAATCAAGTTAGAATAAAATAACGAATGCTTTCTTACTGCCCTCCTGTGATTTCTCACTTTCCTTCAACGACGCGATTTCTGAAGAGAAAGGTGTGCTCATCAGGTTATACATGGCCTTGCTGTTTTTAAACGCATTCCACTGTGCTACGTTAGATAACAGGGACTTGCACAGCAGAGAAAAGGGCTCTAGCAGGCTGCTGATGTACTGACATTGCTTCCACCTGACACTCGAGACCCACTGCAGATGCTGATTTCTATACATTTCATATAAGCCTAGAGGGACAGGAGAAATGATCACGTTGGAGAAAACACATCCTTTACCCATTACACATGACAAAGCAGATGCTCAATAAATACCTGTTGTTGGGGAAAAGCTATCTTATATAACAATTAATTACATGAAAGGTAATTTTTCTCACTGTGGTCAAAACAATGGCTACCCTCTTAACCATTCTAAGCGTACAGTTTGATAGTGTTAGGCATATTCGTATTGTTGTGAAACAGGTTTCCTGCAAATCTGAGACTGCGCACATTAAACAGTCCTCTGGTGATCACCACTCCGCTTTCTGTTTCTATGAATTTGACTTCTTTCACTACCTCATGTAAGTGGAATCATAGAGCATTTGCTTTTTCCCTGCCTTATTTCACTTGGCATAATGTCCCCAAGGTTCACCCATGTTGTAGCATGTGGCAGGACTTCCTTTTTTTTTTAAAGGTTGAATAATATTCCATCGCATGTATATATTATTTGGTTTATCCACTCATCCTATTGTGAAGTGAGGCTGTGTGCTTCGGCCAAGAAGTCCCAGAAAAGGGGGCCGTGGGGACAGGTTCGGGTGGTTTGCCTGGGATAAACTGCCACTGCCCAATGCTGTCCTGCTTGCAAGCTTTGTGGGGTCCCTTAGAGTCTAGGCGATGCCTGCCTGTGGGGGTGGGGAGGAAAGGGGGAGGAGAGCACGCTGGTCTTGGCGTCGAGGCTGTGATTTCTCTAGCAGGCAGAAATCTTAGGGGAGTGCTCGCGGAGGGGGGGGGGGTTTCAAAAGAACATTCATCAGTTTTCTAGGTGCGCACCTTGCTGGGCCATGGTCTCCACTTATTGGTAGTGTCAGGGCAGGGGGTTCAGCCCTTGCAGCTGGCCCTGGTGTTGCCCCCCTGGTTTTGATGCTTTTCTGGGTCTGGAGCTGAAATACAACTGAGGTCTAGATGTTCTTTCTAGGGAGTGACCGTTAGTGTCTGCTGCACATTGCTCTGTCAGTCTGTTCAGCTACCTGCCTCAGTTTCCCTCTTTCTCTTGTCCTGGCTTACTGGCCTGTCTCAACTCGAGCCTCATCTTCTCCTCCCTCAGATATAACACTCCTGAATCTCAGATCTTTGGACTCACACCAGGACTTACACCACCAACTTCTCCGGTTCTCAGGCCTTTGGACTCTGAATTACACCACTACGCTCCTGGATTCTCCAGTTTACAGATGACAGGTCAAGGGACTTCTCAGCCTCCATGACCACGTGGATTAGGAGTATGATAACCATAGCAATTGTCATTCATTCATTCATTCATTCAAAAATCATTGAACACCAGTGATATGCCCAACAGTACAGGGGATACAACGATGAATTAGACACTGCACTTGAACTCAAGCTGCTTTTAGTTTAATAAATTTAGAAGCACTGACTTTGAGCACCTTAGAAATCTTTCTGTGCTTTGCCAGGAAGTGTGTTTTTACTAAATCCAGAGGAACTACTTTTACCTACCATCAAGTTTAGGCTGGGGCAGCACCCCTTCAGTGTTCATCAGCATGCCCGAGTGTAAGAAGATGTCCCATTCTTTGCTTGGTAGGAATCCAATGTCATCCGGAGGTGGACTTTCATTAGCATTATGTTGCATGATTGTGGTGCAAAGCAGGAAGGAGAAGCAGAGTTTATGTTGGTTAAACAGAGCTGAAGAGACCACCTAAGGGGAAAATATCACTGTGAGATTAATACCGCTAGAGAAAATAAATTTGCAAAATTCACATTAAAGAATGTCTCACCTGAAAAACATTTCTTGTCAACACATCTATTGCATTTTTAAGGCGCTCCTGTAAGGGATTTTTCTCATATTTTAACTTAGGTTCTTTTGAGAAATTTATTATTTCATGCACTTTTCTCAGAAATACTTTCTCCCTTTTCAAACTGGGTTCTTCTTGTTCTTTGCTTTTGGAAATTACTGATGAAACAAAAACTTGACGAAACCAGTCTAGGGAGAACTGGTACATGCAATTGGTTTGTGTAAGACTAGCTACTAGGAAGTAGAGCAGGGCCCCTCGCGTAGCAATAGGGAGATAGTTTTTACGTGTTGCTTGAATTTCACTTTCTGCTTTTTCTGCTGCATTGATGCGCTTTGAAATTTCAGTTGAAGTAATTTTGGATTTTCTTAAGATGTCCACAATTTCCTCATTATCTAATACACATCCTAAAAACAAACAAAATATAAATTCAAATTTAAGCCATTGGAATAATAAATGGAAGTTTCCTCATTCTGTGCTTTTTTTTTTCTTTTCTCTTTATTGATATTAGAGAGAGAAAGAGGAAGGGAGAGGGAGAGATAGAAACATCGATGACAGAACACTGATTGGCTGCCTCCTGCATGCCCCCACTGGGGATTTGGCCCACAACCTGGATACGTGCCCTGACCGGGAATCGAACCGATGACCTCTTGATGCATGGATCGATGCTCAGCCAACTGAACCATACCTCATTCTGTGCTCTTTATGTAAGAGTTTTTATAATTGGCTTTTTGTTGGTTTTATTTTGGAGATGAGCTCTTAAGTGAAGAAAAGTCCCATTTCTAATAAAGTTGACTAATAGCACATATGCCCCTCCTCCCACCCCTCATCTCTCCTTTACTACTACTTCGGTGTTTGTCGATTGTTTTCATTGTAGGCACATAAGTAGTCATTCCATCATAAGGAATACATTTCTACTGTGACCTACTATACACAGAGAAAATGAAATTTCCAGAAATTAACAAGTGTACCATTATTTCATGTGATGCACTCTAATATTTTCTATTTTTAAAACAAATAAAATTGATAATGACCAATGGAACTGATTACTCATCTCCCTAACAGGGTGCCCTGACTTCTGGGAAGGGGAGAGGGGTTGAAGGGTGACCATGGCCTATGATTTACCTAACCCTGCCTCGGGAAGCCCCCAGCACACATTCGGAGCGCGTCTGGGTCGGCGCACGGGGATCCGCGTGGAGTGCTCGGGAGAGCGAGGAAGTCCGCGCCCTTTCTTGACACTTTGCCCTATGAAGTTCTTGCATTTGGCTGTTCCCGATTTATATTCTTTTATAATAAACCTCTAACCTAGTATAAATGGGGTTCCTAAGTTCTGTGAACCACTCTAGCAAAGTAATCAAACCTAGGGATGGGGTTAAAACTGCCCATCTACAGCTGGTCTGTTAGAAGTACAGGTGACAGCCTGGGCTTGTGACTGGCACCTGAAGTGGGGGTGGGGGCAGCGTGTAGGACAGAACTCTGTGGGGTCTGATGCCAGAGCTGCGTTGACCTGAAGGCCACCAGCTGGTATCACACTGCTCGTGGTGTGGGAGGAACCCCCCGCCCCGTGGGGCACACACGTCGGTGTGCCCCAGGAGCTACCCTGCGTTTGCTTTAGTTCAGAAATTCTAGTGTTTACATTTATTTTTATTTATTTATTTATTTTTTTATCCTCACCCGAGGATATTTTTCCATTTTTTGTACAGATAGAGTGGGAGGGAGAGAGAAGAAGGGAGAGAGAGAGAGAAACATCGACGTGAAGGGACACATCGAGTGGCTGCCACCTGCACGACCAACCAGGGCCGGGGACAAACTGCAACCGAAGTACGTGCCCTTAGCGGGAACCGAACCCGGGTCTCTCCGGACTGCAGACCGACGCTCTAACCGCTGAGCCAAACGGGCCAGGGCTCTAGTGTTTACATTTAAACACTATGGTTTCACAGACATTTCTTGTGTTGAAGAGAAACATGATTTCTTCTGCTACTTTAACAGATGTCATATTTTAATGGGATACGTGTAAGTCACTGGATTGAGTCCTTTTATATTTTAGTTATTAATACTTGGGGAAAACTTAATCTTTTGGTCTCTGTAATCTAACTTGATACACTAACAGATGTCAGGTACCTGAAGTACAGGCACAGAGTGAGGAGAAAGCCAACTGGTCCCTATAAGATTTTTCTTACCACTTCTACTGATTATATGGTAGCAAGTGTCCTCTGACATAAGGAGGTAGGAACTGAGGAACATCAATATTCACCATGTTTTAATTTTAGAGATGGGGTGGTTCACCTATTTTAATCAGTTATTTGGTAAAAGTTGAGATTTGGTAGTTTTGGTGCCAATTCAGAATAGAGTCCTTATAACCTTTATTGTGTTCACAAAGGTACGCAAAGGTCGCCTAATATCACTAAATAAGTTACCTTTTGTGTTCTGCAGTAAATTTAATGTTTTTTCCTCTAGTTCTTCAAGAGTCATAGCATCAAGGGAAATACTCTCCAATAATTGGAAACGTTGATTTTCTAGATGAGGAACTTCATGGGTTAATATAGTAGATAAGAGTTGATCTTGTAAACCTTGGAATGTTACTGTGAAGTTGATCATAGTAAGAAAATTATACACCGACGGAGGAAAATGTGGGTTGCTTATTTCTGTAGATATGTACAACCTAAAACATGAGAGAGGCGCTGGTTATTCAAAGGATACACAGAGGAAAGAATAAAATATTTATTTAACAATGGAAAAAAAAATTTCTCCTGGAAGTAAATTAGGTTAATTTTTAGTGTTACTCAGCCTTGTACACAAGTAGGCTCTTAATTTACACTATGTGAATACTTTTGCTATTTATGACTTTTTTTTTTTTTTTTAATCCTCACCTGAGGACATTTTTCCATCTTTTGTACAGATAGAGTGGGAGGGAGAGAGAGAGGAAGAGAGAGAGAGAGAAACATCGACGTGAAAGGGACACATCGAGTGGCTGCCACCCGCACGACCAACCATGGCCGGGGACAAACTGCAACCGAGGTACGTGCCCTTAGCGGGAACCGAACCCGGGTCTCTCTGGACCGCAGGCTGACGCTCTAACCGCTGAGCCAAACTGGCCAAGGCGCTATTTATGACTTTAAAAACACAACCAGAAGTTATGTCCGTACTACATGTGGTCTAAGCATAAGGACAGAGTAAAGACAAATTCTAAATAGTAGGCGTTTTGACCTGCCGCTAGATACTGGTAAAGACTGTGGTTTTTACTGAGTAAGAAGCAGCGGAGTCATCTGAGTAGGGGAGAGACTGATCGGTTTTACAGGACCCTCTACCTGCTGTCCCGAGAGCAGTCTGGCACAGGGAGGAGGTGGGACGCAGGACCCTGGGAGACAGGTGATACCAGGAGGAGTGGTGAGGAGTGGTCGGACTCCAGTTCTTGTTCAGTCTTCATTGCAACTCAATAAAACAGAGACCGTCCTCTTTCTTTTTTATAAAGGTTGAAATCAAGACTGAGAGCGATTAAATTAGTTGCCTATAAAACATGGCCAGAAAGCGACAGAGCCGGCAGCTGTTACCAGTCTGTCCTCCAAAACAGTGCCCTCTGTCACTTCCTCAAACACCCAGTGCAAACAGGGGACCAGGCTGTCAGTTCAGGAAAATGCGGCCTCATTGGGATTTCTGGAGCGGTTGCTCAGCCAATCACATAGCATTCGGAGAGAGAGAAGGATGGGTTAACACGGTGCTTTCCCAGGTGTATTCTGTAGCAGGCTCTTTTCTGAAGAGGGTTCACGAAATAAAGGGGTTTTAAGTCCTTGTAGAAAAGAACCTTGTTTAACTTTGTTTAATTTAGGGCTTTTAGAAAGAATGGGGTCCCTGTTTTTGAGTGACACTTATGAAATCCCTGGAAATGCTGTTTTGAGGAGCAGACTTGGGTATACAGGGAAGAGAGGATTCTAAGGAGGAAGCATCTGGCAACACTGCTCAAGGGAGAGGACCCAGTGGCCAGCAGAGTTAGGAGTCAGAACCTCTTGGTTAGGAACCAGTCTGCCAGGATCCCTGTAAAGAAGGTAAGTGTACCAGACCAGGGCCATTAAATCACCTTCTAATTCTCCTTGCTGATTACCTGCGTACCCAGCAATCCTCTGACTATGACTTGAAGGAGAGAATGATGTGGCCTACAGCTCAAACATCCTATTCACGCGGGAATTCTACTATTGTGGTGATTAGGTTTGAGGCTATGGTTGTGCTTTGTGAAGTTAGCTGGTGGCAGTCAAATTCCTAAGGACCCAGTACTGCTTGGAACAGGATACAATGTTTTTATTTGCCTAGGAAAAAAAAAAATCTTGATCTTTTTGCTCTAGATATCAAATGTGGATTTTTAAAAATGGAAGCAGAAGCTTTTCCTGTCCAAATAAAATGTTAGGCAAACTGATCAATTCCAGCTCCTCTGGATCAAGGGGGCCAGGTTGTTTGCTGTCCTGCTCGGTGGCTGAGAACCCTCCACGGCGCCCACCGGTTCCACGAGCAGTTTGAACAATCTCAGTGTGCAAGGACTCAGTAAACGAAAGTTCGTTCTCTGTTCTATATACTGATGAACAAAACACAGAAACCAGACACATGAAAATAAAAAGAACATTCAAAACACCATCTAACTTTTTCCTCCAGGAGATGCTTATCAGGACTGAAACATGGGACCTTTCATATAGAAACATCTGACTCAGTGTAACTATGACATTACCTAAACTGGGCATTGTATTCAATCTCATTATCATCGACCCGTATGAAATGCTGTCCTCTTCGCTGATAGATAGCCTTCTTCAAAATTGCCTTCAAACTCGGAGCTAGTGTTTCAGGGAGATTCTGCAAAACCCAATAGACATGAATAAAAAAATTCATCTTACGAAAAAGAAATCAGTTGAAAAGACACAGCTCTAAAAGAAGTAAATCTTGTTAATATCTGGATAACAGCAAAAGGCAGATCTGAGGGAACTGACATTGAAAACTCCCTGCATCTATGTATGTATTTTTCCCCTGACCAAGTAACAAGTCACCTGTTACTTAAAGCTCTTCGTGTTTACGCGCAAGAGCAGTGTGTGTGTCTACCGCATGGGATCAGGCCAGCTTACAAATACCTGCAAGAGGACACTCCCTCCTGTTTTCAAGGCGTTTTCAATTTTTTTGATGTAATTGCTGTCCTCAGTAGAGAGTTCCTGAAGCCTAGGTCCTTCCATCTGACGGATCCAGTTACACGCTTGCTTATGCGGGTCAATTAGCAGTGGCCACTGCAGGCCGTTCTTGATCAAGATGGCATTCTCTGTTGAATACTGACCAAGAGGTAGCCCCTGGTGATGCCATCGGCAGATCTGGAATGAAATCATTTGTGCTTTCATTGTTTTACACGTGTCCTTGCGTCTTTAATACCTACAGGACACACCTGCCCGTTGGTCACTTAGTAGCCCAGATCGACTGTGGTGGTATTGCTGGGCTGGTTTCAAGTAACCCTTACTTGACTTAATAATGATTCTCAAATGCAAGAGTAGTGATGCTGGCAGTTCAGATATGCTGAAGAGAAGCCATGAAGGGCTTCCTTTTAGTGAAAGGTATGTATGTATAGAAAAAACCATGGAACAGATTGACAGCTGTCAGAGTGGAGAGGAGAGGGAGGGGCTAAATGAAAGAAGGTGAAGGGGTTAGCCTAAGAACATACATACATAACCCACAGACACAGGGGGGTGATGGCCAGAGGAAAAGGGTGGGAGGCGGGGGCCGGGTAGAGGTGGGCAAAGGGGGTGGGGTGGGGAATGGGGACAGCCGTAATAGTGTCAACAATAAAAATAAAGTAAAAAACAAAACAAAAACCACCACCAGTATATATAAGGCTTGGTAATCTGCAGTTTCAGGCATTCACTGGGGATCTTGGACTCTATCCCTGCCAATAAGGTGGGCCTACTGTACAATGGATCTCTAGTTCAATTTGGAAAAAACAGTCAACTTTATAATATTGAGTGTTCCAATTCATGAATATATAGGTATAACTTTCATTTGTTTAGGTTTCTTAAAATTTCTCTCAATATTTTATTTATTTATTTATTTATGTTATCCTCACCTGAGGATATTTTTTGCATCTATCTTCAGATAGAGCAGGAGGGAGAGAGGGAGAGGGAAACATCGATATGAGAGAGACACATTGAGTGGCTGCCACCCACACGACCCCAATCGGGGCCGGGGACAAACCGCAACTGAGGTATGTGCTCTTAGCGGGAACTGAACCCAGGACTCTCTGGTCTGCCCGCTGACACTTGAACTGCTAAGCCAAACCGGCCAGGGCTATCTCAATATTTTAATAGTTTTATTTCTATAAGTTTTGCACAACTTTTTTTTTTAAACTTTTTTTCTTTATTGATTTTAGAGAGAGAGGAAGGGAAATGGAGAGAGGTAGAAACATGGATGAGAGAGAACATCAATTGGCCGCCTTCTGCACGCCCCCTATTGGGGATCAGGCCCACAACCTGGGCATGTGCCCTGACCAGGAATCGAACTGGTGACCTCTTGGTGCATGGGTTGACTGAGCCACACTGGCTGGAACAACTTTTTGATAATCCATTTCGATGCCACATAAATGGTATCTAAAAACACTGTGCACCATTTGTTGCTGGTGTAGAGAAACACAACTGGTTTTTGCATATTGACTTTAAGTCTAGAAATTGCTAAATTTTTATTAATGCATGCTATGTCTTCCTATTCTCTTCAATTTTCTAGGTGCCTAGCAGCTTCAAGAATGTCTCCTTACTGTTTCTTTCTTCTTTTCCAATCCTAAGATCTTTTATTTCTTTTTCTTGCCTTCCTGCCCTGTCTGGGATCTCTGGCACAGGGTTAAATCCAAGTGGAGACAGCCCATAACCCTCTGTCATGTTTCTAATCTCAAAGGGAAACCTTTTACCAATGGTCATTTTTTTTTTTTCAATCCTGATTTCTTCTTTGACTTGTTAGGTTAGGAGTATATTTCCTAGTTTCTAGATATATTGGGGTTTTCAGAGAAACTTTTAATTATTGACTTCTATCTAATTGCATTTTGATCAGACAACATATAATTTAGGTCCTCTGACATTTGTTGAACTGTATCTGGTCCATTACATGGTCGATTTTGGCAATGTTCCCTATGGACTTGCACAGAATCCGTCACCTGCAGTGTCCTGTTTACCCCTAGTATCCATTTGTTAATCATGATGTTACAATCTTCTCTATTCTTACTGATTTTTTGTTCTTTTTCTGAGTTACAGAAAGAAGGGTGTTAAAATCTTTCATTATAATAGCAGATTTGTCCATTTTTATACAAAGTTCTTTTAATGTTTTATATGATTCGAGGTCATGTTATTAGGTACAAATTTAGAATTGTTAATATATCTTTGGAGAATTAAACCAATTCTTACTGTAGTGTAACAAGGTTATACAATTCCAGTAATTCTTTTTTTTTAAATTCTCACCTGAGAATGTTTTTTCCATTTTTTTTTTAGATAGAGTGGGAGGGAGGGAGAGAAAAACATTGATGTGAGAGAGACACATCAATTAATTGGTTGTCTCCTGCACAACCCTGACTGGGGCCAGGGATTGAACCTGCAACCCAGGTATGTGCCTTTGGGAATCAAATCCAAAAACCTTTGGTCCTTAGGCACTGAGCCAAATCGGCCAGGGCTCCAGTAATCCCTTTTTGCCTTAAAGTCTATTCTGTCTTTTTAAAAATAACCTATGGTAAATTTTATCCCATTTTCTATGGTCAATCTTTATGTTTTAGATGTGTCCTTTCTAAATTACATATGGTTTCTGCTTTGTATTTTGGTTTACATTTTTACATAGTCTTACAGTCTTAACCTTTTAACTGGATCATTTAGTCCATTGACATCTAATGCAATCACTGACTTATCTGGGTTTAAATTTGTTCTTAGCATTATGAAGAGAAGCCAGCATTTGCTTCTGAAACTTTGTAGGTTGGATGGTCAGTTTACGTTGAGTTATCAGCAGGGGACTCAATGTAAAATTACTCTCTGGAGATACAAAGCAAAAGTGTATTTCTTTTTTATACTTTCAACATCAGTATGAAACTTACATAAACAGACAATAAATATTTTTTGATAAATTAATAAATGTGAGGTCTATATTTTGGCTGTTTCTAATAGAAATGGGCTATATTTATTAGACAGGCTAGTAGGGTTACAATGAGAAAAAGGATATTTTGTGACTTTTGCCCAGAGGATGAGATACGGCAGATGTAACTAATTGAGGCATTAGAACTATAACTTAAAAAAATGTTAAGGCCTGGAACAGACTTCAGCATTTTCATTTATCAAAATAGTACCTTGGGGATAAGATCCAAGCCAAAAAAATGCACGCACATGCAAAATCCAAATCAACAATAAAGCCACTAAACTGGATAATAGAAATATGTTCCTACCTCCTGTGTCTGTGCCATGACTTCAATTAAAGAAAAGTTAGTAGACAAAGAAATACTGTTTTCAGTGCAAAGACTCTCCCATTTATTCACAATCAGCTCGCGGAATTCTGCTGTCAACACGCCACTGTACACGATGCACGCTGCTGAAATGAGTATGTCACCCAGAATCCCTTCCAACTTGCTGTCTATTTGACTGATTGTGTTTTGCCATCGAATCTAAATGTTAAAATAAAAATGAGTTAGTGACGTTTGTTATAAAATATGCTATTTTGAGACATTTTGGACATGAACGGTCTCCGAGTTGGATCTACTATTGTCATTTCCATTACTTTTCTCATGCTGTAGTTGTAACACAATTAAAGTTTTAATTGTAATACAATTAAAATTAAAGAACAATTTTTTTTGAGGGGAACATGAGTCCTATTCTTGGATTTGCCAACAGTGTCACTCGCTAAGATTGATAACCATTTAAAATTCTTTGTGTAATGAAGCAGGATGATTTTAAAAATATAAATTCATTATATTACTGGTGTTCAATACTAATAGTGATTAATATGTATTAAATCCTCACTTAATCTGACACTTATTTTGAAAATCTCACTTGACTGTTTCAATGTCCTATTAAGTAAAAGCTCCAACCGCATGGTGAGAAGAGGGAGCAGAAGTTTCAGAGGAGCAGCACTTGTTCGAGCCGACCAAGCTCCCGAGGGACAGCTGGCATCTGCACCTGTCCCTCCCTGGCTGCACGGCCTCCTTCCACAACATGTGTGTACTCCACTGGCCAGTGAATGAAGCATGTTGACCAAGAACCCTGTCTTCCGGCAGCTTAGACTCTGGGATGCTGCTGACGTTCTGCTGCCTCTCCACGCGCATGTTCTCAAGGACATGGCTTTTGTTTGGATGGATCTAACCTCCCTCTGATTGGTCTAATTTCACAACCTCCTTCTTTGGCCCTGGAGGAGTCCTCCCTGACATGCATCTATTTAAACAATTAAACCAAATTAAAAGTATCTTGAGAACTTTGTAACATCCTTTGCGATAGCTGAGGTATTCCTAAACCAAGATTCTACTCAGCTCACTAGGGACAGAAGTATAGAGAAGGAAGATGAATTAGAAGAGAAATAAAAAGACACGGTGAAAGAGGTCAGAAGATGGACAGAACAAAATGAAATTTCCTTTTTCCTTCCTAGAGCCATCTCCTCCCTTTCAGCCCCACCCATGTTTATATATTCATCTTGAGCTGTCCCCGTGCTAGGGAAGGGAAACTGATATCCTCACTGACAGGCCACTTTGGGTGCTGATGCAAAAGTGTGCTGATGTCGTAGGAACAAGTGAAACAACTTCTGATCTTCGTGGTCTGTTACCTCTGTTTTAAGACTACTTGAACAGGACTCCCTTATCTGCGTCTGAATAGGACTGCTTACTGATTTCAAGGAAATGAATGGTAAGATATATATATCTCCTCCAGTGGAAATCACATCCTGGGGCTTGTAAAGCTCACTAGACATTAATGAGAAGATATAAGACAGACGAGGTCCTGCCTTCTCGTCTTCCAGAGCAGTTAGTAGAACAGATGCACAGTGCAAGCGCCGAGTGGCAAGTTCTCTCCGACTCGCTAATACTTCTTTTTCAGCAACAACATCTTTGTAGGCTGCCTGTAAGAACAGCAAATGTTCTTCAACCTGAAAGACAATTAAATTATTGAGACAAATCTTACTCTCATTTTGCCTCTAGAGTTCATTTATATTTATATAAATATAGTGTATCACCACTTCATTTTCACATTCTGAAAAATCTTCCAGGAAAGATAAATTCTATTACCAATGAAAATGTACATCGTAGTAATTAAATAAATAATCCCTTGATATTGAGTTTGATTTTAAAATGCCATCTTCAATAAATTACATAAAAGAAAACATAGGTACTAAACATATGAACTTTGGTCTTAGAGAAGATTTTATTAACTTGACCCCAAAGGCATGGGAAGAGCAAAAATAAATAAATGGGACTACATCAAACTAAAAAGCTTCTGCCCAGCAAAAGAAACCACAGCCAAACAAAATGGCAACCAAATGAATGGGAGAAGATATCTGCAAGCAACCACTCTGACAAGAGGATACTATCCAAAATATATAAAGAACTCATACCACTCAACACCAAACAAACAATCCAATTAAAACATGGGCAGAGGAGTTGAACAGAAACTTCTCCCGAGAAGACATACAAATAGCCAACAGATATATGCAAAGATGCTCATCTTCACTAGCTATTGGAGAAATGCAAATCAAAACCTCACACCTGTTAGAATGGCTGTTATCAACAAGACAGGGAATAAGTGTTGCAGAGCTTGTGGAGAAAAGGAACCTCATGCACTGTAATGTAAGAGAATGTAAATGGTACAGCTGCTCTGGAAAGCAGTATGGAAGTTCCTCAAAAAATTAAGACTAGAGTTAGCAGATGATTCAGCAATCCTCTTCTGGGTATTTATCTTCAAAATTCGAACACGTTTATTCGCAAAGCTATATGCACCCCTATGTTCACTGCAGCATTATTCATGGTGGCCAAGATGTGGAAACGACCCAAGTGTCCTTTGATAAATGACCGGATAAAGAAGACATATATACAATGGAATTCCACTTAGAAAAGATGAAATGCTGTCGTTTGCGACAACATGGATGGACCTTGAGAATATCATGCTAAGTGCAATAAGCCAGTCAGAAAAAGCTAAGAACCATATAATTTCCCTCACATGTGGGATATAATACTGAAACCCATGGACACTGACAACAGGATGGTGGTTACCAGAGGGAAGGGGGTGGGGAAGTGGTAAAGGAGCCTGAGTATATGGTGACAGAAGATGACATGACTTTGGGTGGTGGGCACACAGTGCAGTATACAAATCATGTACATCGAAATGTACTCCTGAAATCTTTATAATCTTATTAACCAATGTCACCCCAATTAATTTAATTAAAAAAAGAAATCTGGCTAATTTCAATGGAGAGATGACTTAAGTACAGAATATCTTAAAATTTTAAAAACTTAGTATAAAAAATGTAACATCTCGATTTTTTTTTTTTTGGTATGTGCCCCTAGCGGGAACCGAACCCGGGACTCTCTGGTCCACAGGCCGACGCTCCAACCGCTGAGCCAAACTAGCCAGGGCTCGATTTTTATATTACATGTAGAAAATATATTATTTTGGATATATTGGTTTAAATAAATATATTACTTAAAAAAAAAAAGCCATTTTCCACAGTAGGTTTGCTTAACATTCTTAGCATTGGAAGATTCATCATTTTCTGATTTATTTTTCACACAGAAAATTTTGTATCATATTCAGGTTCTTTCTCTAAGAGAGATGATTAAACTTTTTCATCCTAGATTCACCGACCAGCCCAGAGGAGCGAATGCATTTCTGAAGTTACGCTGATGGGATGAATCACTGTTCAACTATCCCTAGGCTGTCAGTAGGAAACATATTTTCATGAAAAGCTGATAAAATAATTTTCTCAAATTGCCACTTCTCTTGCTCACGAACATGCGGTGAATCCTTATGGAAATGATCGCCGGGGACACAGTCGAGTTTCGGTCGTGCCAACAAGAACCTCCACAAGCTGGCCCCACCCCCTTTCCAACTTCATCTTCTTTCCAGTAATATTCCACTTCAGCCAGACCGATTTACCCAGGTCTCCTAAAGAGTTCTTACATTTTCTTGCCTCTCATATTTTGCCTACATCCTCCCATATACCTGGACTCCTCTCTTAAAAGGTTACGCCCAGCCAGTGTGGCTCAGTGGTTGAGCGTTGACCCATGAACCAAGGGGTCACCTGTTCGATTCCCACTCAGGGCTTATGCCCGGGTTGTGGGCCAGATCCCCAGTGGGGCGCATGCAGGAGGCGGCCAATCGATGTTCTCTCTCATCCCTCTCTCTCTCTCTCCCTCTCCCTTCTTCTCTCTCTAAAATCAATAAAGAAAAAAAAAAGGTTATAAATCCTAGGCATTCTTTAAAATTCCTGTCAACTCTTAGCCATTATGAAATCTCAGTCTTGTCAAATCCACACCAATGTACTGTTTATAACACTCATTTGAGAAGTACTTATAAATTGCCCAGTACAATCTCCTGGGTTGTGGTCATATAGTCTTTTTTTTTTATCCTCACCCGAGGACATTTTTCCATTTTTTGTACAGATAGTGTGGGAGAGAGAGAGAGGGAAACATCGATGTGAAAGGGCACATCGAGTGGCTGCCACCCACACGACCAACCAGAGCCGGGGACAAACTGCAACCGAGGTACGTGCCCTTAGCGGGAACCGAACCCGGGTCTCTCCAGACCACAGGCGGACGCTCCAACCGCTGAGCCAAACTGGCCAGGGCAAAGGTTTTCATGTCTTCTCAAAATCCAGAAGACAGGGGTTAGCATGGAGACTTGAACATGTTCTGTACACATAACTGTATATACAAAAATGTGCTTATTGAATATAGTTTGTGATTTGTAATTTCTCCACTTATTTTTAAGATGTTATACTGATGAAAATACCTATTTAAAAAAATATAAAAAAATATATATACATGTGTATATATATATACACACACACACGCACACACTCACTAGCAACTTTTGGCATGATTACTCCTATTCCTGGTTCACCTGTAATACTTATTCAGTTGTTTACTCTTTTATATATCATGTTGTTCTGTTTTCTCGCTCATTTCCATTTTGATGACTCTGAGAAAACTCCTCCCTTGCTACCATGACCTAGTGAGTTATTTAAATATTAAAGTGTAGGGCCTACTGATTTAATTAATTAAACACATGAAGTTTTTATTATGTGAAAGGCACTGTGCTCCCCTAAGGCAATATTTTTAATGGATGCTCATGTAATGCAACACGTTCTGGCTTTGTCTATCTACCCCCAACTCCTTAGTTTTTTTCCAGAAATATTTTTTATCCTAGGTCCAGGTGAACAAATACCAATTTTTAAAATGGGAGAGGAGAAAACTTCAATGAAGGCCTTAAAACCAATGCAGCTAACTACTACACTCAGTTTTAAAATATGAGAGTAAAAATATTCATTTTAAATATACTCAAGTTCAATCAGTTCAATTATTAGACATTTCTCATGAAGCCTGTGGTTGAGAGCTGGGAGGGAATGTGGAGGAAATGTAATTCTGACTGGAATTCACAATTTACCTTTTTCTTGATAACCATTTAATAATAACACAACCAAAAGAACAATATTATAAATAAATGCTTATTGAATAAATAAAAATACTAAAAACAAGCAAAAAATCATGGACATTAGAAGAATTGAGTAAAATACCTTCAAAAAATGTCCAGTACTTTTTATAGATCTGAGTTTGCAAGAAATACCTATGGAGTCAGGCAGGTAATATAAATGCTTGAAGTAGGCTTAGGTCTTATTCTAGCCTAGTGAGAATACTAGCCCAGAGTTGCTATATCTTCTGAATTTTCAAGAGAAGGCAGAAATTCAATTTTTAAATGAAATCCCCAGATTTAAAAAATATGACAGCTTCTTCAAACTGCAGGGGTAGGGAGAAAGACCACAGGGGCCAAAGAAAGGCAGTCACTGGGCTGACTCTGTCTCTGGATCGCCATCTCTGAAGACCTTATCCACTCTCAAAAGGTATGTGACAGGGCTTGATGATCTCAATTCTAGTTCTAGTTCTCATAATGATAATCTATTTTAATTTAAAGAATAACCATGTCTGTCCGGCTGGTATGGCTCAGTGGTTGAGCATCGAGCCATGCACCAAGAGGTGGCTGGTTCGATTCCCAGTCAGGATATATGCCCAGGGTGTGGGCCAAATCCCCAGTGGGGGGCATGCAGGAGGTGGCCAGTCAATGTTCTCTCTCATCGATGTTTCTATTTCCCTCTCACTTCCTCTCTCTCTAAAATCAATAAAGAGCCCTGGCTGCTTTGGCTCAGCGGTTAGAGCGTCGGCCTGCGGACCAGAGAGTCCCAGGTTTGGTTCCTGCTAAGGGCATGTACCTTGGTTGCAGTTTGTCCCTGGCCCTCAATGGGGTCGTTTGGGTGGCGACCCCTCGATATGCTCTCTCACGTCGCTGTTTTTCTCTCTCTCTTCCTCCTCTCTCCCTCCCACTCTGTCTGAAGATAAATGCAAAAATGTCCTTGGGTGAGGATAAAAAAAAAAAAAAAAAAATTAAAAAAATAAAATCAATAAAGAAGAAAAAAATAACCATGTCTTTACAAAGCAACAAAGTAATTGATATAAACAGGTTAAACACAGTTTTTACAACACAAATGGATACTGAGTAATTCGTTGATAGGCTAAAGTTATAAATAGCTCCTGGGAGAAATTTGGTAAAATGCTAAATTAATATATTATTAACATAACAATAATTAATATTATTGTTTTATTATATGGCAGGTATTAAGACCTTTACATTTATATTATTTAAATATAATTAATCTTATCTTCATTATTATCCTCATTTTATCTTAAACTGATAAATTCTACGGAGATAATGATTTTCTCCTGATCTTTTTGGTCTAGTTCATAAAGGTGTTGACAGTTTAGCAAGTTACAATATTTCTTACCAGCTGCAATCCTCTTTGTTTTTCAGCCAACCTTTGCCGTGCAATTTTTAGAACGTTCTGAGCTTCAGCTACTTGGATTTGTTTAGGGCCCACCAGCTTAAAGAGAAATGTCACAACATTTCAGTGTTAAAGAAGGTCAAGTTCACTTTTTAAAATGCCACTTATGTTAAAAATAAACAACATTCAGAAGTGTCAAGTCTTTTTTTTTTTGGTAAGTGCCCCTAGTGGGAACTGAACCTGGAACTCTCTGCAGAGGGAATGTAAGCTGGTTCGCAGGCTGACGCTCCAGCTGCTAAGCAAAACCGCCCAGGGCAAGAAGTGTCAACTCTTAAAATGAAGTTTCCTAGAATGACGTGTACAAAAGAAATATAAAGTAGTTTAACATGGTAAAACAAATTAAAACAAAGAAATAATAGCGCCCAGCTGGTGTGGCTCAGGGGTTGAGTGTCGACCCATGCACCAAGTGGTCACTGGTTCGATTCCCAGTCAGGGCACATGCCCAGGTTGTGGGCCCGATCCCGGGAGGAGGGGCGTGCAGGAGGCAGCCAATCGATGTTCTCTCTCATCGATGTTTCTATATCTCTCTCCCTCTCCCTTCTCTCTCTCAAAATCAATAAAGAAAAAAATAAATTAAAAAAAGAAAGAAAGAAATTGATCTCTCTCTCTCTCTCTCTCCCCCTCCCTAAATTAAAAAAATAAAAAAACCCAACAAAACAAAACAATAGCATAGTTGCCATAAAGAAAAGGATTTGACAGGAGTACTTGATATCTGTGTGAATTACCATGTCTGGTTAAAGCGTTTTTCACTAGGCATTCTTTCCATAGATGTTCATTTGAGTATTGTTAAAGAAAAATGATTTCTGGATATTTAGTCCCTGTGATGTGTCAGTTCCAAATTGTTTTGGACAGGAAGGAGGAAAAGCATACCTTCTGCATTTCATTGTAGTCATTCAAAGCTATAATCCACTCGCAAATGGAACAACAAGCAACAGACACTAGAGCAATCTTTTGGGGGTTGAAATCGGGTATGATTAAAATTTTTTTCAGTTTCGTGAAAACCTAGAGAGAATACAGTTGACGAACTATATGAGAAATAAATACTGTTGAAGTTTTCCTCAATCTACATTAGCACGAAATTTTATTTCATATAAGAAACACCCAACTACTCAACAGTAGAATAAAGTCACACACCCATGTACAAATTGGCTGTAGCTCAGGGACCAATACTTTCAAAGAGGGGACTAGCCTCTGTAATAGATGTCTTGTTATTGCTATCATTGTCACAATAGCTTTGCTCTAGTTTTTTTTTTTTTTAAAGGAACTCCATTTTAAAATAAAAATAAAATAGGTAAACTTTCTGGTGTACATGGAGGTCTGAGGTCTTCCTGTGCACCTCAGTGCGAGGTGAGTGGGAACACCATCTTCTACCTTCTGTTCCCCAGAGAGATACTGGCAGCGCACAGTCCCTACTCAAAGGTCTAGCTAGTCAGTGATGGTGGTGTGGCCTGGGGCACATGGGCTCATGGAGGATATCCCCCAGCTTTGTGGTGTCACATGCCATTAGATCCACTTCATCTAACGGCACAGTCTAGTTTAGAGATAGATATGTAGTATTTCTCATCTATTTGTGGGAACCGTAATCAGAAAAAATCTTTCTCAGATCTCTCCTCCTTTCCTGTCCAATCAGGCATTTTCTCTCTTGCCTGAAAGAACAGAACCATTTTGCTGAATGATTTAGATGGCAGGTGGTCCATTCTCAATTATTGTTGGTGTTCTTATTATCACATAAAATACTGTTAGGCTTTTAATCACTTCTTTAGATGAGCTATTATTTTTAGCTTGAAAGATCTATTTAAACAAACCACAGGGAATCCTTTTTGCCAAGAATGCTTCAGAGAGAGAAGTTGTTGCAGTTCATTCATGAATACTAAGGATATCAACACTAACATTCTGCTAAAAATAATTCACCTTGTACAGATACTACCCTATATGTTCTCAGAGCACAGATCATCATTGTTACTAATCACTGATATTATTAGCTATTTAATGTCTGTCTTCCCTGTTACAATGTAAGCTTCATAACATCAAGGAGTGAACTAGTCTTGTAAACTATCATAATGTCTCTTACAAGGAAGATGCTCCACAAATATTTACTGAATGAGTTAATGTCCTTCAGCCTAGGACAGGCCATGCACATGTCTACAGATCCATGTGTTCTTCCCCTAAACTTAGCTCTTAGCTCAGCTCCTATATAATATCTTAGTTTTGATATTTGTCCAGCCTCTAAACACTATCCAGTTCCTCTTCCACAATTTTAGGTATTTGTTATGGCAACAACCACTTCTTGGTACCAAATTCTGTATTCATTTCCTGTGGCCATGGTAGCACATTACCACGAACCGGGTAACTTAACAGCAATTTCCTCTCTGGAGACCAGAATCCGAATCGAGGTGCAGATACAACGGTCTGCCCTCTAGGGGCTTCAGGGGAGAATCTGTTCCTCGCCTCTTCCAGCTTCTGGTGGCTACAAATGTCACTGGGATCGTGGCCTCATCAGTGGCATTTGGCTTTTCTATACTTCAAGCCACAGTGCCAGGGTCCAGGACCTTGCACCACTCTGCCCACCCTGCCCTTCCCCTTGCTCGCTGTCCAGCACGGCCTGGCCCACTCCGCACCCACGCCACTGCTGCCTCGGCACTCTGGCCCTGCTGGTCTGCCTCGAAGTCCTGCAGGAGAGCCACCGTCTTCTGCATTAATCTGCTCCAGCGAAGCTCTTCACTAGGTGCCCAAACTACTTTGTTTTCTTTCAAGTTTTCCTGTGCTCCAATCAGTCCGCCATCTCTCCACGTACATCCCTGCTGTCAAGTGCTCAGAACAGTGTCTGGCACATGTACCGAAACAGAGCACACAAACATCAGTCTCGCAGAGCAGGTTCATGGTGGTGACACAGGAAGATCTCGAACGTAACTCCTCCCAAACCTGCAGCGGCCTCTGCAACACGGGTCCCTAAAAGAGCCCAGCTACCCGAGTGACTTCCCTGACGGGCAAGAGAGAGACAGTCCACCCCGAAACGGGCAGCAGAGACAGACACAGTCTCGCTGTAAACCCCTTCCTCGTGTGGCTAATAGAAGAAAGAGGAGAGAGAAATGTTGGAGAGGACGTAGAGAGAAGGGAACCCTTGGGCACTGTTGGTAGGAATGAAAACTGGTGCAGCCACTATGGAGAACAGTAGAGAGAATCCTCAATAAATTAAAAACAGAACTACCGTATGATCCAGCAAGTCCACCTCTGAGTATTTAGCCGAAGGAAACAAGAACACGAACTTGAAAACATACACGCACCCCCAGGTTCACTGCAGCACATGCACAATAGCCAAGACAGGGAGGCGACCTGAGTGTCCCATGATGAGTGAATGGGTAAAGCAAATGTGGTACATATAGAAATATTACATTAAGCCATTATAAAGAAGAAAATCTGCCCGGCTGGTCTAGCTCAGTGGATTGAGTGTCATCCCATGGACTGGGAAGTCTCAGTTCCATTCCCTGTCAGGGCACATGCCCGGGTTTTGGGCTCGATCCCCAGTCAGGGGTGTGCAGGAGGCAGCTGGTCCATGTTTCTCTCTCACATCAATGTTTCTCTCTTTCTCTCCTTTCCTCTCAATAATAATAATAATAATAATAATAACTAAAAAATATTAAAAAAAGAAAAAGAAGGAGGTCCTTCCATTTATGGTAACATGAATGGCCCTTGCGGGCATTATGCTAAGTGCAGTCAGTCAGACAGAGAAAGACAAATACTGTATAATTTCATTTATATGTGGAATCTGAAAAAAAAAACAAACCCAAAAAACAAAATCCATAAATACAGAAAACAGATTGGTGTTTGCCAGAGGAGGGGGGCTGGGTGTGGGTGAAATGGGTGAAGGGGGTCAAGATTCTAGTTATAGGTAAGTAATTCCTGGAGGTGTAATGTACATGATGCTGTATATTTGAAAGTTGTTAAGGGGATAGATCTTAAAAGTTATCATCACAAGAAAAAAACATGTGGTGACTTACTATGGTGATCACTTTGCCATATATACAGACACTACATCATTATGCTGTATACCTTAAACTAATACAATGCTATGTGTCAATTATACACCCCAAAATCTCAGACACATTTATCCACTCATTGCATTTCATAACGTAATTCATTGCATCCAGAAAACCTTTCTCCCCCTACTGGCCTCTTCTCTGCCTTCATTATTTCAAGAGATTCTGAGATATGACATTTTCTGATTTCGGCGACATGTTGCTTTTCCTTGACACTTTCAGAACCTGTGACGTTCGGAGATGCAGCATGCTCTCTGATCTTTTCACTCTCTCCACTGTCTTCCCATTCTAATACAGAATTCTAACTTTAATACTTCTATTGACTCTTCCAGCTTATACACACGGATGTGTCACTTATGTATTAATTAGCGATTAACTTTTTACCTTCTGAGGTATGCTGTCCTTGTCAAGGTTAACCAACCTTTTTAGGAAACCAGTCTCTGAAAGGAGCAACTTTGCTGTGGTCCAGTTCGGTTTCTTTTGCAGGAGGATACAAACCGCGTTCATGACGGTCAGCACCAGGAAAGGGGGGCGCGTGTACACTCTGTAACAGATGGTGAACACCCGACCAACTCACTGAAAATCAAATGCACCCTGCGAACTATCTCAGAAGACAACACGTACAGATTTGTTACCAAGTATTTTGATAAGGAGAACAACTTGCCAATATATAGCTTTTTTCATTATTTGAGTATCTTTAAGAGTTGGGGTATCTTTACTATATGGGTATCTTTGCTTTAGGAAGATAAAATGCCTAAAACGTAAATCTGTGGACCACCTCAGTTAGAGGCTAATTCTCTTTGTTATAAAAGATTCTCTGCAGAGTTCTTTAAAGTAGGAACCGTCCTATTTCATCCCAGAATTGATTTCCCCATGACCACTGGGCAAGGGGAAGTGCCTCCCATAGTGCCACCTGGTGGCAATGGCCAGCAGCGCAGCATCGGCCGTGCGTTACCACAGGGCTCCACCTGCCTAAGCCTCAGCACACGCTGTCCACTTAGCTTTGGAACGCAGGTCAGGCATTTACATAACCACCGGGGCTTTTCCTCTAGTCTAGGCGACACGGTATTTTATCAGTTCTAAGCTGCACATTTTTACATCTCTGAGACTGTGATTCAGTTTATAACCAAGGACACATCATATAGTTTACCTGGTAGCATATAACACGGGTATGCCTTACAGTTGATGGTATCACAACATCGATTAGATACCGTTTATATCGTACATACTATAAAATTTAAAGAAACCAAGATGGGTAAAAATGACCATTTAAAAATGGAATATAGACTTAGTTGCTTTTGCTATGTATTTATTTATACTTTGTTCAGAGCTTTTCCAACTCACAAAACTCACCTCAGTTCAGAGATGTCGGCTTTATCCAGGGCTTTGAGCGCCACGGTCGCCTTGTTCACGGCAGGCAGCACACTGCTGAGCTCACTGGCGGTTGTCTGCAATCAAGGTAGAAGCCCCCAAACACATGTGCATGCGTCCAGCTGTGCATGTAAAGTTTTTATATTTTGAACTTGGAAAATATAATTTGACATTTTTATAATGCCCGTAACGTATGCATCTGCATGACTTAGGCATGCACACACGTTTATACTGTTGGAACTGTGTGTGATAGTCCTAAAGGTAGTCAGTCCCCAGCGAGACGTTGTCTGTGAGAAGCAAAAGACTCAATGTGGTAGAACAACGTTCAGCTCCGGGGGAATTCTTACCCAGCTACTCAGGTCTGCGCCCCTCGCCTGCCCCGGCCCCTGAGAAGCCCCGGAAAAAGCTCGGCCAATCCACTTGTAGGGTCATATGTTTTTCTTAGACTTGCAAAAGGAAGACGTTTTAACTTCAGTCAGTTAAGACAATTTCTCTCTACACTTTGCTCAGCCCTTCTCAGGTGACCTATGACGTCAGGTGGCACAGGAATGGTGGTGGACATTGCTGGGGTCTGGTTAAGGAGTTGAGCGAGGATTATACAGGGTGGGGCAAAAGCAGGTTTACAGTTGTGAGTACATGCAACAGAGTTTATTCCTGTATTATTATTTATTAGTGTGTCATTCTCCATACGAACAACTGGAAACCTACTGTTGTCCCACCCTGGACTTACACTGCTCACGGTCACTCTCTGTATAACTAAGTTGTTGCAAGCTATCTCCAATAGGAATGACTTCTAGAAATAATTCCAAAAAGGTCCAATTTTCCTGGTGACGTGACATTAAGGTTCAGCGCCAGAGGTCATATGATAAGGGAAACTTGTACCAAGTGCTCAGCTCTGTACGTGGGGAGTGGGGGAGAAACAAGGTTTATGAGGTAAGCATCTAAAATCGGGCTGTGGAGAAGCCTTCCACTTGTTGGATGTAGAAGATTGTAAGTACACGGTCAGATTTTCACTGGTACCCACACGAATGGCAGCCCAATGCTTACTGAGCATATTTGGCAGTGCAACATGTACAGTCTCGCCCACTTTGTTGTTGTTGATCTTCACCCAAGGATATTTTTTTCATTGTTTTATTATTTTTTTTATCCTCACCCAAGGACACTTTTCCATATTTTGTTCAGATAGAGTGGGAGGGGGAGAGAGAGAGAGAAACATCGATGTGAAAGGGACACATTGAGTGGTCGCCACCCGCACAACCCAACCAGGGCCGGGGACAAACTGCAACCAAGGTACGTGCCCTTAGTGAGAACCAAACCTGGGTCTCTCTGGACCACAGGCTGATGCTCTAACTGCTGAGCCAAACTGGCCAGGGCTTTTTCATTGATTTTTAGATAGAGTGGAAGGGCGGGAGGAAGAGAGAGAGAGAGAAACATTGATGTCAGAGAGACACATGGGCTGTGATGCCTCCTGCATGACCCGGCTGGGGCTGGGAATGGAACCTGCAACCCAGGCATGTGCCCTTGATCAGGAATCGAACCCAAGACCCTTCGGTCTGAGGGCCAACACTGTACATGATGAGCCAAACTGGTCAGGGCACAGTCCCTCTTTTTTTAAATCCTCACCTGAGGACATTTTTGCATTTATTTTTAGATAGAGTGGGAGGAAGAGAGAGAGAAACATCAATGCGAGAGAGACACATGCACTGGTTGCCACCCGCATGACCCCAACTGGGGCCAGGGACAAATCGCAACCGAGGTACATGCCCTTAGTGGGAACCGAACCCGGGACACTCTGGTCCACGGGCCGATGCTCTAACTGCTGAGCCAAACTGGCCAGGGCACAGTCACCCTTTTTGATGGGAGCTATGCACATAGAGTTTTCTAAAATCCCTGGGGTTTCAGGTGATAATCAAGATGTTTTGAAATGTCTCAAAGTAAGTGAGAAATTACATTCTTTATATAGATACATGTGAAAGGTATCTTATTTTTATAATTTTAATTGTTATTTACAAATAAATAATTAAGACAAAAATTTGTCGAATGTTAAACAAAAGTGACTGTGTGTCAAAATGAACAGAAATTAGGATCAAAATGTAATAAAAATTTTCAGACCATACCAAAAGCAGTAATTTACTAAGAGGAAAAACAAATTTAGGATAGAAGTAATGATCTGGTTCTTGGTCTGTTTAATAAATTAATAAAGAATGCATCATATGATCACATTGGAAAAAGTCAAGATTCTGGTGGAGTTTGCAAGAAATATTGACATAAATACATCTATAATGAAGACATTGATGGAAAACTGGTTGATGAATGTCCTCAATTCAAACAGTAGACAAGAAATCTTGAAATATCATTGCTGGTTACACCAAATTCCAAAACAATACTGATAAAAGTGCTCATGACATTATCAATGACGAGTTATGCAGTTGAAACTTTTTAAACTATCAAAATGAAAAACATGTTTTGATAAACTATACTAAAGGTTCTCTCATAAATGATATTACAAAATCATTATCAGATAAAGAAGCAGTCAGAGTATGCAGTGAAAAAATGCAGGAGAAAAGGATTATGGGGTGTGAAAGGTGGGTTGATTACTTAACATTACTGTTATTTTTCTAGAATTTTGTGATGTTTATAATAATTGTCAGCTTTAAAAATTTTGTATATTATTTGATTTCTTTCCTTATTCTAAATATTTGCTTTCATGGCTAGCTGTGAACTGGTAATTCTGCATTCTTTCAAAATAGATGGCCTCAAAATTATATAAGCTTTAGGTCCTATAAAATCTGGATTTACCACTAAGGCCAGATTAGCCCTTCTGGTATAGCCAAAACCAAGCAAAACAAAAATGCATTAATTCCTCTACCTCCATTTTCTTTTGGCCTAAAACATTCAAGACTGATATTAAGCTGTACACACTGAATATACTGGATAACTGTGCCCCTCGTGTGGTCGGCCTAGCAGAGGTCACTGGTTAACTCACGGTGACACTCACGTGGCCCCTGGAGGGAAGAGGGGATGTCCCACAAGTTGAAGGGGTGACAGTGGTGGCTTCCCCCTTCCCGAAATGCTCAGCATGGGAGGAAGTGTTGCGGTTCACACACATCCAGGGAATGTGCCTAAATGCCACCCAGCTTGGAGTAAACTGGCCCTCGGACAGGTCGCTGTGGAAGGTTTCTGAGAGCAGCCTGGATTACAGATGCTGCTGCTGCTGCTGCTAATAGAAGTGCAAGAGAAGAGAGAAAAACGCAGGCTGATACTCCTCTTATCCCTGGTATGAACTCTTCTTCGGCCATGTTCTAAGGTAAAAACAATGAGGATCTAATCAAACCCGACAAAAAGCCAGCCAGAAAATTACCAAAAGGACGATTTGAAATGTGTGTTCACATTCGCTGCACAAGAAATCTGGACATGCCGCAGCTCTGGGCTCTCCCTGTGCTTTGGGACATGAGCTAATGATAGTAGCTCAAGGATGAAATTTATAAATAAAGAAATATACACATATTGGGGGTACAGGCTTATATTTATCTATATATTTTAACTGATGGGGTTGCCTGATTAAAAACCTTGGCATATGCCCTGGCCGGTTTGGCACAGTGGTTAGAGCATCAGTCTGCGGACCAATGAGTTGTGGGTTCGATTCCAGTTAAAGGCATGTACCTTGGTTGTGGTTTGTCCCCGGCCCTGGTTGGGTTATGCCGGAGGCAACCAGTCGATGTGTCTCTCTCATATCAATGTTTCTCTCTCCCTCTCCCACTCTAACTAATGATAAATAGAAAAATATCCTGGGGTGAGGATTAAAAAAAACACCAAAATCTTTGCATATGAAAGACAGATGAAACTCCACTGTCCACCTCCTCTGAGCAGGAGAGGCTACCCATCAGACCAGGGATGAGCATTTGGTCACTTGCTACACCAGACTGGATCCTGCTGGGATTCTGACCGGAGCGTGTGGTCGGGAACTGGCCAGTTTGAAAAGAGAGAATTATTCAGTCCACAGACAAGTGACACACACCAGATACAATCCCGAGAGCTGCTTCGTCACCTGCAGGCGCCCCCTGGAGGCCGCGTGAATTTCTGACTTGAATGAGTTCCTGTTCACTGTCAGCAGAACGGGCTGATCTCTCCCTCCCTTACAGGTTTCTCAAGTACAAGGACCCTGTGTCCTCAAACCTCCTGTTTTCACGGACAGTGTCATACACATAGTAAGTGCTCGATAAATATTTGTTGGGATAACTATTCAAAGTATCCAAAGTTGGAGCACTATATATTTAAGAGCAGTTGGCCTGACCTTTTACATTTGGGGATTAGGGAGTAAATTTGCAAATCTCCAAGTGATTTTTATTGATTATATTTTAATTTTACCTGAGCATAATCTTCCACAATTCTTACTTCTTCTGCCATAATTTCTTCATCCTGTTTAACAAGCATCTGAACTTTCTCAACTACTTGTGAATCTTTCTGTAGTTTTTCCATTAAGATTTCTTTTTCCTAATGAACCAAATAATTCTTCTTAGCATAAATTTTAAGAGATATATCTTTTTAAAGAGAAATTCAAATAGCTCATTTTCTTATAAAATTGGTCAAAATCAACTTGCAATAGAGGTTAAGAGACTAACGAGGATGACTTTAATAAAGACCACTTCAGACCACACACAGAGTAAGGATAAGTAATGATTTTTAGAGCGCTTAGCAGCTTGCAAGTTACCACAGAACATTCCAGGTGGATTTGACTAATAACCATGGAATTCTTCTACGTGAGATTTCACAATTAGTCACATACCTATCATCACGTTTCAATATTAAAAGGTAACGATGCTAATATTTTGCTCTTGCGGTGGTTACTGTTTTCTTCATTTTGCAGGTAAGAACACAGACTAAGAGACCGAGCATCAGAGCCTTTGCTTTCAAACGCTGTTCTACCTTAAACTATAAAACCTTAAAGAGAAATTTCGAATGACACACACCTTGGTTTTTTGCTCTATCTGAGGGCCCACAACCAGGAGCTCCTCCTGCATCTCTGTCACTAGAGTGGTTGCCTCCAGGACCTTGGAGAGACCCATGGAGAAGCGATTCCTGAAGGGAGAAAGTGCAAAGAGGTAGAGTCTGTGAGGCAAGTACAGTGAATTAGCCCAGTAGACAGTATTGAGAGGTACAGGGTAGTGTAGTATATTAGCAGAGCAAGATACACTGATCGTGATCGGAAGGCAACATAATAAAGATATCAATTCTCCCCAAATTGATCTAGAGGCTTAATGCAATGCCTATCAAAATTACAGTTAGTTTGTTTTTGTAGATACAGTCAAGCTTATTCTAAAATTTATATGAAGCAGATAAGCTGGGATAATGAAAACAATTTTGAAAAAAGAATAAAGTGAGTGGAATCACTCTGTCGGACTGCAAGGCTGGTTATATGGTGACAGTAATCAAGATGACGTGGCCCGGCAGAGGGACAGACATGTAGATCAGTGGGACAGAAGACAGAACCCCGTAGTAAATCCACACAAGTATTCAAGTACTGTCAACTGTCAACTGATTTTTGACAACGGTGCACCAGGGGAAGAAAAGTATTTTCACAAAATGAACCTTGACCTGAACTCATACCTTATACACAAATGAACTCAAAATGTAAACGATAAAAGTATAATACTTTTAGAATTAAAAAAACTAGGAGAAAATCTTCGGGCATGAGGGCTTGGTGAAGAGCTCCTAGACATGACAAAGGAAACATAATCCATTCAAGAAAAAAACGGATACACTGGCTTCATCAGAACTAGAACCTTTTCTCTGTGAAAAACACTGTTAAGAGGATGATAAGACAAGTTACCAACTGGGATACAATATTTTTAATCCATATATCTGACAAAGGACAGATATTTAAAATATATAAAGAACTCCCCAAACTCAACAATGAGAGAAACCGAAAAGGCCATTTAGAAAACGTGCAAAGGATACGAAGAGACATCACATTGAAAAGGATGTATGCACCCTGGCCGGTTTGGCTCAGTGGTTAGAGTGTCGGCCTGTGGACCAGAGAGTCCTGGGTTCAGTTCCTGCTGAGGGCACATATCCTGCTGAGTTTGTCCCCACCCTGGTTGGGGTCGTGTGGGTGGCAGCCACTCGATGTCTCTCTCTCACATTGATGTTTCTCCTTTTCCCCCCATTGACGCCCCCCCCTCCCCGCCCTGTCCCCAGCTTTGCTGTCCATGTCCATTGGTCATGCATACATGCATGTAAGCTCTGTGGTTTATCCCCCTCTTCTGGGGATTGTCAGTCTGTACGCTACTTCCACGTCTCTGGGTCTACCCTGTTCTTCAGACTGTTATGTTCATTATATTCCACAAATAAGTGAGATCATATGATACTTGTCTTTTTCTGTTTGGCTTGTTTTGCTTAGGATAATACTTTCCAGGTCCCTCCATGTTGTCTCAAAGGATAAGAGATCTTTCTTTCTTACAGCTGCATAGTACTCCATTGTGTATATGTACCACAGCTTTTATTAAAAAATTTTTTTTATTTTTAATTCTCACCTGAGGACATTTTTTTCATTTTTTGTTCAGATAGAGTGGGAGGGAGAGAGAGGAAAAGAGAGAGAGAGAGAGCGAAATATCAATGTGAAAGGGACACATCGAGTGGCCGCCACCCGCACGACCAACCAGGGCTGGGGACAAACTGCAACGGAGGTACGTGCCCTTAGCGGGAACCAAACCCGGGGCTCTCTGGATGGCAGGCCGACGCTCTAACCACTGAGCAAAACCAGCCAGAGCCGTACCACAGCTTTTTCTCCATCAGTAGATGAATGGATAAAAATAAATATTTTAAAATCAGAAGACTCTAAATCTATTACTCAACAAAATTTTAGTCTCAACTCTACCAAGAGAGGGAATAAACACTGTGGAGCATTTTAATTTTTTTGTTGTTGTTAATCCTCATCTAAGGATATTTTTCCACTGATTTTTTTTTTTTTTAAGATAGAGTAGTGTGTGTGGGGAGAACATCTATGTGAGAGAGACACATCGATTGGTTACCTCCCATGCTACTTTGACCAGGGTTGGGGATCAAACCTGCAACCCAGGTATGTGGCCTTGACCAGGAATCCAACGCTCTAACTACTGAGCACACTGTCAAGGGCCTGCGGAGCATTTAAAAAAAACTAGAAGATATGGTTCCTACTTCTTGGACTTTCAAAATCTAAAAGAACATTGTCATCTGTGCCCTTTGAATGGTCAATTACATAGATATTTTCAGCATTTTATTCTTTGATCTAACTCTGGGACAGATCTTCAAAACTTTTCATCTGGCTCACTACAATGACATTCAAACCTTTGTTTTTATTCTTGTATCTCTCCAATTTATTCCCCACTCTAATCTAATACCAGAATGATCTTCCTAAAATACAAGTCTACTTAATTAATCATCTATCTAAACACTTATTTGTTGTGTATTTACATCAGACACTGCTTAGCATTTAACTCATAAACATATCATCCCCAAGAAGTAGGGGCTATTAAAAATAAAATGGTCTCGCCCTGGCCGGTTTGGCTCAGCGGTTAGAGCGTCGGCCTGCGGTACTGAGAGACCCGGGTTCGGTTCCCGCTAAGGGCACGTACCTCGGTTGCAGTTTGTCCCCGGCCCTGGTTGGTTGTGCGGGTGGCAGCCACTCGATGTGTCCCTTCACATCGATGTTTCTCTCTCTCTCTCTCCCTCCGCTCTATCAGAACAAAGGATGGAAAAAATGTCCTCGGGTGAGGATAAAAAAAAAAAATAAAAAAGTCTCTCTTATTTTTTTATCCTCACCTGAGGACTTTTTTTTTTTGTATTTATCTTCAGATAGAGAGGGAGGGAGAGAGGGAGGGAGGGAGGGAGGGAGGGAGGGAGGGAGGGAGGGAGAGAGAGAGAGAGAGAGAGAGATTTATTGATGTGAGAGAGACACATCTACTGGTTGCCACCTGCACGACCCCAACTGGGGCCAGGGACAAACCGCAACCAAGATACATGCCCCTAGCGGTGAGCGAACCCAACCCCTTAGCCTAACTGGCCAGGGCAAAATGGCCTCTTTTAAAAATAATGTTTTTATTGATTTTTCAGAGAGAGAGGAAGGGAAAGAGAGAGAGAGAGAAAAACATCAATGTGAGATAGAAGCACCAATCCGCTGCCTCCTGCACGCCCCCTACTGGGGATCGAGCTTGCAATCCAGGCCTGTGCCCTGACCGGGAACCTAACCGGGACCTCTCAGTCCATGGGACGATGCTCAATCCACTGAGCCACACCGGCCGGGCTAAAATGATCTATTGAAGGAAAAACTGGACAACTGAAGCTCAGTTCCCAGTGGAGCGCACACTTGAGACAGGCAATATGGGCTTTAAGTGTGATAATTCCCCAGAAAGGTAACTCCCATTTAAACAGAACATTTAATTAAGAGGTTTGGGGTGGGGAAGAGACCCAAACCGCATAATTAACCCTTTCCATTTTTCCTTCTCCCATGCCTAACCCTGGGAAACTGGGCTACTGAAACTTGTGAGTAGAGCTGGGGACTTGTGACCTAGTCCCCTGCTACCACCCGGCTACAGACAGATATGAGCAGTTATGGATATTGATGACAGTGATCATGCATATCAGGTGACAACTCTTAAGGTGGTCCTGGTATGACGCACACATCAGAGAGCGGGAGATGTTCTAGGATAGTACAAAGTATACAAGGAAGACACTGCTGAGCCACCCCGGGGCATGTCTGGGTACAGGGTGTGGACAAGGCATGGGGAAGCTGGAAAAAGGATGATGGGGTTATGACAGGGACGGGTCACACCAACTGAAGGCCTGGAATGGAGAGCAACAACCCGGGGGGGTTGGCAGGGGTACCTTAGAAACCCAGAGGTTAGAGGTGGAAGGAGGGTCCGCTTGCTTCTCTGCCTCTCATCTATAGAGCAGCTGGCCAACTGGCCCGGCCTGCAGTCAGCACCCTCAATTGAACACTGCCCGACAAAAGTCTTAGTCTAAGGACTTTCAAATGCCTCCCAGGAGCCTGAAAAGCCTTCACTTACAAAATAGAGTAAAAAGAACTTTCCGAACCAGTATGATTCCTTTTAGCTCCACTGTATTCCAGGCTATACAACTGCTCTAAATTTAACTGATGCTGAACCTGCCTTGTGCCCCCCCCCCCCGTGCCTGTGAACAAAAACGCAGTAAAATTAGACCCTGACCCCCTTTAGCAGAAAGCTGCTGTTGAGGGTGCACGACTTCTTGTGTACAAGTCAGGCCTACACTTGTCTACCACACACAAACCCTCCAGTGTCAGTGGTGATAAAATGTCATTGTGCCCTGGCCCGTTTGGCTCAGCGGTTAGAGCGTCTGCCCTCAGACCAAAGGGTCGCAGGTTCGATTCCGGTCAAGGGCACATACCTCAGTTGCAGTTCAGTCCTCGGCCTTGGTTGGGGGTGGTGCGGGAGGTAACCAATCGATGTGTTTCTCTCACATCGATGTTTCTCTCTCTCTCTTTCCCTCCCACTTTATCTGAAGATAAATGGAAAAATATCCTAGGGTGAGGCTTAAAAAAATATGTATCATTGCCTTGGGCCTCCTGCTGGCATTTAAGACAAAGTCTGTGTGACAGCCAAGGCCTCTTGAGGCACCTGGATTAGTAATATTTTTGACTGGCCTGGCTCCAGACAGGGAGCCTGAGTGTGGTTTATCCTCCAAGCGGAGTCTTAGCCGCGGCCACGCTCCTCCGACGCTGCCTGAGACGAGCGGACTGGATTTGGTCCAAGGCCCCATCAGTGCGGCTGGTTAGCTTATCTGACAGGGTGGCCTATTGCTTCTTAGCTGGACACTTGACAGGTCAGAAGAAGCAGCTGGGGGGACAGCTCCCCCATGGCACCTTCCGGGCCTCCACCTAGGACACGAGGGCCAAGGGTTACCTGCAACTGACCCACGTCTCGGCAGCACAGCCTGTGATCCCCGGGAACACGAGCACGGACAGGTAGCGCGGACACGCCGTCTCACCTCCCTGTCTTCCTGGGAGGCTGTCAAGAGACTGGTTCTCAGTGTCTCCGGGGTTCTGCCTCATTTCCTCCCCTCTTCCCAGGCACACTGGAGGCTCTGACACTGCTCGGCAGCAGCGGGACACGGGCTCCTCAGAAGGGTCCCACTCTCTGGGTTGCGGTCATCTGGAGAATTTCATTTTGCGGCAGTTCCGAGGGGTCAGGGACCTGGGGAGTGACGTCCCCAGCTTCCACGGTGTGTAGTGATACACTGTTGGCCTCTAACAAGGGCTCCCTGCTGCTTTACTGGCTGAATCTGTCAGCCCCGCCTTGACAGGGGAGCCCCTGCATGCCTGTCCCAGGGACACGGCTCCCTGACCCCTTCACCATCTCCTGCACTTTTGTCTGCTCCTCCAGGGCGGAGGCGGATTTGGTCCCACTGCTCTGTGTTTGTCTTTATAAATAAAAGCACCAATGCAAAACATATATAAGCATACATATCTAAATAAGTATATATTCTGATTTGGTCTTCAAGTCTTACCTCTTTGTTTGCATTTCTTGCTCGCGTGATCTCAAAATGTGCGCAAATGTGTCCATGAATCGCAAGTAGCTCCTGGGGGTGACGTAGTAATGCCTTCTGGTTTTTTGGAAGAACTTTGTGCTCAGGTTTTCTACGCTCTTGTGGATTTGGACACATGTTGGGGCAAGTTTTTCTTTCAAGTTCTGAAAAATAATTTTTAAGAATTAAGAGAAAGCAATCCAAATATACATCAAGAGAGAGAAAACGGAGCCCTGTGAATAACCTGAAATAGTTTATCATTCGTGAGATGCGGAGATGTAGAAAAAGGCCCTGGATGAATGGGACCAGGAATATTTGAGTTTTCATAGTTGGCATAGTGTTAGGGTGAACGAGGCAACAATATGGCTAATGATCAACGACATGCCAGACCCCTTCCACTAGGCTGACCCTCATTTCTGCTCGGCCATCCAAGGATCTAGGGAACCATTGGCAATGGCCCATGTTTATGGTGCTTTATCTCTATTCTTTCTTCCTTAAAGTAGGTTATCAATAGCAGGATACTCAATTTCCTTGAGTAAAACAAAGCTGCACAAAGGTAAGGCCTCAGAGGATATACAGATATATAGGTGAGCAAAAGACGGGTGGAAGAGAGTCCCCCTTGCTTAGAGAATTGTGACTTAGACATGATCTAGTCCTAACTACCTATCTCCAGGCCAAGTCTGGCCAACCCCCTGGTCACTTTGAGGCCAGCTGCCTTTTCTTCCTGGTTCCACCCTGTCTCGACCGTTTGGCCTTTGCTTTCCTTGGACGAGTGAGGTCCAGGCCCCTTGCTAGGCCCCCACGGAGCTCCGGCCTCCACACACTCACAGCTTCTGTCGCTACCCCTCGGGGGCTTCAGTCGAATCACTCTACAAGATTCTTACTTTCTTGTGGCTCATAAGCTCTCAGCTAATTTTGTGTGTGACCTGGGCTCTGGTTTCTTTGCAATTCTGCTGCTGCAGCCAAGCCAGAGAGACTGAGTGGGAACACCCAGAAGCCTGCGGCGTTCTTACCATGGGATCTTCCCTCATGAAAACCTGCTGTTCACCAGGGGGGCAGAAGAATGATGAGACCCAGACAGTGAGGAACCTGGCATCTCTGAAATAAGGTGAATTAGGGGGCGAAAGAGGAACATGATGAAGACAAATGCTTGACGTAGTTTACTTTGGCCTGGAGCTGCCTGTTTTTGTCCAGCGAGGGTTCGTAGCTATTCAGAGATGTGATGCGGCCACATTCTGTTAACAAACTGAAACCTTCCTTTGCATTATTATTTTTCTTTTAAAAAGAAGTTATACTTACCTTTCTGTTCTCTAAGTTCACCTTTTCCCTTAAGAAAGAATTAGCTACAACAAGGAGAGCTTCTTCCGGCCACCTCTCATACCAGTCGATTGTGCAGGCGCTAATCATAGAAGAATATATTCTACAATTCTGCCGGAAATTAGGTCCTGCAGGACTCACGAGCATAAAAATATGCAAATTTTTATGTATTTTCTGAAAATTAATGAAAATATACGCTGTTAAAATGTAATCCATTGCTATGAAAAATATATCCTATTGAAATTCCATTTAAAACCTGTTTCGATTCTTTCCTTAATGAGAAGACTGGAGGCTGGTCCAGGTGCACTGATTACCTGCCGTAACCAGAGCCCCCTCCAAGGGAAGGGCGCGTCCCCCAAGCAGCCAGGCTCTGCTCCAGGTCACCCCATGCTCTTGGCATGGACTTGGTATGGGGAGATATGGGACTAACATTCCTTGTATAAACCAACTCTTTCAAGGGGTTCTGGTGCTAGAATTAAGTTCAGTAGGGGACCTTATATCAGATGGTGATGGGTCTAACCACTTAACTCTTTCCTCTGGGGTGCTGTGCATTTGAGGCCCACAGAAACCCAAAGTGAGAAATGGTCAGATGAATTAAAGCTGAAAGACCACAGAGAGAAACAGGGACCAATGTTGTGGGTCGAGCACCAGGGAGATATTAAGAAACTACTACAGCGGAAGGATTTGAGCTAAGAAATATTAGACCGTACACACTTTGGCAGGTCCTAGGCAAAGTGCTACTTCCTACGACGTGTGCCTGTATCCCTTCCCCACACAGGACCGGGGCGTATGGCTGTTGCTGGTCTTGGCTTCTTGGAAGGACTGGCCATGGGGCACAGATTCCATCATCATCTCCACACGTCACTTTATAAAAAAATCACATCACCGAAAGCAGCCTCAGGGGTGGTCAATATTCCTTTTAACTCAAAGAGTTCACCTTGTACAGAGTGATGAACCTTTGAGTATCAAGCAACTGATTTTGCCAAACAGTGTGTAAAGTGGGGAGAAGGCTGAAGTGTACAATTTCCCCCTTTTTGTCTCCAAAAACTTCATAAAAGCAAATTAAACTGCTCAATGAAAAATTCACATCATACAGTAATGTTTAAATTAAAAGTGAAACTACCTCTCTCTGCTTTACCCATTCCCAACTCCTACCGGCTGTCCAGTGCTAACAGCTTCAAGTGTGCCTTCACTATTTATTGTTCCAAGATGCTTCAAATCAGTATTGCAAGACACTTAAAATCCTTTTATGTGATTAAAATCATTTCTAACTGGGATTCTTGGCTTATCTTTTATTTCTGGAGTGCACTCTTCTCCACCTTCCAAATCAAAACTTCTTAACAAATTAAAATCTACTGGATGAACCACCTGGTAACAAGGTCTAGGGTGCCGCGAGTTTTCAGGGTGACTGCTAGTCTCCTTTCCACTATCGCATTTTAAAACACGACCCAATCCAAGCATCCATTCGCATCATACTGTTCTCTCCCAACTGGGGATTCTATTTCTGGAACTTTCTACACCTCCTTCTGTGCAATGTATCTGTTGGGGAGCGGAGGGTTGCCCAGTTTTCAAACGACTCCATGAGAGGTAGAAACTGGCACGAGAAATAAGATGACCTGCGTTACTCCCCAGTGACTACTTTGGTTTGGGTAATCGTCCTGATCTGGTCACTAATCAGTGACTGGTTAGTCACTGGTCAGTCATACGCCTTAAAGGCACAGAAAGCCGAGGTCACGGGTCCGTTTCTCTCTCACACTGGTCCTCTCACACACAGCCACCCCACTGCTGAGCTCATTCTGAACATCACCTGGTCTTCTGGCCAATTTCCTTCTGTGCCCAGCGCCCCCTGGCTATTTCAAAGGGATTCAAAATTATTGTTTCTTACCTCTCCACACTTATCACCAACATGACTGAAATAAACCTCCTTGGCTGGGAAGGAATCTCAGTGTAAGAAGTCATCTTGGGACCTCATCTGTCACTACCTTTTTTTAAGTCACAGCTAGCGAGGCCCTGATCTCTGCTCATCTTTGACGTAAGACCATTGTGTGCCCATATGAGAGATGGGAGTCATTATTTTAGCTTTAAAAACTCATATGAAGAACTAAAGAAACTACCCAACTTGAAAATCATGGACAGAGCGATAAGCGTAGTCTACTTTGAACCTAACATGACAATTTGATCAGGCCGGTCCACAGAAAGGTACCTTTTGGAAGAACGAAAGTACAGTTTGCCTACTGTCAGTGTGCTCGGTCAGCTCAGCCAGAGATCTAATCTTCAGCGTGAGAGAGTTCAGCTCCTCGTTTTCAAATATGTCAGGTACTTTTCCCAAGTTGAGAATGCTGTTCAAATCTTCCAAAAATGCCTCCTTAGGCGAAACATACATTTAATCAGAAATGAGTAAATCATTCATGTATTCTACTCTAAACACATCAAGCAATAGTGTTTAAGGAGAATTATTATTATTTTTTAACTCAACCTCTTACTCCAAACCCATCAACCACCCCACCCCACCCCCAGAGTTAAATAAGCTTCGTTCATCCATCCACTGTTTGAAGCAGTCGAGGAACAGGCATTTGGTACTGACAGTGTGGTGGCACCTGATGACATGTGCTGGGTCAGGGGGTACAGCAGGGCGGGCACGGCCAGGGGTGGAGCAGGGACTGTGCCTCGTGCAGGTTACAGAAGACCTCACCACACCTGCTCTCGAGTGTGTGCTGCACAAACCAGGATTATTTCCCTTAACCAGGTCCATCCCTATCAAGGGCTCTAAATCAACTGGAAAAGGTGACGGAGGAGAAAGAGTGGTGGAAACAATCTCTACCAGAGGAGTTGCATAAAGTACGAACATTTGGTTCTGAGAATAAATCTAAGCTTTTTATTTATCCTCACCTGAGGACATTTTTCCATTTTTTGTTCAGATGGAGAGGAAGGAAGGAAGGGAGGGAGGGAGGGAGGGAGGGAGGGAGGGAGAGAGAGAGAGAGAGAGAGAGAGACATCGATGTGAAAGGGACACATCAAGTGGCTGCCACCCGCACAACCCAACCAGGGCCGGGGACAAACTGCAACCGAGGCACGTGCCCTTAGCAGGAACCGAATCCGGGTCTCTCTGGACCACAGGCCAATGCTCTAACCGCTGAGCCGAACCGGCCAGAGCAATCTAAACTTTCTTTAAAAAAAAAAAAAGGAAGCATTCTTTGCTTTACTGACTCCTCAGGGTCCTCCTCAGACACTCACAGGTTTCTGGCATTTCCGCCCGGTGAGGATGGGCAGAGACCTGGTGGGACAGTCTCCAGCAGAGGCCAACAGGAGTGACAGGGGCCAGCTGCTTTTCCTGTCTCACCCAAGCATGATGGAGAACCCCCACAGCTCATTCAACACACTCATCATCATCCACTTGTGAGGTTAGCTCAGTTATTCCACGGTATTGCTGCCTCCACATCCATTTTTTTGGCCAGTCTGCGGGGGCCTGAAATTGACACCAGCCTCCTCTTGCAGGTACAGCCGTAGCCCGCGGAGTCACAACCAATGTAAGTTCCTGACATGACTTCCCACCAGCGCTTGTGATCGACAGTCTCCCCAGCCTTCCAGCGCCTGTATGCTTTATATATCCTTTAGATAAGACCCCATGGAGCTTACCAAAACCCTACTCTTTGGGTTTGAATTGACCAATCTGACCCTAGCTCCAAAACCCCAAAGCGAGAGGCCCAGAATCAGGAGAAAAAAACAAGGTGAGAGTTTGAATAATACTAATAACTATACTTGTCTGGATCATAGGTAACAATGTTTCCTTGAAATTTTGCCACAAAGTAAATATAATCTAATTATGGTTTGGCCGTGGAAGGGTGTAACTTATGCAAAATAACATTTTAAAAAGTTGGGTGATTAACATTTTTTGCTTGTTTATAAATAAAGAGTAGTCCTGACCTGATGGTGAAATTAAGGAGGGTAAAGGACAGAAACAGAAGCCTCCACTCTGAGAGCACTCTGCTGACTACCTGGTCACATGCAACAAAACTAGTTCAGATATAAGATGGATGACCTCATCTATATAGATAAATTACTTCTAACTGCCAAACACCTGTGTCTGGGCAAGTAGAATGAAAATTATAAAGACATAGAAAATGCTTCTGCTGTGATACTTAGCAGAACTATCGATATCATGATTACGAATACATAAACTCTATGGGCTATAACTGGATAAGAACAGAGAATGATGAAAAGAACTGATATGGCAGGTTAATGAGATTATAGATAAATATCTTCTTTTCAAATATTAAGTTGGGGGGACTGTTTAATATTAAACTTCAGCAAACAATAAAGACAAAAAGTACTTACCTGATCTGGGTGTAAATTTGCCACTATCAAAGCTGTGGGGTTCCCTTCTAATGCTGCTTGAATAAACACCTTCTTAAAGTCTTGTTTGAATTCCATGTAAGCATAGTTGTGAGAAAAAGGCATCTGGTACACTTTGTAGTCCGTCAAATAACATGCTAAGGTTGCACACGTCTCTTTCCCACTTCCATCTATCCCAATCTTTGGAAGAAAAAAAACTCAACATGTGATTCCTGCATATGTTCTGGGAATATTTCACTGTATAGTTTTCTGTTTAGATGTGCTAAAATTTAGACAGTAAAAACAATTTAGACTATTTTTATAACTTTTTTGGAAGATATAGTAAACAGAGTATTTTATCAAAATTTTATTATTTTTAAAATCCTCACCCAAGGATATTTTTCCATTTATCTTCAGATAGAGTGGGGGGGGGGGGGAGTGGGAGGAAGGGGGGGGGACGAGGGAGGGAGGGAGAGAGACATAGATGTGAGAGAGATACATCGACTGGCTGCCTCCTGCGTGACCCCCACCAGGGCTGGGATCGAACTGTAACCACGGTACATGCCTTTGGCTAGAATCGAACCCCTGCCTCTTTGGTCCACAGGCCGACGCTCTAACCGCTGAGCCAAACCGGCCAGGGTAATCTTTTCCTATTTATTTTGAGTACTAAACACTTCAGTGCTTTTGGTAATGATGAGAAAGTATTACCTTTTCAAATAGCTTTTTTGAGATATAATTTACAGACTATATCTGCTTTAAGCATACAATTCAAATGGTTCCTCTGGGGATTACACTTTATATTTTAATTTACAATCTACTCCAGATTAATATGAATACTAACTTGGTTCCAGTAAAATATAGAAAGTTTGCTCTAACAGAGCTCCATTTCCTTCCTCCTCATTTGTACTATTATTATATAAACTAAATCTTTCTTATAATCCTGACAATAGTTTTATAATTATTGTTTCATGCAACTGTTTTTAAAGAAGTTAAGAGAAAAAGAATGTACCTATCACTGTCTGGTCTGTGGTAGGCAGGTGAATAATACCCTTGTCAGCCCATCCCCCAGTACGTCCACATCATGATCCCTGGATAGCAGAAGAGACTTTGCCAATGTGATTAAGAACCTTGAAATGGGAGATTATTTCCTCAAAAGCAGGGAAACTTTCCTATCAGGGAAATGTCACATTCTGTCTTTGAAGACGTAGAAAGGGGGTTATGAGCCGAGGGATGAACACAGCCTCTAAAATTTGGAAAATATAAGGAAACAGATTCTCCCTCAGAGCCTCCAGAAAGGGATGCAGCCCTGCCTATGTTTTTACTTTAACCTGGTGAGATCCATGCCACACTTCCGACCTGCAAAACAGCAGAATAATAAATTTCTGTTGTTTAAACTGTCAGATTTCTGGTAATTTGTTTTAGAGGCAGTAGAAAACTAATGCATTGTCTCTTATATTTAACTATAAAATTTCTCTTACTGGTGCTCTTTAGTATTCGTGTGGATTCAAGTTACCATCTGACACCATTCCCTCTCAGCCTGAAATATTTCCTTTAGTACTTCTTGTAAGGTGGTTAACAAATTCTCTGTCTTTGTTTATATGGAAATGTCTTTTATCTCACTTCCCTTGTTTGAATAATAGTTTTACTAAATATAGAAATACTGACAGTGTTGTTTTCTTTCATCACTTTGAATATGCCATTCCTCTGCCTTCTGATCTCCAATGTGTCTGATAAGTCAGCTGTTAATCTTAAGACTTCCCTATACATGATCTGTTGTTTTCCTGATACTTAATTTTTCTCTTTGTCCTTGTTTTTATTTGTATTTTATTAAAATATTTCTAAAATATATTTTTATTGACTTTTAGAGAGAGAAAAAGAAGGAGAGAGAAGAAGGGAGAGGGAGAGAGAGAAACATTGAGAAGCTGCCTCTTACACACACCCTACTGGGATTGAACCCACAACCCAGGCATGTGCCCTGACCAGGAATCAAACCAGCAACCTCTCAGTTCATGGCAAAATACTCAGCCAACTAAGCCACACTGTCCAGGGTGTCCTTGTTTTTAAATAGTTTGATTATCATGTGACTAGGTATGGATCTACTTGTATTTATCCAATTTGGAGTTTCTTGAGCTATCAATGAACGTCTTAGATATAAAGATTAATATGTTGGGCATTATTTCTACAAACTTTTTTTCTGTCCCTCTTTATTTTTTCTTTATTTCTAAGACTCCCAATATGTATATTTTGATGTACTTGTTGGTGTCCCACAGGTCTTTGAAATTTTGTTTTTTTCCTTCATTCTTTTTTCTCTTAAGATTGGATAATTTTTACAGATTTATCTTCAAGTTCGTGGATTCTTTCTTCTGTTAGCTTAAATCTGTTGTTGAGACCCTTTACTGAAAATTTTAAATCTCATTTATTGTACTTTTCAATTATAGAAATTCAATTTTGGAAAATAATTTCTCTCTCTCTTTATATCTATGTGATGAGTCATAGTTATCTACTTTCCTTTAATTCTTTAAATATGGTTTCCTTTAGTTATTTGAATATATTTCTAACAGCTGCTTTGAAGGCTTTGTCTGCCATATACAACATCTGAATCCCCTTCAAGATAGTTTCTATTGACTGCTTTTTCCCCATTGTGTAGAATTTATACTTTCCTCTCTTTTCATGCCTTGTAATTTTTTTAGAAAATGGAACATTTATATAATAGATTGCCTGCAACAATCTTTTAAACAAATGCCTTAAATTGAAATACTAGTTTGCGTGTTTTCTTGCTCTGGTAGTTTAACAATACAACCCAGTTGAACTAAGTAATGTTTACTTTTAAAAAGTCATGTGTGATTTATTTTTTACGTCCTTACTTATTCAACTAATAATCTCATCTGAATGACTAATCTAGACTGTGATCTTTTGTTTCATTTACAAAATCTGTTTTAGTGGGGTGGGTGGAGGTGGGAGAAGGTATAGGCAGGATAAATGGTGATGTAAAAAGAATAAAATAAAAAATTTAAAAATCTGTTCTAAATGTTCTTAACCAAATCATTATGCTTCCTCTAGCTGCTTCTCCTCACTGAAGCCTCATGTGCTAGGTCAGCATTCAGTCATATGGAAGTTTTGCAAAACTGAACCCTAATGCTAGATTGATCCAGGAAAGAGATCTATCTATAATGTTTAATTGGAAAAATAGTCATAGGATCAGAGAGGAAGCAGAGACTTGCCATGTTTTACCCTGTATTTTTATTAGGGGTTCTGAGAGGACATATATATTTTTTTTCCCTCACCCGAGGACATTTTTCCATTTTTTGTACAGATAGAGTGGGAGGGAGAGACAGGAAGGGAGAGAGAGAGAGAAACATCGACATGAAGGGACACATCGAGTGGCTGCCACCCGCACGACCAACCAGGGCCGGGGACAAACTGCAACCGAAGTACGTGCCCTTAGCGGGAACCGAACCCGGGTCTCTCAGGACCGCAGGCCGACGCTCTAACCGCTGAGCCAAACTGGCCAGGGCCTGAGAGGACATATAGACAGATGTTTATTAAAAAACATCTGTAGAGATATTAAGAAGACAAGGTTCTAGTTGAGTGTGAGGCTTTAAAAATATTGCTCTGAACACATTCTCAAAAATTTTAGAATTGAAATGTTTTAAACTTGTTACTAGAAAAGAGTCACTGTCATAAAAGAAGTAAACTCAGAGTATACACCCTTTGGGAGTAGAAAAATCTGTTAATAGCAGAAAGAAACGAAATTATAGCTCTTACAGAGCTTATGTTCTAAATGTGAAGACAAATGACAAATAATAGAAAGTTAATATATAAGACTAGATGATGCCAAGGACTAGGAAGGAAAACAAGGCAGAACAAAGGGGCAAAGAAAGGGACTGAGGAAGGGAAACGGGGCTTGCAGGTTAGTTAGGGGGAGCAGAGCAAGTCGTAGCAGTAACCCAGGTGGAGGTAATAATGGGTTAGATAGGGTGGTGGCAGTTGAGATGCAGAGAAGTGGGCAGATTTGACATATTTTGAGAGTTGTATTGCCAGTACTTATTGAGAGATTGAATATGGGGAGTAAGAGAAAGGTGTCAAGAATGAGGGGTTCCCAGGTTTTTGGCTAGAGCAGTAGATATATGGTGGTGTTATTTATGGGATGGGAAAGGCTTGTAATGAAATAGTTTTGATGGTGGAAAGATCTGCTCTTGCATTTTTGCCTTGATTCTATTTTCCAAATTTTCATTACGTTTAATTAATCTTGTATATATCTGTTTAAATAAAGGATTTAAAAAATAAAGTTCTCGTTTTTTTTGAATGCAAAAAAAGCCCTTTTTGGAAAAATTGGTGTGAATTAAATAACTAAATAGTTATAAATAAAATATAAAGTAAATTATAGACAAATAATAATAGTCATAAATTATGTGATTCACATAATTGCCTGAATATGTTGGATGTTATTTAACCTTCTGAATGCTTTTCTCTATTCGAGGTATTTGGGGATTTTCCAAGAATTTAACTCCCACTCATTTCCATGAAAAGTAAAGCTTTGTGCAAGGACTCATGTTTCTAAATCAGTATTCAAGGTAAGTGTGCTGTTCGCAGAGAGATCCACCTGCACAAACAGTGTATTCATGCCAAGGATATGCACAAACAGTGTATTCGTGCCAGGTCCACCACTTTTATTCATAGCCAATAATTTCTTAAAACAAATGTTTTATGTGCTGGTACGTTTCTTATGCAAACTCTTGAGTGAACAAGGGTCTTGTCCTATGACTCAATGACTTTGACCTTTCATAAATGGAAAGTCTGGATAAATCAAATTTCTGTAAGCAAAGCAGATTTATTAGATTTCCTTAATTTTAATATTACAAACCTAAAAACACCTGAACACTTTAAGTTCTTACCAGTAGCATGTGACTCCCTGGTTGTCGAAGGACGCGTGCAGCTCTTGCAATGTGCTGTATGGCTTCCTTGAAGAACACCGTGGAATGAGAAATCTAGCAGAGGAGATGGGACCAATACAATGAGTACAAGCATAGAAAAATGTTCATTGTGGTTTTACATATGAGGACATAGAAGTGAGAATGACTATTCTAATAATCTAGACCCAGTAAACTTGGTTTGCATATATGGAAAATAAATTTGCACTGTGAGGATTGTCCTTGTGCCAACAATCTGGTGAGCAAGACCGGGGTGGGGGTGGGGGTGGG